TCATTTAATGTTATTTTACAGTTTCTTTGAATTATTCACTCCTGTCCATCCAATATACAAACGAGTTCTAAATAAACACTTCTGACTGGCTAGCAGCATCAAACAGAGGAATCTAGCAATTAACGTTTAATGGCTTTCAACGAGACACAAAGGTTTTTTAATCACCTATCAAAGAGATTCAATTTTCCATCAAGGTCAAAGTGTCACTCCAGATGGGTCCCATAAAACACGTATACATTATTTTGATATTTAGCAACCACATGTTTTGCTATGATGAATTCTGTATTAAAGATAAGTATGCATTTTAGTTTTATTGCTACAGAGCAAAGTAATATGTGTGTTACAGAATGTATAATTCTCCATTATACACCAAGCATGATGAAATAAGGGATGTGCGGACGGATGTGTATTGAATTTTACACATTATCAAATCGATGCTTTTTTCAGCAGGAAGTGCATTGAAGCGACTTTTCCCCTCTGAACTGAACGGTCCGGGAGATTTGTTGGCTTTTCCATCGAAGGTCAGCCCTTCATGACCCCACACCTCCGTCTTACCAACAGAAACAAAAATAAAACGGTCCCAGAGGAAGGCGTATTTCTTCCTCTGGGAATCTTCCGCCTTGTATGTAAATGCATACAACTTCAGAAAAACAATCGTTCATTTTTTATTTTGTTTATCCGAGATAAACAAATAAAAAAATGAAACAAAACAAAACAATGATCTTTCTCACCAATTTTGATGCCCACTCCCAACTTATGTGGAGAAAGGTGGTCAAATATGCATTTTCACTTTACTTTTGCAAGTGTCAGAACATATTCGCACAAGGCCTATGTGCATGTTTAGGTAAAGCTTTGTGCTGCGAATAACGAAACATCAAATCACTCAAGTTATTATGTTATTTGTGTAGTTATGTGAAAGAAAATATACTGTTACATCGAGTACAGAAAGCAAAAGGAAATGTCAACAAGCTTGGATAAGTTTGTCAGTAAACTTTTTCTTATGAATTGTATGTTGTAACTTCTTTAATATGGGTGGCCTTCACAAAAGATCAGTTGGATTCAAAATCAAAAGTCGCAAATTGTCAATTTATTTCAAAAAGTTTCAAACTTTGAGAAAGTTTGGCTACTTAAAATGTTGCAAATTGTTATTCTAGGATTTCCCAACTAAATTATTATCCGAAATATGTACATATGTCACAAGAGTTTTTAAAGTGAAGTTGTTTAATAATAAAAACTTTTCCTTAATTGCATGATTATATTCTGAAATTGGCAGCATTCTGACAATTCCAAATACTCATATTTCAAAATTCAAGTTTAATTTTAGTAACTGCACCAACAAATAATTTCATGGTACCCTTGTCATCAAGTGCGATAACTTTCCATGCAGGTTAAGATTATCTTAATATTGTGTAACACAACTTGTGTTGATAACAAAAGCTAAAGTCAATCAAACTCTGCAGGACCTATTTTGCATTTAATCTTTAGCAGGCAATAATAATCATGAGAATGCTAGTTTTCTCCGCTTTCTCCCTGAATCCGTTTATTAGAAACGCATGAGATCATTTTATTAAGGTATCATCATAAACTCCAACTTTTGCTTTTAAAGTTCTACTCAAGTTAAGAAAATTTAAAACGAATACCAGCCTATGACCGTGACGACGAGGTCAAACGCCAAAAAATACATAAGCCATGCGTCAGCGTGGTGACATTATAAATGAAATTTCAATCGCTTTGACGCTACTTCTTTATGTTCGTTTAAAACGTTTTATTTTACTTTGAAGTGATTGAAAGGCAAAAGGTGACAATTTACAAATTCGCCAGCCAAACAACGAAACCACAAAAGTGACATGCAATTATCCTGCATTTAGTTCAAAAAATCACTAGAGTTGTATTACAAGTAGTTAATAAATTGTTAGATATCGTTCAAAGGGAGGTAAATTACTTGACGATGAGCTCGTGTCGCTGAACATAACCTTTGGATCAGTGTGGTCTGAGCTTACAAGACTAAATTAGATTAATAACCTACAACTCAAGACGCTACACACAACGTAGAGGGAAAATTTATGTGAGGGGATAACAGTCATCTATCAATAAATAGTTTTCATAATGTGATTCAATAAGTTTTTCATTATATTAAATTTTAGGATTAGTACCATTTATCTATCATTAATGTAAGCTCTAAGAAATGTCAAAGCAATCCTATGCAATACAGCTTCATGTACGTAATACGAAATTGTTTTTAATCTGATACAAATTAATTCTTAATCAAGATTACAACATGTCGAGAAACGACATATTGTTCGGGTAATACATAAATATTTCCAGTGTGAAAAAAAATTGGACCAAAACTGCACAAAATATCAATCCAATGAAAAGAAAGTGTAATTTGTTATATTTAGTAGAACGTTGTCCTTGTCTAGACCTCAAGAAATTCATTGCCCCTCCAGGGGACGACCCATAACATGTTTTTGGGAAATTTGCTGAAAAGGAGGGAGTTGCGTACTATGCAAATCTTGGGAAATACCCGCCCGTTTTAGAATTCGCTTGGACAGTTACTAGTCGTATTTAGTAAGTGGATTTTAAACGACGAATCTTTATTTGGTTTGCATCCTGGCTGAGTAATATAATTTTGTGGGCGTGGTTGCGTTAAAACTATTGCCAGCGCATGTCTAATATGCATGCAGTGACTGAATGAAAAGAAGCGAATTTTATGTATTGCAGAAGGTTCAGCACTACAAGATTACAATAACCCATACTTTAGTTAGCCAATGTCCCTGAATTCTTAACCGGCCTTCAAATTTACAGAGTCTCCAAGGTATAGGGATATCGTACGGTTGGTTGCGTATGTGGAGCGAATATTTGCATTAATTTCTTATTTGAATTTTAAATCAGCGATGATTCATGATGGTCCAATTTTGCTTTAGGGACATTGATGCAGATTGCTAGGAATTGTGTACTTTACGCTGTTTACAATGTTCGTCCCATCCGAGACGGATGAGTACACATTTCTGGACGTTCTACCTCGGATTACATATACGAGCGTATTTCCCGATGAAGATATCAACTTCAGCGGAATGCTATAAGCTTTATGCACCCTTTAAAATCCAAATAAACTCCAAAATCAATTGCATACTAAAACTTACAATGTATACACTTGAGAAGTGGTACTGAACTATCTAGGATTTCGTATAAAAAACAATTGCGATTTTAATTGCCAAGAAAATACCTTATCGCGGAGATAATAATTCATCTACACATATCTAAGATAAAAATCGTAATTTGTTTTAATTTACGGATGCAGAAATACATAAATATATAAGTAGCTCAAAGTGGAAGAATAGAAGTGTATTGAGACCTACAATCATTGATTGTGGTACTACCCTAAAGTTAGTATAGCGAAAATGACTATTTTTAATAATTAAATACTCTAGGAAATTTAAATCAAATTAAATAATGATGTATAGCAAACAAGTTTACAGGATGAAGTCTCGACTTTACTGGCTGAACGAATTCTAGACATAATAATTCATTTCTGATAGACAACATTGTTTTCAACGCCAACCAATTTATCATCGCGGTAGCGTACACAAGCTGACATTTTAAAATGACAGACAAACCAGTAAATTATACTTATTTAGTATCTCGAGTCTAAGGTTTCCATATGCAATAATTTCACCTCTTCGCTGTTTGTAGTCAAACTTATTTGGGTACTTATTTTCATGAGGTGATACAAATTGTTCGCAATCTAAAAGTAGTAGTATCAACCTAATTGAAGACTACTAATAAGATAATTGAGACGTCACAACGTTTTAAAAAATCAAAGTCTTCAAGTTTATCCACTCATCTCCTTCTCTCGTCAGAGTATGGTCACTCTGCTAAAAAGAAGTTATATATTCCTCACCTACAAGTGTCTAAAGCCATTTGATTTAAGCAATTATTATGCACAAGCTCTTCGAAGGGCGAACCAATTTATGCTAGAGTAGCCAAAGGGCAGCCATACGTACATACTTTTCTTACACAATTAGACTTGCCTTCTCACCTCTCAAGTCAACCTGTGTCCTTTAGAGAAGATTGCTTGATACTTTTTTATGCACAAATGACGTAATGATTTTTCGCTGGCCAACTTGTTTAGCTACAGATCAGCATTTGAGTTTACAAATTCATAGTCAAATCCATCTCCTTCCGTTGTGGTTGTTGTTGTACATATTTTGTTGGCGAATATGTAGTCTGGCTCGGCATATTAATAACTACTTTTTAGCATAATGTCAAATTCTGTTAATGACAAGGTTGTACCAGCTGCTACATTATTCAACCGCAAAATCTCATCTAAACTATGGTGGAACTAGTTGGAAATGCTTATGAGTGGTTGTTTTTCTTTTGTGTTATACAATACGCTGCATATTATGTAGATATATCGAAGAGACAGTTTGCAGCAGTGACTTTCTGGTGCAAATAATTTAGCAGGAAATTTGGCGTTTGTGTTCATTCATTATTAATTAAGCAGTCGACTGTAGTCTACATTTATGAAGATCTTCTTCACACCCGTTTTATCTGCCCAGCGCCCAGCAAGCAATCTCAAGTCACTAATAAATGAACCTTTATTGAGACCAATTTGTATTCTTGTCTCAACTCCAAGACTTCCATATGCATATCCCGCACCCCATATTTACTCGCAAAGGCTAGCTCGTTGTGAATTCTGCTACTGGTCAGCCATCTTATAAAAGTTTTGGCGTATAAAATGCTCCAAATATCGTCCTTCTGGACACTGCGCTGTGCGACCAATTTGACCTCCAACGACGAATCGAAAATGAGAGGCTGCGTATTCTATAATGCATACACCGCTGGGTTCTGGTGGTCACACATATGGCGTTTGGAGTCAGGGAATATGAACCTGCTTAACAGATATGTATGGGAGTAGAGGCTGGAGAATTGTTGAAGATTACACACGTAGCTCAAATGTCAGAGTTGATGGACAAGCTGAATTATTTAAATGTGCTCACCTTTTTCATGATGAACTTGCATGCTTCCTCCTTTAAAGTTTTAAGGGTGAGAAGAGATGTATCCACTGTAAAGGGAATACATTTTGTCAGCATTTGTAACTGATATGATAACTCATTTGTTTACGACGTAGCACAGTAGATTTGAGTTTAAAATGTATTTTAAATTCTATAAAGTTCTTACCTGTGGCCGAGTCACGAACAAGGCCCAGTTGAAACATGAATGTGACCATGTCTCCTGAAGAATTGTCCATCTTTCCTTCTGTACAACTACGAACTACTGCTGTTGAAACGCTGCTAATTGAAAATAATGACGCCGTGTGATCAATTGTTTGATGTATTTATTATTATTTTCCACTCTCCGCATCCATACACTTCTCCAACAAGGTTTCAGTTACTCGTCGTTCTCAGTAATTAAAATTGCTTGCGTTCACAGCAGCACATCTGTCGTCAGAGTGGAAAATAACCGCAGAGAATTGGCAGGTACTCTACTACGACTAATAATAATAAGTACAGTTCTCACGCACGCCGAACTGTTTTCAATGGAAAGATCTTTAGGGTTTTCTTCACTCGAGAAACACAATTCTTTTGCGGTTATTTTATTAACGCAAGTATCTGGAAATCGATAATAGAGGCGTCTCACTTAACCGTTCCTCGCTATACCACGAAATATGTAGTATAGTTAATATATTTGCACGTATAATAACTATGCCACTGCTGAAACCGTAAGTTTTATATTATGTAAATCTCGTAGACGGTGTAATAATGTAGGATAGCACGGTAAATGTTGCGAGTTCGTGGATAATCTCAGGTAATTTTCCAGTTGATAAAACTTGGGAATGGCAAATACGCCGTTTTTTACTCGTTGGGAGCAAAAGTTTTTATAAAATGTTACACAGTTCGATTCGACACACAATTGGGTTTTGATAAAGTTTTAAACTGCAAAAAGTGTGCAAGTTGATTGCTGACTCACTCAGATTGTGTGGGCCAATCTTGCTTTCTATTCTTCGTCGACTCAAGTAAGGATGCTCGCGAGACTGAGAAAATGCATCACTGCTCGATCCCTGACAGACGATCTCGTGTGGTGGTGGTAATAACTGTTTTGCTGGGTTTGGTTGGGGGTCGATTTTCGATACCTCGTCGCCTCTTGCTGGTTCACTATTGTTGAGCAGCAAATTCGATGGCCGATTGGATTGTTGTCACTGTCGTGTTGTTCCTTCTCGAAGTCCACTCCAACAATCTGTGCACACCAAGAACACAACGTGAGCTAGGATTGGCAATGGTGATGCATCAATTTATACTTGATGGTTGGTTTCCCTATCTAATGCTATGCTATTACAGTTTTGTTGAATCATTGGCCATGGCCCATTAAGCACAAACTATTGACACACTGTGTCACAAACATTGAACAAAGATCATGTATGTTTGTTCATCTATATGTAGTTTTTACATTGGCTAATTTGATTTTTGATAATTTCTCGCATTATACATAAATAAATTATCTGCACACATTTATTACTGGGAATGGCACCTTGTTTGGTTAACTAGTATGTAGGTATTAGTATGTTTTATAGCGCATTTAGAAATGACTCAACAATCTGTTTTTTTTAAGTTTTATAATTGCGCTATGCACATATTATGTACAATGATACAAATAGAAGCTCATCAAGTTGAGGAAGGAGAATTACGAGAACAAATAACAGTTGCAAAACATGTACTATTCTAATTATAAAAATGTTTAAATCCTATGGACATATGAAATGATGTCTGCATTCGATAGCGTCAGAAGGAATATGATAAAAAAATTCTAGCGAAAAATAAACAAGCAACAATATTGCAGAAACTGACTGACAGATTTCTACCAGTTGCCACCAGTTGGTCTTGTTGGGTGTCATGCTGGATTATGACGTAACAAATGTTCTTGAAGCTAATAAGCGCGTGTAGGAGGTCTTTGTTTTAGTATTTCCATTACTTATTGCACATTATATTTAGAGCACATGTGTATCATATATATATCGAGTATCCGGCTCTGTTCCACTTCTTAAGCCCAGTTCAGTGAGACGTTTCTTTGATTGCAAGCCGTTCAGATATGTGTGCATTTAATGAGCTTAGAAGTTAGATGACTAACTCGCGGATTTACTCATCTTTTTTATTTATATTGCAAAAGTATATGTAACAACCAGCCAAGACCATGCACTAACTAATCTAGGCTACATGCATATGTACATAGTTTAGCACACTCCAAAAACAATATTGAATGCATACGTACGTACTTGCTGACTCTCGTTATGTATCCCTCCCTTTTATCTTCATCCGCATGAATAACTTTGTTATGGTTCCGCTTCTAAATCAGGGCCAAAGTCAAGGGAAAGCCTGTAACAAAAAATAAATAAGTTGTATTTTGGACCCAATTTGTTTATGTAATCCACATTGTGTAAACATTTAATTAGCAATAAATTTGATCCACGGGTATTGTGTTACTATCTGTTTAGGCTTAGATTTCGTCCGACTCAACGTTTCTGTGATAAACCACTATCAACACATGTAGTTAACCCTACTCTGATTTATGCAGTCTTATTTCCGAAAACTTTTATGTTTATTATGTTCATTGCTAATTTTGGAACTCGGTCACACGTCAAATTCTCACATCCATCGTTATCTGCTGGACAATAAACTATTTAATTCACTTCTGAGTTGACTCAACGGATCAATGAGCATGGACTCATTGTCAATCGTTCAACATTATGGTAAAATATTTTTTTATAGATCATGATCATCGTTTAAATAATCTAGGGCTCTTGAATTTCATGGAATTCATAAAGTCTGTGTCAACTATTAGAATACAAGTTCAAAATCCATTGATGCTGCATGGGGAGGAAATTGTGCAACACACATTGGGTAACACGTAGGATGTATATTGTGATGTCAAAGCACAATTGAAAAAGAGTTCAATAGGTTAAACTAGTTTGTCAGGGTTAGAAGTTGATTATTGCGCCCCGATGGTAATATTCAGTAATGGGTATTCTTTTGATGTGCAAATGTGTGCTTGTTTATCGCATACGAAATACTTTGTATGTTTCCAACCATATCACTCGTCGATCGGGAGGAGCATTACACATATCGGTTGTGGGGTGATTGACGTTAATGATTTTGCGGTTCTCAATTTCATTCCGAGTATAAAATGTGCTTCTTCGCTTGACAGCAGCGTTTTAACGACCAGATACCCGAAAACCTTTTGTGCCACGAGATCAAATAGAAATATACCACATGAAAGCAGCTCCTCTATGAATGAAGTGGTTGGTGTTTTCAAATTGCACCAACAAACCAACTCTTCGGCGTCGCCATCATCAATGCAATGGAATTTAATTGTTTGTGTAATAATATGTCATCCTCCAGACACCACCTTATCAACCACACGACTTACGTACCTGCCCTCCACTACTGCATACGTTCTGACCATGGTATGCACGCTTTAATCGGAACGCAAATTATTTCTTTCAAGTACTTTTACAACCGTATAAATAACGACAATAAATGTCATTTTGACTTTTAGCGTAAATTAGAGTGGAATATCTCCACATTTTCAAGCAACTACGTCAAAATGATAAGGAATGGCTAGAAAAGGGGATAAATAAATGCCTGTGAATGCAGAAAACTTACAAAGTGACACAAATTCAAGTGCATGCATATTTAGTTGGCTTCTTGCTTTCGAGTCGTGGAGGAGGAAGGAGAGTATTGTACTGCTCAAGGTACACAGAAACCGTTACGTACTGCAGTCCACGTAAATTAAATGACGATAAAATCTATTCTACCCAAAACCCACTCGCCAACCTTGTTATTGCCACCACTACTTTTACCGTATAATAATATTGTGCCAGAATTGGATTCACCTCACCTTTCCCTGCAACCGTTAACACCACTCATCCATTTCGTTGTGCTCCATTTCACCCACAACAAAATCAACCTCTCAAAAGTTACACCCTTATGCCTTTCCTGAATTTTGATAAACAAAGCATAGGCAAAAAAGCAGGAGAGGAAAGTAAATTAATTGGACGAAAGGGTGCATTCTGTGGTTTGACTCGTGATAAGTTGAACCCCGGTTTTGAATCATTGTAGCGAAAGGTGTGCAATATTTCCACTCAATTCTTGCTTGTCTCAAGCCAGAAGAGGATAATGATGGTGGTACCGGTGGTGGTGTCTTTTGCTTAAAAGGAGATTTCTCACTTCTCCTTTTAAATTCCTCCATCCCACTCTTTGGGCCAGTTTACAGTGAAATAATAAAGGGACATGACGGGCATTCCGCTTCGCAAAAATTAGCCAGGTCTCATTTTTTGTAATCAAGGTCAATGCACCAACCAAGAGTCATGCAACAATACGCCAATCAACTTTGCCATCAAATCAGCCTCTTTTTTATACATGCATGCTTCGTCTTTGTTAGTCAACTTGCATCCTTCGTTACTTACGGGACACTACAGCACAGAATGCAGGCTCATACCTTAAAACCAGCCAAGTAAACCATGTGAAAAGAAGTCCACGAGAAATAAGTAAATGAGCAACATTGAGATTTTGTGCAATAGCAAACAACAAACCCATTGCAACCCAGGAATGCAGTTAGACCAAGAAATTAAACGCAAAACGATCACACTTGCACACATCTCATCATCAATCTTGTGAGCGACTGTGATACTTAGGATTAGGATTAGTTGCATTTTAGGCTCCATGTAAAAATTTATAAAGCACTTTCATGTTCACGAAATATTTCATGACCAATTTGTATGCAATTCTTAAGCTCAACTTTTCTCAACTTTGAAGAACCCAGTTACACTTACAGCATTTGCATAACGAACTAATTGCAATTAAGTAAAGCAAATGAGACACAAATATTACATACTCAACATTACGAAACTGAGAAGTTTGAATGTTCGTCGTATTTTTAAAACTTGCCACGTGTGGATACTTACATAAATGGAAATTTTAACCATTACATATTCTCTTTGCAGGTTATGTTATTACTCTCTTGAGACAGAGACATGTTTTTAAAATAAAAGTAACGTATTCAGTACTTGCCCTTTTTTATTAATATGTGTACGTGCTCAAGGAGAATGGACAGTCTTTTCTGGAACGAATTACATGTTCTCAAATGTTTTCTTCTTGGGACAAGAAACGATTTCTGTTGACATGTCAGGAAATATGCGCAGAAATTCCAATGTCAATTTAGGGTATGCTCCAAATACGAGGAAATGAGGACACTGCACAAGTCAACTTATTATTATTTTGCACTGTTGCGTTAAATCACGACTAAACTACTCGGTGCACAACACTTGCTTGCTTTCAACTCCTGTGATTTCATAACTGAAATATAGCTTGTGCATATCTTATTCTCTGAACAACATAACTGTAACAATCGTCTCAACGCTTCTCGGGTGCTATGCACTTGATCCACGCAAACGTACTTTCCGTCACATACCGTAGGTGTGCAGGTGATTTAATGTGCTTTCCTTATAGCACTATAACTAACCAATTCTAACGTTCACATAACAGCATCCTTCTGTGCTTACCTCCAGATAATAACAAGTTTAGTGGCCAATGTTACCACACAGCCTTCACGTTACTGTCGTATTATTGTCTATTGTTCAAGTCCTATTAGAGCATCCAAATCTCGTTGAATTATAACGGTGACAGCATTTCAGTCCTGTCCTAATGTCATGTCTTTGGATTCCCTTTGGTTAAATTTTGGAATTTGTGCATAATCGTTGCATTCAAAACCCTGTCCAACAAAACTACCTTAACTTTCCTCATCAAAATATGTCTAACGTAACTCCTGCCTAAACTCGCAGTCTATTATGTGTCCAATAGTGTCCAATATGGTCACTTTGCTAAATCTATCCCTAACTTTATTTTACAGGCATAACAATGCTGGCTGGTGTCAGAACAATGTACAATTATATAATGTGCCACCCGTTCTTCTGCTGGGAAACTAGATAGGAGGGAGGTGTAATATGTAAATTAGAGAAAGGTCTACAGAGACAATTATCTGAATGAATCTAAAAGTTTAATTCAACTGCGCCCAATGCGAGAGGGAACATTGTATAAATTTATAATCTATCCGTGAGTATAACGACCACTTTCGCCTCGTGATAATAAATACGTAAAGTTCAAGTTAACCTACTGAATTACATATTTAATTCGAAAATGTCTATAAATTAAGACTACACCCAATTTAACACTCCTCGTGTACTGTAAAAGGGAGATTTCATTGCAATACTTGAACGATATTTTCTATTACCAGTGTCCGTCAGTAAACACTTAAAATTACAAGAAAAATAATACGACCTTTTGGTTTCAGTATAAAAAATACAGAAAGTACGCGTATGTGATTCTTAACTTGGATAATTATTCGGGGTATTTATGCGCATAGATACATTGCCAAAACCTTTACCAAATAAAGGTGAACCAAATAATGGAGTGACTTACAAACGGTACTCATATTATTACATATGTATGCATCCAGAAATTACGAAAACACCGAGAGCGAACAGGAATCAATAAGTTCAAAGTTGATATTGCTGGTAATTTGTTATCTGTCTACCAAGAACACTCAATTTAGGAGATTAGTTAATTGCATACAAATTACGTTCGACTACTGCGAAATGTATGTATTTATGTATGATATTGAAAATGTCATGACTGATGCTCATTAATGTTGACGAGCCAGCTTGCATAGTTGTATGCTCGATAGGAAAATAATTTAGCAATGTGTCTATTTAGCCATATGTACACATACCGAACGGTAGCAGCCGGATTCCCGCATATCCATCAATTCATTCATATTTTTGTTTGGGAAAGTAACATTTCAATCTCTTTGAGGTCTGTCTGATGATAAAAGCCTGCTTGATTAAGACACAACAACGCAAGGTAGAATTTGAGTGTAATAGTAATGTGCGTAGGATTGGATAAAACTCATTTGGAGATGCCAATTCTTTATTTAGTTCACTTCAGTTGTTGATGAAGGTCTCCTCGCTGTTGCGCAGCATTATTAGCTTTCAAAGGAATGGATGTCAGCATAATTAAGAGAAACAAACCGAGAGGGGAATTCATCATTTAGCCAATTCAATTAACTGGATTACTTATTTATCGGGATGCTTCCGATGCTGGAGGAGACGTTGGAGTGGAGACGTGGGAGATTTACTAACAAACTCACCAATATAGAGACAAGTAAAATGCTCTAGTTTTTATCCTCTCTATTGTAATGCTCATCATATAAATGATTTATATTGGAATTGATTAATCAACACAAGTTTACGTTGTCAATATTATACAGCGCTTTTTTCTCAACAAAATTGATGGTTCAAAATTAATGAAAAACTCAGCAGACGACAAGAATGTATGTACAGTTCATACTTGTACACATGAAAGAAGATCAAAATGATGGAATATTTGCAGGAATACACTTATGCTCGTCATTCATCTAATCTTGGTGTCTAGTTTCACGCGGGTATCAAGTTTCGTTTTCAGATCGACTAACTCGTTTTAAGTAAAGCTTTTACAGACCTCATTTTATGTATGCAATCAATGTTTAACTACGAGTGATTTATTCTCCATTTTATACACAACGCTAACACTCCTTCTGGGTGACTTTGTCATTCAATCAGGTTGGATGGTCATGCACAACTAAAATGTTTTTGAACCAACTTTGTCATAGAAAATGTATGTGGGGCTGAACTATAGAGTAATTTGACCTCACTGTACCGTTTGCGCGTGGTTGTCATTGTCCTAACATACACGAAACCAACAATATGCATACTAATTGACTAATTGACTCGTTGGACGAATGGCTATGTCACGTAATGCTCATATTTCAGCAACAACAAATGAATAACATTTCGGTATCGGTTTAATTTTAATTTCCGCTCCAGAACAATTCATGCATATGGATATACGCTCACCACAAAACCTTTATCCTTTTATGGATTATTATTGAATTTTTTTAAAGTTATTAATGTGTTAGACATGACATTGTAAGAAGGTAATCTTCAATTCAGACCACTTGGCCTATTTAATGTTTTATAAATTAAAATACCCCTGGGGTGCGCTTCAAATATTGTGATCGAGATGAAGTCAGAAAAATTCTAGTGCCAAAAACGAGTCAAAATCGTTCTTGTTCTTGGTTCTGCAAATTGGATTCATGTGTGGCAATCTATCTTTTGTCGTAAAATATGAAATATAAACAGTTCATTAGATGTTAATGGTTTCAGAATAGCTTGTTAAACGAGGAATCGCAAACAATTTGCTACAATTGTTTGCTATTGTTAAGTGCCTGGGTGGCAGCTGTGGGTGGACGTCGATGGATGAATACCAATTTGTAATATTATGAATTTTCATACCTGAGCTAAACAAAGTGTTCCTTCACTCACAATACAAAACGTACTAATTGATGGAAATGAGCTGTCAAGTTGACATGAAATTGGTTGGCAGGCTAGCTCGATGCCATAATAAATTGGGTTCCTTTATTAACCTCTGACGGGCAAAACTTTCCATTCAGCTTTCCCAATGACCAAATGCCTTTATTATAATGCAGGTGCAATTAATCAACATTTTTCAACCAACAAATGGCAACATCAATAAGCGAACATCAAAGGATAAGACTTAAAATCAGTTTAGACGATCAAATAAGCATACAATGGTGACCAATTAATTAAGGTATCAATTTATCACCACATCCCCAACAAGTCATCCATCATGAATGTCAATAATCCCAAGCAGCATAAATAACGCATATGTATAAATATGTACATAGAGATACATAAGTAGAGTATGTATGTAGTAATTGTTTAGTTGGTAAGAATTTGCTCCCAAGCGAGGAGAAACATCAATTAGCCACAGGACGACGTTTGATATTGAATTAGACTTGGCAGTTGTATTTAGATTATGCCAGCGAGGTAACTAATTATCGTTTTTGTCGAGGTTAATTAATACCAAGAATTAATCAATCACGAAGCCCACAGCTCTTCAGCAGACCAAAAACAATAATCGGCTTGCTACGGATATTTCCGAGGTGGGGTGTGCAGTTTAGGTCATGATACGATTTGTATTTTGCGTATTTGTAACAGTGTAAAATTTGTGGTTGTGGGTGAAATTGTTGTTGTCAAACAACAAAACATTGCTTAGCCTGCACGCTGTACAATCATCATCAGGATCACATTGATAACTTTGTTTGAATTTGTTTTTATTTTGGTTCGAGAGCTGACGTCGAAATGTTTAATAATTTAGTTTGTTTGTATGATTGAGGTGAGTTTATGATGCCTGTGAATGAATACCCACTCATGCAACCTGATGGGGTTGATTATATCCATTCATCTCTTATTTTGTGGGTGGGTTGTGAGAGTAGTTATCGCACACAAAAGCATAGGGTCAACCAGCCGAGGATTGAAATTTTCAAGGTAAATCCATTAAAATTTTGCCTTCATTTCAATTGCTGTACGTACCAACAGCCATTGATTCATTTCATCAATTAGTTAATGTGCATGTCCAATTTTACATACAATCACTTGGTTGGTTGGTAGTTGGGCAGTGGCAGAGATGGCAAAAATCAAGCAAGTCATGTCATGTAGCAATAATTACAAGTACGACAACTCTGACTGTGGTACAAAAGTAGCAGTTAGACGAATGCATGTAAATTATTTACAAGGAACGGTAATATCGATTTTCATTTGATTATATGAAAACACTGGATAATTTATGTGGCTTTGATTTCTTACTTGATTGGATGTTTTGGATCAGAGTTGTAATTTATATTTTGTTGGCACACATAAATTGGTAAATGTGTCATGTTTATAACCTGAGCGAGTCGTGGTAATGTGCATGATATTATTAGTCGGCAAAGAGAGTATCTTTCATCTTTTTCGTGATCTTTATTTACTCGCTTGCTCTATTCTCCCATCCACGCACCACGTGAATGAATCTGTTTATACGTATATGAAACGATTCATGGGCAAGATTATAGCCAGATTTATGTATGTATTACACGTATATATGCACGTATTGCCTCCTTTTACACATGTTTCATAGTTGGATGTCCATGGAGTCTTGATTAACAGATCGTAGATTGTGCACGAATTACCAGAAACAAACGACGCGTCGTGAAGTTCAGCAAAGGATGAATGAAAGCTATGTCAATGGCTTCGCGAATATGGGAGAGACGTGTCATATTATTCATAAGAGGAGTTGAAGACAGACGACGAGCAAGGCGATGAAAAAATGAGACATTTTACTGAACGCGAAGAATAAATAATGTATTTATGTATGTACATATTTATGTACACTGTGGAATCACATTGTTCTTCGAGCCAGTGCCCATAAACCACTAGAGGTACAAATAATTTGATTACATTGTAATGTTTATAATAAACAACCCAGGGTAGACGAATGCTGAATATTTCATGACAACTCTTGGATTAAGCGGATCCAAAGTTTATCATTCCCAAAATCTCTAAAACCCTGGAAGTCAATTGATGCTGCTTGGGACCATTTAAAATTGTAGCATATGGAATGTGGTTTTTTAATGATGTTGCATAAATGGCGTTCATTCATACATAAGTACAGTGTCAGCCCAAGCGGAAATTAAATTCTGGTTAATAATGTTCCCCCACTATTTTATGTCCACCCTTTGCTCAGGGTACTACTTTGCATAAGCACTACTACATGCATCTACTTTGGAAATGGCTTAATTTAAATTCCTATATTCTTATGCCATTCCTATGAAAAATATGCTCGATTTTGGGTTTATTTTCATAATGCCCAAGATCGCACGCAGGTATGTAAGTACATATTGGTACATGGTTTTGTACGTACATATGTTAATGCATTGCAGGCAATACATTAATGTTTTCTTACCTTTGGAATATTTTTACCGTTGATAATCCAATCTAATTCGTTCGATTTGAACCGATTACACATTTGCATGCATGGAAAACGTTAATGTTTGGTTGACTGTTAATTTTCATACACATCCAAACTATGCTAATCACACAATGAAGGTTCTTGCAGGTTTGTATGCACGATTAAAATTCAAAATTCCGACAAATCTGTCAGCGACTGTCATAAATCCATGAACGCGACCACAACAACGTCTTCTTTCCGGTCCGGAAAGAGATATAACGCAGCTGACACTGTTGCACTTCCTCGTACAGAGCACACAATGCAAAAAAGGCGAGAGAGCCCATGTGAGTCTCAGCCAGAACTAGGAGAAAGTGTTGTTGCTGCTGAAAGTGGCGATGGAACGAACATCACGAACAGACTTTCACGTGGTGAGAATCGAAATCCAACTACTCGGCTCTCGGACTTTCACCAGGATAAAAGCAGAACTGAGAACGGAGTCCGTCCGGGTTGGAGTAGTGGCAGTCACTTTCCTTTTCCTTCCCGTCTACCTCGTCGTACTGAAATGGAAAGCACTTTCGAATGGTGCGAGCAGAATTCTTCCTTGGCTGCTGGCTTTCTCACTCGTTGTAACAAAATCCAACTGGCTGGCACACTGTTCGTGGCTCTTTCCTATCATATCTCAACAGCAGCATCTCCCTGGCTCTCACATCAGCCGTAGATGAGGCAAAAGCATTCGCTCCTCTTGGAGGAATTTTTGCACACCCGTCCAATACATTACAAGACCATGGCATGCGCATTCTGTAGTAAAATCGATCTTCGTGATTCTTGCATTGTGTTTCTCATCTCGCTGTGGCCGCTACGTTTTACTCTCGCCATTCCTACGTTGCATAATAAAAAAGCGAGGGGGACAGCGAACAATAACAGCGACGCGAATTACACGTCGTAAGTAAGAATTATACGTATGCCTGCATGTGTGATGTGGAGAGAGAGAGATGATGGATGCTGTTGGATTGGTTAGCAATTTAATGGTAGAGTTATTACACTTTGCCACGCAGTATATATGACACGGAGAGGTCCAAACCTAGCCGTGTATGTCTGGTACATGTTCTGGATGCTATGCAGCTTGAATTCGAATCTCAATACGGCAAGAGTGCAAAAAATGGCGTGTCATGCATACCATATTATTGTAGTGGTAACATCAGCGCAATTCCAATGCTTGCAGGCACAGCAAACACGTAGTACATTGGCAGAGCAAAAGTGGTTTGCATTTGAATCATACAAATATTGTATTCCTTTTATTAAATGTCGAGATGGGTAGAGGACGACGGTGTTGGGTTGCACAGGACGTATTATGAAGGTCTGTATGGCATTCTGGCTGGAATAGGTGGCTCATAACAATTTGGTAATAAATTGAGAGATGCTAATCTAATGGGTTTTCGGTTTTTTGCTATGCACAATGTTCTGTTATACGTATGTACACTCGTCGGGGTTTGGAGATGAGGGCGATCACGCAACATGGCCGCATTTTTACAGGTAATAAAAATGAACGGGAAAATTTTTCAGACAGAAATACAAGTATGCCAACGAGAGGATAAGGGTCTTATTTTACTTGGTGTCAATTGACTGCATTCTGTTATTTGGAATTTTTATTATTTGCTTAAACATTTTGCATGAGCTTTTGTTCGGAATTAAGGCAAAGTGCCCAAAAAATTCAAACAAATTGCAACATTTTTGTAAATAGTCTCATGTATCTACTTAGATAACAATATTGGTATTATATCAGTAAAAATATTTTCGACTATTACTGAGATTAGATAATTTGAAATGCTACATTTTTATGAATTTTCATGAAAATCAACATATGTAGCGTTCAGCAGCGTTGAAGCGTTGGGTATGATTTGTTGTCCCTTTGTAACCTTGGTAACTAAAGGGGGAAAAGTGTTTCTCTCAAATTTCTCGAAAATTTTTCCTTGAAAATATTGTTGAGATTGATTTGAAATACAATTCTACTATTGATTATAAATAATTAGTAATAATTTCATCGTCGTGTCATATGAACTATTAAAGTCAGTTATATTCATTGGCAGACATATAAGCTTCATAAATAACTGGTACCCCAAGAACCTAAATACATAACTAAGTAAGCTAACAACGTACCATTGTCGGGGAATGCGTAAAACTGAATTATTTCTTTATTGCAAGGAATCCAGTGTCAGCTCTACAGAATGTCAGACGCAGTAATGTGGAAACCGTCCTCGTACAGCGACTCCATTAAATTTTACGAGAGAATGTCCCAACTTCAAGGAGAATTGAAGACGTACGAGAGTCAGCACTTTAATCTGGAGGAAGAGTTTCAACGGTTGTGGACACAGGACACAAGTGTCCCCGTTTCAGCCAGTGGAGTGGAGCCAAAGACAACCACTCGTGTTCAACTTGGTCATTTATCCGAGAAAAGTCAACTTCTGGCCAACCCCACTAATACAAATCCGCGAAATTATGAGGATCAGGATCCACGACGTGCTAGAAATGCCTCAATTTTGGATAAACTCCAGGAATTGGAAACAAATGCGTCGATTTTCGCAGCTCGTTCTGAACGACTTCGGATGATGAGAGTAAGTGTGAGAACATGTACTTCCGTCTACTCGACTGACGTACTCGTCAGCCCAACCGCTTTCTCCATCCACATCATGCCGACTCCTTTTAATACACGGATATACATACGTTTAAGCTTGGCCGGTTTCATGTCCATGTACGACAGAGTGTATGCATGTGTTTGACGGACATTCGCATCAAAATATATTTTTCTTGAAAATTTTATACATGGAATAATAAATAAGGACAAGAAATGGAGTTTTTTTCAGCTCCGACAATAACAAAAGGGTAGGCAAATTGCAGAGCTATAAAGTTACTTCTTATATCTGACTGACACTTGAAAGCTTTGATTGAATGGCTACATTTATCAGGAGATTGAGGGGAATGCTTTGAGATATTTTCTGAAAGTGAGCTGAAGCTGAGCACGTTTAGAACAATCCTTTTTTCTTTGCACAAATGGCGTCCATAATTTTTGCTAGAATGGATTGACATAAGTCACAACCTAGAACTAAAATATATTAAAGAAATAAAAATACCCAAAGGAAAATGCATATACAAAGTTAAGGCAGTAGTTTACATTATACATTGTTTTTACATTTTCAGAATGAATATGAAAACCTCGTCCGAAAATATTCGACCCACAGAAATCACAGGGGGGCATCGGAAAGTAATTTCGGAGAAAGCAGATCCCTTTCCAGCAAAAAAAGAGTTGAGAATTCAGTCACGATGACCTCAACCTCGTCGAACACGGATATTACTGGTCCAGTTACGCCAATACTGAATCAAGGAAAGACAAGTTTCCTAAATATTGACATCCCTCTTGATCAAGCTTCTGAACAAGACTCTGCTGATGGTCACCCTCGGGACTTTTATAAAGAACGTAACCGCCATCACCGAGGTCTGATCTCAATTAGTGGAGAATACCCCATCAACGGTTTACCTTCAACCGGTACCTTTCCTTCGAAATACGTGCCCAGCACGGGAAAGCAGGGCCCTACCAAGAAGCTAGCCTTTCAGGATGATATTTCCAGCACTACGAGTGAATCTGCGGATTTAAAACCAGAGTATCGTAGTAATAATAATCATCCGCAGAAGCAAGAGGAAGAGCATTTTGACGAAACTTCGGCAGACACCACTTCACTTTCTGTGCTGCTGCCAAAATCTCGGGGCTCGAATTATATACTAAGCGTCTCCACAGACGGATCCTTGTCAGACTCCACTTCAATAAAACACCAGCAGCAGCAGCAGAATCCTTCCATTAATGCAAGAAATCCCAAAACGAGCAATGTCCCTCTCGCAACAAAAGAAAGCCTAACTGTCATTGATGTTGTTGACGATGAGCCTCACAGAGCAGATGCCAATGGGAATGGCCAAGAAATTACGGGGAAAACTTTCCCTGGTGCCACTGCCACTGGTTCCATGCAGGTAGAGGAAGAAGGGAGAAACCATGTTGATGCAAATGATGCGACTTATCTACCAGATCAGGAAGGAGACCATTCCTCCATGGCCAATGACAGCTCGTTGCACAGCATAGGAGACAGTCTGATGGATTCTACTTACCACAAAAATAAGGCCTCTGCAGAATCTATGCAACACAAACGGATACACGACGACGACGATTCCTCCAACCAGCATAACATTACTCGAGCGGGCAATGCCATAGAAGTGAAAAGTAAAGAGGATGATAATAATGAGGTGAGTAATATTGTTGAGAAGAAAGCAGGACTAAAGTCTATACAAGCCCAGCAAGGAGAAATCCAACAGAATATCAGCAAAATACCATCATCATCACCCTTTCTCCCGAACCAGCCACAATCTCCACGAAGAATCCAAACTGCGACTGATGAACAGATCGACGAAGAACCAAAGAAAGAAAGAACTTTCGACACGGCTGTTGACAAATATGCACATGGTCCAAGCAATGCGGGTTCAGCAGAGTTTGGCAATAATTTAGCGAAACTGGATCATAATTCATCGCAAATTATTAATATGGGGACATCATCTTTGCCAACATGCAGGTAGATAATCTTAAAGAACACCTTTCCTACTATTATGCAAAGCACCTTCAAACGCTCGTTACCTTCGAGTTCCTGACGTCGCCAAAATTCGCCTTAAATTAATAATAAGTAAGGCACAGCAGTTTCTTATAAATAAGTATGTCGACCAGCTTTGATCTTTTATTCACCTAGTCGAAATTAGTGGGACGTGACTCCCTGAGCACCTTGGAGGCAAATGAGAGACAGATTTCAAGATTGTCGCATGACCGTTGCAGTATCGTAAGGGAAACAGTTGTAGTGGCAGCGACGGGAAATGAATGCGTCATAACCCATTAGCCGAACAAAGCAAACTTCTATCTTTCCATAATATTTACTCTGATGAAATAAGTTTCACTCCTGAAACGCAAGGCATACAATAAAGAGAGACTGAACTGAAATGATGATTTTATTGCTACGAACATTAAACAAGAGAGACAACACTTTCAGCTCTATCAAAAGTACTTTATCTTGTCAAGCGTCTCACGTCAGCCTCAGTCAAAGACAATAAATAAGGCACCTTGATCCGTTTGATGTTGTAAATAATTTCCAGTCGCAGTAAGGAACGAGACAGATATATAAATGCACTTTATTCCTACCAAAATACTATTTACTATATGTGTAGTCAAGTCGAAACTTTTACTATTGCCACTGTTTATGTATTTGTATTGTAGTGATGATGGTGAGCTGCATCCCTTATCGGATGCATTGCCTCCTTCACCTCGCCCTCCTCTCTCCATAACTAATGAGACATCGCAAAAAATGCGACAAACAACAGGAAATTCAGCTGAAGACGGAGGAGCAGATCATTCCGGGCTGAACGGTAATGAGAAGATCGCTCAAAATAACAAAATTGGCAAATCAGATTCGAAGATGCGGGAGACAAGAGAATCAAAATTAACGTCAAAGATTAAATCTCGCCGTCTCAAACTGAATTTTGACGACTCAGAATCAGACAACTCAGAAACTGAGAGAGAGAGGGGAAACCCAGGCAAAAGGGGGGATGAACCTGTCGTTAAAGGGTCCTCACTTTCGACGTCCGTTTCGACGAAACAAGTACCGACAAAGGAAGAATTAGATGCCGAATTTGAAGATTTCTTTGGTTGATTTTGTGTTTTGTTATTAATTATTCTATTTTCAGTTGTTCCTTTGTCCAGCAATGCATACAAATATACATGTACAAAAGGTGTTTAGACATTTATATTATTTGCGTTTAGTGTTTAATTGTACACGAGTTGGTCATGCATATTTCTATATATATGTATTGTTATAATAAATACGCGTGTACATATGTATATCCATGTCAGGTTATTTTATTTATTTAGGTTCATGCAGCTGAATATTTTATTCACGATTTCCAGACGATAGCATCATTTCAATTCTTTCAAATTGCGTTCGAAGCTTTTCGTCCGCCAACGAGAATTGTGCAGACAAATTATGAGCTGGTGGTTGGTCTCCGGATGGAGATAGGTCAAAGTATGATTTTGTGTTAGACGCCGGAAACAAGTCAGCGCCCTTGGCATCGCGTTGCTGGGCTGTGGTTGCACCTTGCGAAGGAAACCTTTCTTCACGGTTGAAATCCATCCGGTTTCCTTGCTGCTTCGCGGATTCATCCGTGTTTGAGGAGAAAAGCCGCTGTCCAATGTCTTCGATATTGGCTGCCGTGGTCAGATTCGCACTCAGGACTGATTCCATCTGTTTGAGCAATTCCATGCAGGAATCAGAACCGATCTGAATTTCTTGTCCCAGGAGTAACCAGCGTTGGGCCCGTCTGTAAATGGTTCGAATTCGGGCAATGTCTGCGACAATGTCTTCAAATTTTCCAATGCGGAGGTCTCTCATTTGTAACTGGTTCTTTAAGGCGTCCATGCAGCCCAATTTGAACATGGTGAGTAATTTGTACTGGAACGGACTTGCAATTCCGGACAGTTTGAAGTCACCATCAGGCATTCTGTATACATGAATGTGTAATTTGTAAGTTATAATACATACACATACACGTATCTATGTACATGTGCCATTTAACGCACAACTTACAACCAATTTTTTTTTTATAAATAACCTTATGGAAAATTTTTCAATTGTTTGACTGAAAGTTAATTTTCTAAGAAACCTTTTTCCATTTAATCTTTAACAAGAAGAGATAAAAAGTGAATAAAAGTTTTATAATCAGACGATATTCATGCACCTTTGCCTTTTTCTTTGCATTTGAGCATATGTAGATGAACTTTCATAAAAAAAGTCACCTAAGCAATGTAAATACATATGTGAAATATTTAGGAATAAAAGTTTCAAGTATGTATGTCATACAAGCACGTATTTCCATATTTCTTAGAAAATAAATGACATTTACTTACGACGGGGACACCATAATCAAATTTTTGTTGGGCTTCTCTACAGTGCACACATCATTGGGATGAAACAAACATCGAGGCATCTTGATCCTCCTGAGGAATAATAAATAATCCAATGAAAGGGAACTAATCAGACACCGTCTCCTCTCTCATTCACATCTTTTCGATCAAAATAGTGTAGGGGAAGCATACTTTCCCTCATGGCGTCACATAAACAGCGCATTATTATTTCTTCGTCGTCGTCGTCTTACCAGCCAAACTCATCAAATTCACGGACCGATATCTCGTTCGTAAATCAAAGACTCGCAGTTTCATTTATTATAGAGAAATACAAAGAGCAAGGAAAATCCAGGGCTTACTTAGTCCCAATCAAATTATGTGTTGTGCATGCGAGCAACTATGTATTTACTGCTTGACTTTCATGAGTTTTATGACTTGATTACCATTCACGATCTAGTTGACGAAGTATTGCATAAGCAAAATTCGTATATGGAAGAAACGACTCTTTCAGATCCACAACAATGACCTATTTCAAAAGTAAAGAAATTGATCGTTAAATAACTTTAGAAAACCATCTTTTACTAGTGTATGCATGTATGTAGTAGTTCATGAGTTTCATAATAATACTCAATAAACTAGTGTTTTGAAACTTATTGCAATTTAGTTATCTCTCTCTCTCCCTCATAAACTTTGAGTATCATAGAATTTAAGGATGACTGCGTAAGTAAGCACTTTCTCTGTAGAAAATTACACGTAATAATAATCTTACTTGATGCTTTCGAGCAATCAATATGTCCGAGAGGGAAGGTTTCCAGTTTGAACTCAGCTTGGTCTCATGCCGACATTCAATGATTTTAAATTCGTTTTTACAAGTTTTTGAAAACTCTTCAACTGCGACACGAAACATGAGCGGAATCAATGCGGCCGGGTTCTCCTCAATGATTTCCTTTCCAGTAAACAATGACGCCTCAACTCCTGCGTGAAGTTTAATCTTTTCCTATTGTCAAACAAGGGGAGGAAACTTAAAGACACAATTTCGGAAACAATAACAATAGAATTTCCGATAATATAATGAAAACAGAGTGATGGGAGCCTACGATCCTTCAGACATCTCATTCTCATGGGTTGTTTGGCAAAAAAGTGAAAGTAGAATAACACATTATACAATATTTTTGCATACTTGAAGTATTTTGGCAAGCTGTCCAACATCTTTGTATTTTCCATCATCCTTTGTTTGCACCAGATCTTGCGTCAGAACGGAAGGAACTTGCGGGCCAATGCTGTTTTCTGCTTTCATTCCGTTCAGTATAATTGCAAACTTGGGAACATCAGCTCTCGATTGAGACATTTGAATTGGAGAACTGATTGCTGATATACTGCTCATTTTGCAATGATTTTCAGCAATTCACACGCAATATGAGTCAGTTATAAAATGTTATTTCCTGTTGGAAATGCTCACCCCCTTATCTGCATAAACTCGTATCAAGAAATTGGAACTCCATAACAATATATTTAATTCCAAAGAGACGGCATGCTCCAAAAGATTTTGATAAGAATTTTCTTTCCACTAAAATTTTATTAAAATTTTACCGGAGAAAAACGAGCCACTGGTTTTATATTATTACATTTAAGCATTACTTTACAACGAGGAACGTTGCCTCAATCTTCCTACCGGAAGGAAACTCGGGGAATTTATTTTTGTATTTATTAAACACAAAAACATTCAAAAAATATAAATACATTTCGTTTTATTAATAAATTTTCCATTTATTCTTGCAATTGTATATACCTATTTAATAAAACGTGCTGAAAAACTCTTCATTCGTTCATTTTCGCTTGCATCCGTAGGTAGAAGACTACCTTAATTTTACGGAAAAAATAGATGCATAATTTTAATTTTAATAATTAAGTTACCCTTGCAAAAACTATTTCACAAATAAATTAATGTAAATTTTTTATTGTTGTATGAAGTGAAAATGTAAAAAGTCAAAATACACTTGCATATAGATATTTCAGCATGCAATAGCAATATGAATGTAATATGAATTTCTTGTTGAAACTAACCTATGGGATACATTAAACAGAATTTATTTAGTACCTATACGAGAATTTACGTGCAGTGAGTGATTCATGAGATATTTTACAGTTTGAAGAATCATGCAAAATGTGAATTCGATCTTATGACGATGCATGCAAAAACTAAACGCCAATTGACAAAAAAAATTATGTAAACTTTATACATTTTCCACGTCTTGTGTTCCCAATTAAGAAAGAGGCAACATAAGCAGATCTGCATTCCTGAGATAAAGATTGAATGCATTTATTTACATTTTATTTATTTCTTTCTTTGCTTCAAGTAATGTCGGCTGGATTCGGGAAAGTTGGGACGTCGACGCACTGAATAAAGACGGTTTTGCACACCGAAAGCGATGTGCCATACTTTCCTCTCACCTCGCTCTCTCTCTCGGTCGGGTACTTGCTGCCAATGATAAGTGCTTAATCATACTCTCTCCTGCTTTCATCAACACCACTCTCTTTCTCCCCATATCATCTGCTCCCGATGTCCGTGAACATTGCCTTATGCTGTTGCAGTGGTGCGAAGTAGTGGTCGAATATTAATGCTAAACCCCTTCACTTCATCCGTAGAGTACTGCATTTAGCAAGGGCCTAACATATCATTATTGTGCACTTTTAAGTCAAACAAGCTGTAAACTGTGCCACGACTAATAATTAAAGAGTCTAATTGTTGTAACCAAGTGATTACAAATCCGCATTTATATTACAAGTTGAATAAAAGCAACTGAAAAGCCTATTGTTGAGAGTGCATTTGTCCAAGTGAAAGTCTCGAGGAAACAAAAGGACAAGAAGCCAGACTATATAATCAATATATTTATGCAAGACGAGTTGTTTGTTAACACGAGAGCACCGTCATCGATCATCACTTTGTTAGAGCTACCTGCGAGATAAGTCAATGTCGAACCTAAGTTATCACAACTCTGCAACACAAACTGCTATCCATCCCAATGTTTCTGGAGTAAATGACGAGGACGATGGTGAGCCCAACATTCTCTTCCGTCGTCGAGAAGGTATGTCATTTGTTCCATTTGTTTAATGCATAAGTCACTGTGTCTGATTAAAATTCCATCATGTACGTGGTGGAATTGTGCATGCAGACAAAAATAACAAAAAATATATATGAAGCAAAAATTTAATTGCGTACGGTTGCAAAATTAGAGGAAGTAAGGTATGCATGGGTTACATGCAAAATACCAAAATATGTACGATTGATACGGGATGTGGGAATGGGATACGGTTGATATCATATCTTTATCATATCCTAAATTGTGAATAATACATGTATAGCATGCATATTATTATGGCTATTAAATCATTAGTCATTTAGTCATATAGTGTGGAACCAGGTGCTTCACACAAAATGAAGATAAATTTCCGGCAGTCATCCAACTGCGAATATCATCGAGTCATCTTTTTGATCATTCAATTTAGCTCAAGATATGGCTTATGAATTAGCTTAAATTTGGATGGGTCACATATTTTCCGAGGTTCCTACTCCACACTCGCATGGTGTCGTGTATTATAACTTCAAACAATTTATGTAGCAGTCGAAGCATATAAAAGGGGCGAGAATAATTTTCCAGTAGTTTTTCGGGAAGTTCAGGATAAAAATGCTGTCAGTTCTACAGGCAAACGCCAACTATGCCTATTATGCAACTAAATATTTGTGGTTCTCCTGTGCAAGTAGCCTTGCATGTTTTAGTGAATACGAGATATTGTGACATCCGTTAAGTGCATGCAATGCATGTAAATACCTAATATCGAGTACAACAAGTTTAACGGACAAACAAATAGCCGTCATAAAGTATCTTATGCATTTATTCCACAATACAGAGTGAGTGAATAGGCTACCAAATAAATTGCTTTCAATAAACGAGTTTGTTCCCAATAAGCTTCAAGTGTTTTTAATAACCAGTCGTTACGAATGAATCGACATTGTTTCAGATTTTTAGTAATCTCTTGTAATATTCCGTTCCATCTGCTTCAAGTATTAAAGTGCATACACACTTTGTCACGTTCCCAAAAGTTGACGCGAAGCATAATTCACTTGCTCGAAATATATATTCGTCTAATAAAGGATTTCCTAATCAAATCAACTGGTGTAAGAAGTATACATGGGTTTCAGAAGGGTATTACTCGTACATATCAGACGATGAATAATGGTTGTTCCATTCATACAACATTTGGTACGTTGACTCCTGTTCAAACAGTAACTGCTTGAAACAAATAAGGTTCAGACATCGCAGCAGAGTGACTTTTCACCACTCGTCCTTTGGAATCTTGATTAATCATAATCATAATAATACTTTCAGTCGTCTCGTGTGTTATTCACAACTTTTGCACGAGTTGTATTGTACGGCAAGAATAGCCAGAACCACTGCATGCGTCGGGTGATGCAACACAATGGTGCCCAAATAACACAATAAACACTCAAGTTTTTTAACAGTGGTGCTGCGAGTGCTATATACTTGTATAATAATATCGCATATATATGCATGTACATATATCCGACGTCTGTTCTGTCTGAGCTGAAATTTTGCAAGGAGCAGAAGTAATATAATAATAAGTCTCCATTGAGTGGTACTGATCGAGTTGAGGGATTATCACGTCATATTTATCAGTAGTTCATATTTGTCATACAATAAGTGATAGTAGGAATTTGCTGTTTTCAGTAAACTCTGATACAATATTTGTGCACATCCCAGACAGACTCCGATTCTGACAGACTGTTATTTGTGATCTCTTGTTTATTTCCTCGAATTATTACGACACTTCTCATCAAACGTAAATATGCCATTGCAAACTAAGATTGACCTAACCTTGGGTCAAAATGGGGACAAAACTACCTCCGAACCGGTTGGAATTAGTGGGAGGAAGAGTAATCTAAGTGAGGACCATTCCGTATCTGGAGATTTGGCTGAAAGTCTTATGTTGATGAAAGGTTAGATTTCTTGGTTTTCTTTTCATGATTGAATGTTTAATTTCACGTCCAAATATAAAAGTATGCTTTAAACACCAACCACACTTCATGTCGTAAATTATTCTCGGAAAATTGGTAAAATTACTAATTGCTGGCCAAAAATAGGACTTTATTATTCAGATGCTATTGTGATTGCCATTTGTAAACAAAAATTACTCGTATATAGTTAGTATTTGGAATTTTACAAGTAATTGTAATTTGTAATGTGGGTTTCAAGTTACTGTTGCCAGCTTGATGTATTTTGAAGTCTCACATCATGTACCCATGTATTTAGCACTTCTCCGTCGAATTACACCGAGCATATGCTAAGTTTGGCTAAAATATTTTTTAAAGATTATTTCGTCCATCAAATTTTGGTAAATGTTTGCCATTTTGGAATTTGTTATATGTCTCATATCTGAAGTGCTAATTGTCTCAAATTCTTGGTGACTTCCCATCGATGACTGATTTGAGACTGTTGTCTCGCGTCTCGCCTACTCTCCACCAAATATTTTGAGTCAATTGAGGGTAAGGAGATGTCTGAGATAAGAATAATACGAAGCGCATGCCGTTGCCTTCTTTCCATATCACACAAGCAGCCAACTGCGAGGAAAAGTCTTTTATCATGCCAAACTTATAAAAAACCAGGATCCAAAAATAACTTCTGACAAAAACCTGTACGTATATTACAGAAAAGTCAGCTGCATGCATATTATAATTCAGAATCGCATGTGTTGCAAAACTTAAGGATCAGTCTGTGTAATCGTTAGGTTCATGAGGTTTACGGAATATTTGTAATGTTCACTGAATATTAGGCATATGGCACGTCCAAGACAAGAGTATCTTCTTGATCCACCAGTCTACACTACAATACAGTTTACACTTTACTTACCGTTTTCACATATCAGAGACTTAACTTCTTAATCTGATTAGTATCAAAATTGCAAAACACTGATGCATATCTGAAAAAGTTCTGCGCCTGAGATTTTTTTCCATACCCGAGAAATATTGACAAAACAAATTGGATGATTCTATATCTGCACTATACTTGTACTGACCGAGAGAGTTGTTGTAATTTATCATAACGGATTGGACTACATGGTAATAGTGTGTTATACGTTACTTGAACTGTGAGTGGGGGAAAAGCAAGGGAAAAGGAAAACATAAATAAAAAAAATTAAGTTATAGGATAAAAAAGTCATGTCGTTTCGGGGATATCGATTTAAGAAACTTGGAGAGTCGGGAGAGTCATCCTTTGATAGCGATGTGGATCTTCCTCCCTTTGCGAATGCAACGTCAAGAGCTCGTAAGCTTATTGTTTATATACTTGGAATGTTCTTGACATTTACGACGAAATGTGGAAATTATGGTTCAATTAGGCAATTCGACCGCAATGTGTTACCATCAGAGGACCAATGTCACTTATTTGACCGATAATAAGTACGATGGTTTCACTAGCTAATAAATCCCGTATAAGTAAGAAAGTACTCTCGGTGATTGGTTCATTTAGTGCCATAGAATGCACTAATAGAAACTTTGCTGGTAGATTATTAAGCGATTTAGTTGTATTGCTAAATGCATATTTTAATATACAGGTCCTATGAGACTATGTACGATTAGGTTTCCCATCGAACGCAATCAAGTTTTATTGTGTAGTAATACGATGAAAGTACATATCACAAGAGAGTCGAGTAGCTTTCACTAATAAAGGGAAAAGACATAAGGGATCAAGCTAATCAAGGATAAATTGGTATTTGCAATATCAAAAGGAACATGATACTCCTGTATTGTGTTTCATGCTCCAGTCAATTTGTAATTTGTGCTACATTACTGTTTCGTATAAATTCCTATTCGGGTCACCACCACTGATCGTGAGAAGGGGAGGTTGTGCGGTTGGCAGTACCAGGTTTTGATGTCCTTTCGACATGATGGTACTGCACCTCCAAGAGGTTTGACTCCATGACCCCATTTGCGCCTGTCACACCCACCAAAGGGGAAGTTTGCCTTATTATATCAAATATTAATATATCCTTTTTTGTATTAATCTCAAGCTTTTCAACTCTCAACAGGAAAATACTAAAAAAAATTGAACTTTATGTCGGATTTAAAACAACCTTCTTGATTCAAGAGAATGCTTAACTCGCGAAAATCTGATAAAAATTGGATTTTTGACTAGGGTTTGAATTCTGTAGTTTCAGTGATTACAATGTATGTGAGGGGGTGTGGCAGCGCATGGAACGGACTCTGCTTCACTTTTTCTTGCTTCAATTTTCCTATACTCATTGGTTACTACAAAATACCCAAAAGAGCATCAAAATCTGGGGCTGCGTGATGCACAACCTATCCTCCTCCTAAAACAAAGTGAAAGCATGACGAGTTTTGCCGAATTGGACAAAAGTTGTTAGACTTCATCTATCAAGACCTTCATTATGAAAGCTTCATGGTTATATTGCATCAAATATCGGTCGTTTGTACATTGTTTATAATACATGACAGAATATATATATGTATATGTTACATAGAATGAAAAATTGATTTTGGTGTACATCATATTGGATCTAATAGCAATTTGGCTGGTTCTATTTAATGGATTACTGGTAACTCATATAATCGAATTGTCATATTATATTCCCATCAGTCCTCTTTTGCAGCCCTTCGAGATAGTATTTTTTCTATTGCCCATCCAGAGTTTTTGAAACACGGCTTCAGATTTCCTTAACAGAAAGGTTGCGATTCGCTTGAAATATTTGTGACTTGAATTTATAAACAATTCTGACCAATTTCAAAAAGAAATAGTTTGTCATTGGATTGGACTCCAATCATTGAAGACATAATTTTCTCTGGGTAAGCTCACCTGACCAGTCATGGTCCACGCAGATTAGGACTATTTTAACGTTGCGTTGATAAGAAAAACCGTCATAAAGTGAAACTCTGCAGGCTATACTTTGCCTTTTTTGAAGTATATGTACATCTTTAGCCTGGCATGTGGCAACAACAACGAGAATCTTGGTTTTATCCTTGGGTTTATCAGAAACGCATGAATATAATTTTGTTAAGGTATCATGTCTCTATTCCAACTTTTGTTTTTAAAGTTGTGCAAGTCTAAAGAAGAATTATTGAGAACAGTTGACAGTCGTGAGCAGGCGAACCAAAAAACAAACAGACATGACAAATATATACCTCAAATAATTTTTGACTGGGTTTATCACTACTTGGGATTTAAAAGTTTTGTTTTACAAGACGAAACCTCCCAAGGAAATAAACGTGTTGTTTGTGGTCGGTCGAGTTGGCGTCGTAGTACAGTAAACCTTTCGAATGTAGAACAGAGAACAACTACCTCGCACTTAAATCCATAACCTCTGAGCTGTTGTCTTCTCTTCTGAACGACGGCAATTACTTAGTTGTGCTTAAATTCACAACAGATTTTTAATCCCAGTCCAATTGAAGTACATTTGTAGATAAACATTCGTTGCATGGCACGACATGTTGTTTATCTCCTCCGAGAGATAATTTTATCATATTATTATTATATGGCAAGAAATCGAAGACAACGTGAAGACAATAAAACGATGCCATAACAAACCCAACCCCTTCTTGGTAATCCTTCATTGGATAAAACATTTTGTAGGACTGGCTCCACGGGCATTCAATTTCTGACCTTTGCATGGTTTACAGCATATTCAAGAGCTCGATACATAATTTTTAAAGTCGAGTGCTGATTTAATACATATATTTATTCGATATCACTTCAAGTGGGAAGCCGCCTAGTTATTTGAAGATAACATTAATTGGGTTTTCAGATCACTCCAAAAATAATTTATTAATAACACGACGGGATTAACTGAAAGTTCATAACTTGTCAATATTATTCAAGTGGAATGCAATATTGATACTGTTAATGACCAATATTATATTTCCTATTAACTGCATTCCTTACTACAACTACCAACCAGTCGCTCTTTGTAATCAACTCCTTGCTTGCATTTCAATCACTCCTCTGCATACCGTAGTTAAATTCATAGCGAAATATGGAAGGTGTGTCTCATCCTGATACAAATATAGAGGAAGGTTTGGGAGATGAAAGAATTCTAAAATGGGTTCTAAAAAGTGGTCAGCTTCCTCCCGACCTCAAAGCTGCGCTCGATTGCATGATGGGCAAACGGGAACAATACATATCAGAATCTTCTGGATTCGATTCGAATCCATCCGGTATGCACCGTGCAAATAAACGTGTTTGACATAATAATAATAAAAATGTTTTACATATTTTGTTTGATAAGTCAGCAGTCTTGTATCAAAATGATTTAGTTATGATGTAATATGATAAGAAATACAAATTTGAAAGTAAAATTTGACCTCTGAATTTATTTACTTTGTTGACCTTTTAGGGAGTGAGAGTCCCACTTATGGGAGTCCAACTTCGTTCCAAATCCCCAAAATTCGACACTCGCAGGTAACTTTTATTATTTTATGAACATACAAAAACCATTACAGCATTATGTTTAAATAGTTGGACGACACTTATGAAGAAATGGTTGGGACAATTCTCATGCAAGAGAACAATGTGATTCAGATTGCCAACGAGATTTCCACCCCGTTTGAAGTGCCTCAATTTCCCATTGAACAAATTGAGACCAAATTAGCCCTTCAGCGACAACTTAGCATCAGGTAACTAATTATACTTTCGTCTTTAGAATGAGATATTTTTTGTGCTTTTGTTTTCCCATTTTCTCATATTTTTATGTAGTATTATTTATTAGTGTCACTGTAAATATGTAATATTCGCAAAAAGAGGCGATATCAAATTCAATCTGATCAAGGATTTTCTTGTACTTTTCTTGCTCCTCTTTATGCCTGGCATACAGCAAGACCAAAACGGACGTCAAGTAAGCCTCTGAATTTTCGAAACTTTTCTTCTCAACTAAACGTTTAACACACAAAAAAATCAACATTTATCTCCACACGACTATCCATCCATACATTTAGCTTAACATACATGATTTTACATAATGCTTACTGCAAAGTAACTAAATATTTTATCTAGTAGGTCCTTAAATTATTTTAATTTACATAACAGAGTTCACTGTGTTTTCAATGACTAATCATTAATTGACACGGAATGGTTCAAGCTTGTTTATTGGTTAAGAAGCTCTTGGTACATTTCCTGTCCGGATTTTGGCGTTTGTATATAATGCGTAGATCAAGAAGTAAACAGCTCCGTACTTACATACGTATACGCTGTTGATATCTACCGTGTTGATATCGTGGTGTAGGCGACCTACGAGAAATTTTGCAAACTCGGGACGCATTTATTGCGTTGCAGTACTTGCCGTATGGCATAAAATAATGGTTTTCCATGCTTTTCGTCGCAGTTTACGCGTTGAGCTCACTGGACATTGTGACTCAAGGAATCCGCAGCTTATGAAAAATAATTGTGCAAAAAATAATAATTTACATTTCTTACAAGTCGTATTTACTAGCATAACATTTTTTAGCTGCATTCGAGGAGTTCATAGAATAGGTCTATGCGCAACGCTTGATGTTCAAATGCTGCTGGCATATGTATAAAAGTGTCAAACTTTGATTGAAAACAAACATTAACTTTAAAACTTATACAGACCGCTCAACTATTGGACTGTTTTTTTAAATAAAAATACTTAAAGACGATGGTTTACATACAATTCTGCAGGGCGAAGGATTTCGAGGCGCGGTCACAGCATGGCTTTGAACCAACCCTCGGAGTCACACCGGACGAAGGAGACCACGATGGTAGCGTCAAGGACGACTTTGAATTTGATTTTGTTCCTCATTTCCAAAGGGTTTCCGTTTCTGGAGAGGACACTTCCGGGGTAAGTTTATTTTTCCTAAATTACAGGTCAGCCATGATAAGCATATTTTATAAGTGATGATGTGCCAACTTTCTCTTTGTACTCAAAAGGTCCCCTATGAAGATCTGGTTCATGCATCAAAATATCTTGTGAATGCTTTGCGCCTTCGGGAAAACTATATGGCCAAATCTCGTCAAAGGTATGTACATACATACATATGTATTAGAGTTGTTTCTGCCTTCAAATCTAAAATCTAATGCCAATTATATCTTAATTGTCTTAATATACTTTAATTATAGTTTCTTGAACATAACTTCACGATTTCTTGCTGCTCTGGATCAACCTCAGAAGCAGCCTGTGCAGGAACACCATGATGATAAGAAGACGATTGATGGTAAGCAATTTCTTAATTCCATTTGTTGTAAGTCGGTATAAATATTGTACAGACAACGAATCTTTTATTTCATCTTTTTATAAATTCAAAATTTCGTACGCATGAACTTTTAGCTTTTTCATGTTGTATACATTTTAAGAAGCTTTTTACTCTCTTTCTCTTTATTGCTATGAATGGCGTACTCAGAATTTTTTGATCTATTCATCTTTTTGTCAGACCTGTGTATATCTTATATCGTACAGCGGTTTTAGAGTTGGCAGAAATGACTCAGAAACTAGAGCAACTTAGAGATCGATGCCAGAAAAACCGTTGTGATCATGGCGTCGAAGGTACCCATAAAATTTCCATTCCTTCCATTTCACAATTCCACCCCATCCTTGTGGCTGAAAAAATCCTTCTTCTAAACTTTCCTAACCTACAGGCATTGGAGAAAGTACGAGTGACACTGTTGCTGTTGCACCCAAGTTTTGCACCACAAACCAGACTGACCCTCGTCTAACTTCTTCGATAAACAAGTTGGTCAAAACGCTCAAGTCCACTTCTGAGTCTATTGATAAAACCCGTGTTTCTGTATCTGGATTTGAGTCAAGAGTTGATCAAATTAAGAATGACTTGCTCAACCCCACTCAGGTCCATGTTAAAATGAAACCGAGAAAGAGTTTGTATGTGGATGAAGACAATAGTGACACGGACATTCCAAAGACTGAAGAAGCACGTCAACTTAAAGAAACTGAAGTGCTCCACATCAACGATCCTTTTGCTGGTACCTTATTACCTTTAACCTTAACATTCTCCTACCTACCTACTTACCTACCTCCTTTGACATTGATCCAATGTCTGAGATAGCCTCAAAAATTTTTCGATATTAGCTCTCACGAAGGATTATTGGTTGCTGAATAATTAAATATGTACATATTACTGACAAGAACACAATCTGGGATTCTAAGTAAATTAGGATGCGTGTGCTTTCTGCTCAATTTGGTATTTGTTTAAGTTTAAGCGTTTAAGTTTAAATGGCAATATTTTTACTCTTTAGAGGAAAGCTGGACGGTGGATGGTTTGGTACAACAAAAGGGTTACTATAAGAAGTCCAAAGGTAGTCTCACTACCGTCTGTCAGTGTTGACTTTCACTTTTGACACAAATCAGTCCTAACCTAGTTTTTTTAGCTTCAATTAACATGTTGCACAACCCTTACCATCCTCTCATATGGAAACATTGAACATTATTATGAGTTTGTATGTGTTCCTAGCAAAATCAAAACAAAAGCATAAGAGACTGTCAGAACGGATGCTTTGCACGTTTCAATTAAGTCCACCTATCTGCCCATCTATTTACCTATTTTTTAGTTAAGCTATCACCATAAACGAGTCCTTGTGGACCCTGTTCTTAAGGTGTTGCGTTGTGATGTCCTCGTTATGTGGTCGTCATACGTGTCTTGGCACAAATGTCTAATTCATTGTATGCTGTAGACCATCCAATCCATCCACCCTCCGGGCGAGACAACCCTTGGGAAATTGAGTTCCAGCCAAGTCTCAACTGGATTTTGAAATTCAAAGAAGGGGTGTGCCAGGTCTTCCCGAATGAAGAAGCCCAACAAAAGGAGGAGCCGAACAACTATCCATTTCCGGGGTAAAGCTTTGCACTATGCGCAAATTCATGCATATATATATACATATATACACATATATACATACATATGTACATACGTATGTCCTAAGTATGTGAACATGTGGGAAGACGTATTAATTTGCTCATTTAATGTCACAGACTCCACGAGTACATTCGGGATATGAAAATTCTTTGTGTGATGATTGCTGATGGACCCTTGTAAGTATATTTGCTTTCGAGATTAGGTGTGCGTAGACAGAAACATTATAGTTGTACATGTTGAAATATAATTTTACATGTCTTATTTTTCAGGAAATCATTCTGCTTTAAACGATTAAGCTATTTATTTTCCAAGTATCAACTCCATGCTCTGCTGAATGAGGTTCAAGAGTTGACAGCTCAGAAAGATGTACCACATCGAGATTTTTATAATATTCGCAAAGTACGTACACATAGTTTTTTCATACTATTCAATTGTAAACATCAATTTAATTCTGAATTGTTTTAATTATCAGGTGGATACTCATATTCATGCAGGTATGCACATAATAAATAAGTTTACATTGTTGGTTTGGTAGAAATAGCTGAAAACATTAGTGTTAATTTCTTTGCATGTCACGTAGCCTCATGTATGAACCAGAAGCACCTTCTTCGCTTTATCAAGAAAACGCTAAAGAATCACGCAGATGAAAAAGTGTGCCATAATGAAAAGGGGGAGTTGATGACATTGAAAGAAGTATTTCAGTCCATGAATTTGACTGCCTATGATTTGACGGTCGATATGTTGGATGTCCACGCTGTATGAATTTGTTTTGAAAAGTTGCATAAGACAGTTGTGTATGCACATTTATAAAATGTTTGCAATTTCAGGATCGAAACACATTTCATCGCTTTGATAAGTTCAATGCAAAGTATAATCCAATCGGAGAATCCCGGCTGAGGGAAGTTTTCCTTAAAACCGACAACTTTAATGATGGACGATACTTTGCACGCATTATTAAAGTACGTATAATGACGTACATTTAAGAAATTTTTATGAGATAAACTACAGCACGATGACCATTTTGTTTTTACTTGTCCCTTAGGAGGTGATGGCAGACTTTGACGAAAGCAAGTATCAAAATGCTGAACTACGGCTGTCAATCTATGGTCGAAGTAGGGATGAATGGGATAAGCTTGCCAAGTGGGCAATCACCAACAAGTAAAGATTTGATTTATTGATTCAAACTATTTCGAAATACCATATCAAAAATAGCTAGACTAGAATTAGTTGGCCTATATATTCTGGTGGTAATTTATTCTTCTCCTCCTTCCAGCTTGTACTCGGATAATGTTCGATGGTTAATCCAAGTTCCACGACTTTAGTAAGCGTAGTAAGCAGTAATAATGCCAATACAGTTAACTAATTACATAATTTGATATACAGTGATATTTACAAGTCAAAGAACCTGATTAGCAACTTCCAAGAGATTCTAGAAAATATCTTCATGCCCATTTTTGAGGCGACGAATGACCCCAACACTCATCCGGACTTGCATCGATTTCTGCAATATGTGAGTGCCCAAGACCTATGTATAATAATGATCTATGACATGTAGTATAATTAATTGGACTACTTAATTTGCATGAAAACTATATACACTAATTTGTGTATATTTGTGTTATATTCCAGGTCATTGGGTTTGACTCTGTTGACGATGAGAGTAAACCAGAACATCCTCTCTTTGATCACAATGTGCCAACGCCTGACCGCTGGGCGGAGAAGGAGAATCCCCCATACTCTTACTATTTGTACTATATGTATGCAAATATGGCTATTTTGAACCATTTCCGAAGGTAATTTCACATACATTAAAAAAATCCAGTCGCTTATTATTTCTTGACAAATATTTCAATTATTTTGCTCATAGGGAGCGAGGTCTCAACACATTTGTTTTTCGCCCTCATTGTGGAGAAGCTGGCCCCGTTCAGCATTTGGTGTCTGCATATTTGCTGGGTAATAATCATACCCCGGACAAATATTTTTTTATCCTACCCTACTCATGTTGAGCTCAACACGAGTAGGGTAGGATAAAAAAATATTTGTCCGGGGTATGGTAATAATAATAATAGTTTTACTATCCAAGTATTTGTTGATTTTACTGCATGATTCCAACGGAGAAGAATAATTTCTCTTAAAAATGAAATTATTTGGGGTTAGGCAAACCTTAAAGTACAATTTGTCCTAAATCTAGTATTTCAAAATTGTATATGTATCACATTTATAATTAAATCTGCCCAGTATTGTGTGCAACTATGACTCGACATACACGAATAATATCAAAATGACTAATTTTAACTATTTTTATATAACTTTTGTAGCTGAGAACATTTCTCATGGGCTCCTCCTGCGAAAGGTACAGCAATGCTTTAATGGCAATTGTACATGCATGCATATAAATACGATAACGTTATCCAATAATGTTGAACAGGTTCCCGTTCTGCAATATTTATATTATTTGGCCCAAATTGGAATCGCCATGTCGCCGTTGAGCAACAACTCATTGTTCTTGAATTACAATCGGAATCCACTCCCAGAGTACTTAGCACGGGGTCTTTGCATCAGTTTATCAACGGACGACCCACTCCAGTTCCACTTCACCAAGGTACATATATATGTGGTACATAACTAAAATCATGCCTTGATAATTTTTCTCAGTTTCATCAGTTTTATTTTCTCCCTCAAGGAACCCTTAATGGAGGAGTATAGCATTGCAGCTCAGGTAAGCATAAACTCAGCCAAGTATTGCATAAATTTAGCGTTGCATATCTGGAGAATCCAGCAACATACACAAGTCCGTCCTTCATTTGCCACATATTAACTCACCTTTAACATGTGGCGTAAGTACATTCACTGCAGGTCACGATCACAATCGCCCTCCTCGTGTTGTTATGTTTATAACTTGTATGGATCTGAATAACTTTTTAAATTAATTAATAATTGTTTTATATTTCCAGGTCTGGAAACTGAGTGCATGTGACATGTGTGAACTCGCGAGGAACAGTGTTATCATGAGCGGTTTTAATCACAAGGTCTGAGAAACTATAAGTTTGATTACATACCGAGGCAATTTATGTAAAAATCAGTCTTCAATGATTTCCGTTCAGGTGAAACAGTACTGGTTGGGACCCAATTACACAAAGGATGGCGTCGCTGGTAATGACATCAGCAGGACCAATGTGCCCGACATCCGCGTCTGCTATCGTCATGAAACACTAGTCGAAGAGCTAGCAAATATATTCAAGGTCGTCGAGCGGATTAGCAAGCCACAAGTAAAAGGCTTCATTTTTCGAGGAATGCAATAAATGAGCATTTCCAATTTGAGGACACTGTTTGGATGGGGGATAGCAATTTATTTTAAACTTGACCTCTCTCTCTCACTGTGATGACGTATGTACTAAGTAATAGGCATGACCGATGCCAGTGGATGCTTGTTCCCATAATAAATAATACATGTATAAATACTATAAATGATGATGTATGAAAAAATATTGACTACTATACAGCAATCATTGCGATGAATCTTTCTTGAACCATGTGGTGCCAATTTGAATCGAACTCTGATGTGATTATTTAAAAAATTTTGACTAATACATATATTTATAATTTATATCGAACTGTGTCAGGATGAACTAATCATTGGGGATTATTTTTAGATTGCATAATGTAATAAATATTTAGAATGATTTTAATGTTAATATATGTATTAATTTTTTCCGGATTTTTAGATTTACTGACCAACTGCTATTAATAAAAAGAACATGATGTTATGAAGGTTATGATGCTATTTAGTAATAAAGTTGGAAATTACGAATAGTACATAATTTAATTTCATGACGTGATTCATTTTTATTAACACCATGTGGCTTTTGTTTTACAATAGTTAAACATTAGTCAAAGTTCAGACAACCCCCAAAATCATGTGATTACAATATAGTGTGATTATAGGAGATTGTTGCGTTAGATTTAGTATGTATTTATATTGTGTGTATTATTATAGCGAAAGTGGCGCCCGGTGACATTATTTTTCGTCTTTACTACAACTAACAGTAAATATTCATATGATGATCAAAGTTTTTTCTTCAAACTATGTTAGATCAGTTATTTAGAAGCAAAAATTTTTGGATGATCTTTTTTCTTAATCACTTATTTACCAACTTTTGATGAACCTTCAAATGGAATCGTTGCTGTTCTCGTGTGCCGGTTTGGTCTGACTATGCAAGAAGGAACATTTTTTCTTTCGTTGCCGCAAGCAACCTCTCTTTTAGCACTTCCTCAGAAGGGTACTCAGGTAGCTTAAGATAATGCACACCTAAGAAAAAATAAGTACATTTAAAATAAATTTTACTTATTAATAATTCGTAAATAAAGGTATACGCCTTACAAGTATTTACTGATGGATAACTTCCTTCGCCAGCGTCCACCTTTCGAACAATAGTAAGTCTAGGATGCAGATTTGCTAAGCCCCCGGGAGGTAGTGAAGAACATCCAGTAGTAAATTGAAGAAATGATTTCCTCTCCTCGCTTGTAAACGATACCATAACATTGACGAATTTGAGGAAACCAGGACTAAAATAAGCAAGAGTTGATGTTAATTTACATACATACATCTTAAAATTAAACGAATATTTTGATGCACTAATTCATAAAATTAAAAATACCTTTCTTTGGTGTAACCTAGCTTGGGTTCAGTATAGTTTAGTATATCCTCACGAGTCCAAACAGGACTCTGGTCGCCACATAGCATTAATCTCACCTGAATTTCAAGGTATATTTAAATATAGCTACAACGTGGACAATATGGATTATAGTAATCAGAATAGATAGATAGTAACCTCATCTGGGCTAAAGGCCCCGAGTTTTTCAATTGAGAATACATAATCGAAGCCTTCTTTCAGTGACATAAGCTGGCGATGAATTCCTTAATAAAATATACAAATAAACAAAATAAATTCAGGTTAATTTTGAATATTAACATTTAATACTACTTCCTCACCAGTTCGACAGCAGAAATCAGTCAAGAGTTCGATATAATCTTCAATGTTATCAATGGAAACATCTTCAAATTCTCCACCTGGAAACACAGTATATAGTAATTGGCATAAATGCATATGTATAAAAATGCAATTTTAATACTCACGAGGGCAAAGATCAACGGCAGAGTATCCAAATACACGGGATGAGGGAGAGTATTGAAAATTTAGCCCCAGATCTTCTAATCGAATTGCTGGTCCTGGCTCTTGGTTTGATAAGTGAGGTAGAGCCAAATTTTGAATCTACATATTTCAGAATATGAATAAAATAGTATAGAAAACATAAGTAAAAAATAATCTATACAAACTATGCAATATCATATATGTACGGAAGTGGTGAGTCTTACCTGTCGAAGTTTGTCAGATTCTGAGAGAGAGTTATCATGTAGAATACGTCTTTTTTGGGTAGCAAGTTCTTGTAATTGATTCAAAAAGCGAGCTCGAGGTGGATCAATTTCTGTCAGGTCTTCAATAGTTAAAATTCCAGAGTACCAAGGCTTATTTTCCGTTATTCGATATTTTGGTGGATCTAGCTCCATTTCCTTTTCGCTCTCTTGAGAATAAAAAATGAAAACATAAATTATTACAACACCGAGTTCAATCTCTGCCAGTTATGCCTATACTAATATATAATTAGTGGGACAATAAGAATAAATGAATTATATCTCTTACCCTGAGAAATATACGAAGAAACCATTAAGTCCTCGTCCGACAGAGGCGTAGCGACACGGTCACCTCTTGACCTACAAGAAAATATAAAAAGACTGATCTTATACATTGCATATAAAGCATACTAGAAATCTATGTTACTGTGGTGGGTATGTAAATACATTAAACAGACATTCTCTTAACGAATGACTAATTGTTATGAGATTCAAGGCAATAAACTAAATTAAAGTACACGTACCTTTCACGAACTTCACTCCCAAATTCTCCAGAGCACAACAGTTTAAAGAATGGGCGAGACAAAGGAAGATCCACAAGACGACTGAAATATAAAACATGTGAAGACTTTAGATCTACTTAACAAATCACGATAAATTACACGGTTTTACTCAAAATTGCAACCTACTTGTCTTGTAAGACTTTGGCGATAAAGATACCCAAAAACCTAAACAGTCTGCAAGCCTTTTCACAAGTTAAACTATCCTGGACCAATGGCGCAGGAAATAATCCAGTGCTTCGTTGAACATAATATTCAGGTGGCTTGGACGCAGTATCGTCAATTACTGGAAGTCGGTCATACCTATTAATTTAAAACATTGAAATGTTATAATGCTATTATCGATATAATGACCATACATTAATATAAATATTACAACATGTGTGTATATACTACGTACCGATTTGAATCCGGAATATCATCACATAACCACATACACAAGTCTTTTCTTTGCAGTTCTGAAAAAGGTATTACGCAATTAGTGATTATTAATTACTTGGGCTAAAGCGTTTCATCGTGCACTTGACTATTTTTTAAACCAAGATTTGTATACACAATGCGAATTACTGCCTGTGCTTTGCTCACTCATAAATTAAATTAACTCTTTGGTAGGTTTTTGTGTAAAACAAATGGATTACACAAATACAAAAAATACAAACAAGAGTTGTAAAAACAGAATTCCTGCTCCCGTTATATGTAAAATGATTCAGAAGGCGAGAAAGGCTGAATGTGGAATGATAAGAATATCTTTGTTCACTCCCACTAGAATTATGTTTGTCATTTTTTTGGATTGAGATTAGAAACGTTATCTAACTTTTAGAACCAAGGCTGGTTTATCACAATATCAGTTATATGTCAATGATCCTACACACTCCCTAGTTTTTCTATTAAAAACTAACTATCTGTTTCTAATAAATATTCGATTTAAATAAATTGTATTAAAATAAATTGTGTTACTAACCTGCAGCGACAAGGGCGTAAAATTCCAAGGTTGGGCCCAAGCCAGTCCCATCTTCCCCTTGAAATTCGATTTCGAGAACTGATTTTCTTGCAGCATGGAAATTCATCACTTGTAGAGCCCACTCCAACAGATTATTTCCTCGAGGAACTTTAACACGCCTGCAAAGTTTATTAATAATTTGATATGATTGATTGATTAAAGTGTTGTTTTTTAGCAGCAAACCAACACTCACTCATGTTTAAGTCGACCAAGTCGGAACTCATGAGGATCATCTCGTCGTGTTCTATTTCTGTCAACTGTTGAATCTCGCTGATTTTGTAACCACACGATAGACCTAGGTAAAATAACATCAAGAAAAAGAAAGTCATTACTGAGAATTTTCCACGTACTAAAAAAATAGTCTAGTTGTTTGAATATATGAAATGCTTTACCTCGACGTCCCAAATGCGGTGCAACTAAAATATAGATTTCTGGTGTCGAAGGGAAACAGCATAGGAGCAGAATATGTAAGGTCTTCACACCACGTTGGCAAAGCACGGCTAGCTAGTACTAAAGGGTCCTGAACTTGCTGAACAAGTTTGTTTGTAATTTTTTTGCTGATAAATTCATCGGGAGGAACATAGAATCCCTTGTTCAAATCCATACAGATGATAGTATCGTCCTGCAATTTGCTTGAAGCACTTAGTGAATACAAATGACGGAGCAGATTCATGACTTCCTCCACAGAACATGAAATGGAGGAAGGAGATGGGGAAATTGTTCCACCAAAACTGGAAGTGCATGTATCAAGAGATTCCTTTTCTTCGGATTCTTTTTCTTCCTTATAAATGATGCTGTAAAGGTTTAAATAAATAACAATTGTAATAGTAATATCATCTCGATAATCAGTCCTTATTGTTATTATACTCTAACTATATGCGGACTAATAATTAAAAGTAGTATGCCACTTACGTATAAGTCGGTTCCCAAATTCTGCGGAGTTTTTCCTGCTTGGTTCCAATTTGAGAAGTTTGGACGAGATCTTGACAAGGACAAGGTAACAACAAATGTATTTTTGAAACAAATAACCGTAAGAAAACGTGACAAAAACAGACTATTTAAGGATTTTAGAAATATAAAAAAACAATGTATATTTTAGTATTCGTAAAGTCTCTGTCTTTTCTTGAGAGTTGAAAGGGGGGAAAATGAGACTTACCTTGGACAGCTTGGAAAATGGTAGCTTTGCGATTACTCAAATCTATTTCTATATCAGGTACCTATAAAGGAACAAAAACAATTCATTAACAATACTCAACAAGATAATTCAAAATGATGATGAACGTACGCCTGGTAAATTAGGTCCACGAAGAATTAAATTAAGCTTGGGTTGTGGAGCTATGCAACAGTCTACATCCCTTCCTGGAGTCGACACTGTGCTGTCTAGCGGAGCTGGTACTTCGACCTCACTAATTTGGTTCACGTTGGTCCGCCCAGGTCGTGGATCGAAAGCAGGAATCAATGCTGAAAACTGACGTTTGAGAACAAATTCATCATCCCAAGATCTCCTTTTGCCAGATCGAACTTCGAAGCAATCTTCATCCTAAAAATAAATCCAATGTGTTTGAAATTGAATACACAATGTAAGAGTCATGGGTGACGGCTTAAGATGTGTTTGTTAAATGTTTCTTAAAGACTTACTGCCTCTTCGTACATATAGTCGTCTTCATTTTCTTCATCGTCATCATTCTCATCTTCCGGCAATTCGTCGTCATCTTCCAGCTCAGCTAATAACGTGGTGGTTCGACAAGTTTCCAGAAAGTCCTAAATTAATTGACGGTAACAAAAAGATTTACATATGCAAGAATTAAGCATGTTGTGGTTTAAACGTAGACGAAAAGTAAAACATTGTATTCCTTTACCTGTTCACTGTCACTGGAGGTAGAAGTTAAACTCATTGTTAAAGTTTGACCCAAGTTCTGTCCACCGCTAGACGCTGTAGCAGCACCTCCAGAATTATTTCCTGATAAACTTGGGTAGCTCTGTGCAGTACTGAGGAGACCTCCTGTGATTGCACCAAATACAATTTTTAATCAAGTGTTATGCATTTCCGTGTCTTTGGTAAATTGCAAAGGATTACAACAAGCAAAACCATACATAAATGATAGTCTAGATAATATAAATAAATATGTATGTACATATGTATAAGCTTTCGTAGTTTCTTTGAATGAAGCTTCTTTGAGTAATAAGAACAAGGAGAAAGCTATTGTAGTTATTTTTATCACTGGACTTTTGATCACTATGATGTATGTACAAGGGGAAATAATTACAGAAATATACATACACAAGCCAAAACGCATACAACAATCATCCGGCTCAGTCAAAGGAATAATAATATGCATGTAATAATCAAGTGCGGAATGAAAACGATATATAGGGGGAAATCAATCAGTAGAAAATATGCAAATCATAGTTAACTGCGATTTACTGACAATTAAAGTGAAGATTTTAATATGTGCGAATGAGCATATAATCATTGCCAACCTGGAAAATTTGAGGTAAGTGCAATCCTAACAAGACTTGAGACAGAATGTGGGGCGCGTCCGAAAACGAAAGGATTGTATGATTGATGGTTTGGGTGGTGTTGTTGGGATGTAGGAACGGGAGGCGGAGGATGATGATGATGATTATGATGATGAGCTGCTGGTGGATGTACATTTTGAGGGGTCTGCTGGGGGTTATTAGTGTTAGGAGGACAGGGGCTTGCATGAGAAGTTGTTGTCACCAACGTGTTACAGTTTTGAGAAACTGATGGAAATCTAGAACTATTGATCAACGACCGAACTCTGGCGATCGCTGATAAACTGTCAAATAGTGAGGATGATACATTGTTTAAATTGTTGGTTCCTGGGGAGAGTGGAGAGGAAAAAACAGAGTTTGAGGATGTAGACAAGGAGGAAGTTTCAGTCGTGGATAAATTGGGAACAGACACACTCTTTGGATTCGAACAAATTGTTTTGGATGATGATGTCCCTGGCGTGGTGCCACTAGCAGTGGAGGCATCAGCGGATCCTGGGTTTGCCTGGCTTTCCGTGCCTCGGCCAGGAACCCCTTTATTATTCGTTCCCAGCCAAGCTACACATACAGATTTCTTGTGTCAACAACGACTTTGTCCAGTCAATTTTGTTAGTTTTTTGCCATAAGGAAAAAATAGGTCTTAAATATTGATGATTTCAGGAAAACATCTATAATGTCATTGCCTAATACATAAATTACTAAACTTTTGACTTATGAGCATTTGATTGATAGTAAAATAGTTACATAGGTTTCATTTCAATCATCGTCTTAGAGTTCCAACCCATCTAAAACTGTTGTGTTGGCATCAACATCAACCAAAAGAAAGCCCACGACAAGCTATACCCATTTTAATAAAAAGCTAGCTAGCTAGATGTATAGCCATCAACCATCAAGTACCCAACCCAATTTTAGTGGTTAGAAATATTTATATAAAATGTAGCTAGTGTAAAGCATTGAAGTGATTTTTTTTGTACCTAAAGTCCTCCGAGATTTACTTCCACTTCCACTAGATGAACCCCGGTCACCACTTCCAGACGCCTCCGAATCTTCCATTTGAATATTTCTCAGTTTCTTTTCTATGTACATGAAAATAAAATGATAAAATAAATACGAGTTTCGTGCTATTTTTCATGGAAAATATATATTAACGAGAGGAGATGTTGCTGCATACCTTCACTACTGTCATCCATTGCTCTTCGCAAAGCAATCATTTTCATAACATCCTTAAGACCTGGGGGGCCCATTGTACCCAAATCACCAAACTCGATGGAACTCATATTAGAAACTTTTGTTTTCGGTTTACTTCCGCTACTGCTGGTTGGATTTGAGGTTGACACAGCAGGTTTAGATGCAGATAATACTGCATTCTTTCCATTTTTCAAACTGTTGAAAAACTCGGTGTCATCATATGACGATGCACTCCCAGGACAAGATCCTTCAGTCTATTTGTAAATGAATTACATTTAATACCCAATTCAACAATAGTTGTTAATAAATATTATATTATTATAAAAGTTGGGACTATTGATAATGTGAGTCAACTTATTGAACTTTTACCAGCTTAGATGATCCGCCTGGAACATCGGTTGGAGCAGAGGCTACGGGTAGTTTAGAAGGAAGGGGTGAGAATGTTTCATCTTCACTCGTGTCTCCCAAAGTAACTGATAACGCATTTGGTTTACCGCTACTGCCAATATTCCTTTCTTCAACAATGGTAGCGAGATCAGAGACGGCGACAGCAGCTGCAGTAATGCTACATGAAGGATGTATTTCTTCCGGTACGCTCAATGAAGTCACAATATTTTCAAGTGTTAAATCTGACTGCGCGTTTGATAATACCGACTCAGCCATTAGTTCACTCAACTGTAAGTGGTATAAAGTCAGATTGAGAACAATATGGTTTATGTATCTACAACTGTTTAGAAATTGGCACCTCGCGACTAATTTCATCATAACCCACCTTGTTCACCAATAGACTATCCGCAGATGATGCTTGCTCAGTGGATGCAACGGAGTGCAGTTTGGCAGAATTTCCATCCATTGCTTCTGGAAGACTAGAAGTAGAGCTGCATTTTCTACTAGCGAGTACACTGACTTTTCCTGAAGTTTCTCCAACAGCAGCTTTGGATTTGGAGACTTTAGCTGTTCAAAGATAAAATAGATATTAAAAGTTGTGATTTGATCCCCGGTAATATTGTATTCTTTAGCATCAAAAACTGAAGCAAAACACACTAACCTGCAGGAGTTTTAGAATTCGTTGCTGATTCCGGGTCATATAAGGGCGACAGCTTCAAGTCATACTTTCCTTCAGCTCCCATTCTATATGAATTTGAACCACCAGCGTCCCATGTTACATCAATCCAGCCGTTGTGCTAGATTATTATATTATTACAGTTAAGTTAGACCCAATTGACTTGGAATGTATACACGAGTAGCAAAACCAACCACGACAGTACAAAATAAACCTACCTCACTGGTAATTGTTCCTTCTGCAGGGGGATTTCCATCTTGCCTATAAATAGCATATTATTATTTGAGTATATTAAATGTATCTATATAGTTTACGATTCAATTTTATATTGGTGTATACTCTCTCCATTTCCAGTCAACCCCACGGACAACTCGAGCATTTACAACCATGTGTTTCAACTGGGATCTGATTAATCGCCGTTGTTTCCTAATGTTTGCTTCTTGTTCTCGCATGGCTTTTCCTATATAAAAACAACAATTTATTTGTTTGATTAATTGTTATGAAAAATGCACCTCATTTCAATTTATTAGTATCCAATCAAGTTACCTAAATCATCACATATTCCTGTGACTTTTCCATACACTTCAAATCCAGAAAGACTAAGTTATACAGAAGATGAATGATTAGTTTCATCATGTTAAATAATACTTGACACCTTTTGACCTCATAACTATATAATACCCTCATAATTCCTACCTAAGATAATGTGTTTGGTTAGATGCATTTTTCCCGGTTTGTTGCAATCTAATATGACGCCATCCTATCGTTTCATCCTCGCGAGGTGTAATAGGCCATGTGGCTGTGCTTCCTGGTTCATTCAGTGAACAATCATCAGTGTGATTCATTAAATCTTCCCAAGTGTTGCCGTCCTTTGATACTTGGAATTTCCAATTTCTCATTGCCGAACGGCCATAACCTCGAGCTGTGAATAAAATTATTATCATTGTAGCACATAAATGCACAAATAATAGAGTTAGTGGAAGAAAAATTAATCAAGTTATTGATTACCATGTCGCAAAGTATAGGCTGACGGGATAAGCCAAACTCCCATATCAATGGCAAACCATGCTTTTTTATCATCATTCGTGTGTACATTCAATGCCGAGGTATCCCGACTTAAAATGTCTTGAAAAAATAACACAATCAACATTATTAAATTGTGCACCAATTCGTTATGTAATATAGAATTTTTTTAAAGTAATTATAGCCTACCCAGTAACCGCCCATATGGAAGATTACGACCTTCTGACGAAGTTACAATGACAAGTCCGTACTGTGCAGGGTTTACCCACTCCATGCTAGTTCTACAGAAATATAAATCGGTTTCATGAATGGCTATGGTATTTGAAATTAAAAACAACTGCATATACTAGTACCAACCTTCCGTTAGTACCAATCCAGTATATAAGACCGTTTTCGTCAAAATCTTGCTGATGTCGAAATGTAGCAGGAGGAGATTCTTTGAGCTTTCGCACAAATGCAAATGTGGAACGGTCATAGTCATACCTGCCGGAAAGGTAAGTAAATATCAGTACAGTAAACGAATTGAATAGAAAGCAATTTGATAATAATTTATTGTTTTATAATGTTGAATAATAAATATATATACATAGTTTTCTTACCATTGTTTTGCAACCATTTTCAGCAAATAATTTTCCAATTGTCCAATAGTTGTTAGAGGTTCCATTTTTAAGGTACGTCCTGATCTATCAATAAGTGAGCTTTCTGTGCACGATTTTTCCAGTCGGAATCTAAGTCTCCGTGTGAGTACTTTGATAAAAAAAATCAGTAAATAAACAATTACAAACACGTTATTCCTAAATTAAAACTGCTTTAACCTTGCAATCCATAATTAGCACCAGAAGATTCGTACAACAGTACAGGTAATTTCTCAATCGTTTCGAGCACGGTTACCTTGAAGCATTCACATCAGTCAGTTAAAAAAAGTTTCAAATGTCTTTTGAAGTATGCATGAAATGCTCGTTTCTTCTTTAAACTTACCAATTTCTTGACAAGTGCTCGTCCACAATTAACTCTTGAACCTTCAATATTTCGTTCTTTTAGCACAGACTTTAGAATTTCTAATCGTTGTTGTAACATTGCCGCTTGACGACGGCGACTCGATTTTCCAAAAAATACGTCATGTTCTCTTTCATGATCTGATGTAAACAGGCGAATCAAGGCTTGGACCAACCCTGATGAGTGCAATTCATATGCAGAGACAAGCGAATCGTCTCGCAATAAACGGGCCAACTCATCCAAAGCAGTTTTTAAAACTTGCTGCCAGGTAGTACAATCATCTCGATGACCCGTTTGCTAAAAAAACAAATGAATCATTCCATAAACCAAAAATTAATAATGTTCGAATTATTATTATAATTATCTAATTAATTAAATATCAAACTAACAATTCAACAAATAAATTTTATTACCTGTTTGAAACATGCACGTTCCAACTGGGCAACAATTGTCCCCAACTTTGCAACAACTCCTCGAGGTTGTGATTGAGCCACTTGAAAATAATTATCGAAAATTTCCTGAGCAAGAGATCGGATCTTTTGTTTCATTGCTTCATGTTTAGACTTTAGTCGCTTGCCACGCTTTCCAACCCAACCAGTGGCAAATTCAGGTCCCAAGGTCCCAACTTCAGCAGTAAAAGAATGGCGGGTCCCCCGATTGGATTCAAAAAGAAATCCAGCCAAGTCATCTTTGAGAATTGTGGTTTGTTGTTGTCCATCAGTGTTAGAAATGGATAGTTCGCCATCTTTCTTACAGGAAAGCGCCCAGTTTCCAATCTTCATTTGATTGTTTGGGCCTGGGGAACTCAAAATTGACTGCGACTGCATTCCTGGTCGAATGCCTGCCTTGGCTCGTTGTAGCTTTTCGATGAATTCGCTTCGACTTTCTGAACTATCAGATCCCCCTTCTGGACTACCCGAACTATACATTGTCGCGAGCTTGCCATCCAAAACAAATCTAAACCATCCATTACTGCCATTTGATAATTCTAGTGCTGCAGCTTCATTCCAGATATATAAGCAATCCCGCCCACGACAGATGCACCAATCCCTCCAATGATAAGGTTTTCCGGCAGTTATTTCACTTGCATCTTCCATCATAACTGTGTCAGTATCCAAACGTTCAGGAGTTTCCTCTTTTTTAAGAATTTCGGGGTCGTTTGGACACAGGTTCAGCACCTTAATAATCAAATGAATAAAATGAAAAATTATGATACATGGATTAATAGATTTTCAAATTGAATAATTGCAATTGAACCATACCTTAACGAAAACACCTAGCCTTGCAAAGTGTTCCACGTATATTTCTTGAGCTTTCATCATAAGATCTTTGATCATTGTCAGGATGAGTAGATGACCATCGTCATCTTCCTCATTATCTAAGACCGCAGCGATGACCTCAACCAACACTGTTCCAAGCGAATGCGACGCAGATTCAGGTTTGCAAAGTTCGGAAAGTTCATTCAATAACGGGGAAGGTATATAATGAATCATCTTCTTTATCAAGTTCAAACTTGCTCGTCTATATGAAATGTAAAATACGAATATTATAGGTATCAGTTATTATATACGCAGTTATAGAGTAAACTATAGAAAGCTTTGAGACAAAATAAACAGTCTTACCTAACGGCAGGAACCATGGTTGAATGATACGTGGAGCAGAAGAGGGGCAAAAGTCGTTGTAAATATACAGGAATCTACAAAATTATGCAAATAGTTTTTTTTAATATATAATACCTACAGTACAGTGTTGAACTTGCCCGAGTCAGGGACAGAGTCCGCTTCTAAATTGTTTTCCGAATTGATCGGACGCGTATTACCAACCCCAATTGTCGGGATGGTCAAATTTTTATTTTTACCGAAATTTTTATCGAACTGAATTCGTCTAACATACATGTGTGCAAAAGAATGAACTCAATCGGTTTAGCCATTATGGCTCGATAGTGTCGGATAAACATGATAATTCTATCCCATAATAAGGGACTGTTGTTAAATTACGTAACGCTTGAAGGGGGAAGGGGGTTTAGGCCCCAATGATATCGTGCCTATGTACGTCATGTTAAAGGGAGGAGGGGGGGGGGGTCGAGAAAATCAGTTTTTAGCGTTACATAATTTAAGAACGCCCTAAAGCCCTGATTAGGGCTAAAAACGAAATGGGATACGCAAATCTAAAAAATATGTACGACTGACTATAATTAACTATAAGAAACTTACAACAGGAGCCATTTCTGGATCCCCTTTTGCTTCTTGTTGTACAACTTCTTCACACTCCGATTTGGATCGCTCCCTCACAATTTCTGAAGACACCATGTATTCACCGGGCGATTGTAAAATTGTGGCAACTTTATAGTTCCAAGAAAGTGTGGTTCAAAAGATGTGAAAGAATAGAATACACAAATATAAGTATTATGGTAATTTTCTAAAACAGGATTCATCAATATTTGTTTAATTTTAATTAGTAGTAAAATGTCAATATTTTTAAACAAACCTTCTCGATGGCCCTCGTCATTCCGTTCTCGGGCTTTATCCAGAGGAGTTTTCCCATCTTCGTCCTAATTACAAATCATTATCATAAAAATATATACTCTTCGAATTATAAGTCTTCAATCGTGTAGTAAATAGTAATGCAAATGTGTCAAACGATTTTCCCATAATGTATATAAAATAAATGTCGTTATTAAATTAAATTAAACTTACTCTTAAATCGGGATTGGCGGCATGTTTTAATAAAACTTTAGCGATTGCAGGTCTTCCAAAGCAAGCGGCATAATGGAGAGAAGATGACCGCTGGCCTTTATTAACGTCAGCACCTTCAGAAAAGTGTACATGTTTAGGATTAGTTAACTTGATTTATTCATTTATTCCTAAAACATAACGCCAGCATACTAACTACTTGCATGGAAATGGGGCCTGCTAAACACTATACATCCAGCAGAGGTTTCCACTTGATGCTAAGCTTAACTATGCTGTAAGTGGAAAGCCTCGCACGCGGTACAGGTTTTAGGCAACCCCCCTTCTCTCTTTACGTCTACAGGATCCATATTTCGATACATGCATAAGTATCAAATTTTTCTCCTACCTTTATCACATAGATATTCAACCATTTCTTGAGTCCCAAAAGCAGAAGCCCAATTTAGTAATGTTTGTCCGACATCATCTGCAAGGGACAGCCAAAAAATCATCGTAACGAAAAAAAATACAGTGCAGCGTTGGATAGCCTGAGCTAGTCATTTTCTTGGTCTTTTACTCAGTTTCGAAAACCAGTGTTTATAACCCACTACCAGAGATATGATAGCCCTGGTTTGGGCTAAAAACGATTAAAGGATAATCGCATAAAAACAGTATAAATTTGTCAAATCTCTTACCCATAAAATTTACTTCGACACCTGTGTATCAAAAAGTTAAGTTATTTATTGCCAGTCCTTTATACAATATATCCATTCTCCCTGACATTAAATAATTAATGAAAAATTTCAAACCTCCAGTTTCAATGGCTTCTATTAACGCCTCAGTGTCTTTACTACGTATGCAGTCAATGAGTTGACGATGGGTTTTCTCTCCAGAGGTACCATCCTGTCGTCGGAGACTAGCCAATCTGGCACTCGCCACGCCAGATTGCTTTGGCAATGCTTTTCTGCCTTCAAACAGTAGCACCAAAAGAAGATCAACAAGTCGCATTGTGTCAAGCACACACCTTTCATCCCCCTTTAAAGCTTTTTCTAATGCTTCGGGTAGTTCAGATCGTAAAAGATCCTATATATTAATAAATACAAACAAAACATCAGTAATAACAATGAGCTGTTTTCATCTCATTATCTGAAATTATTACGTGTGTTATTGACGGAGAGCCACGGCACAAAGTTGAAAGCAAACTTATAATCGTTGACACAGTTGCTGTACTTTTGGCTTCGTTCGGGGTGTTGGATGTTGAAGAAACTCCGCTAGAAACTCCCATTGTTGACGCGTTAGGAGTAGAACTTGATATGTTTGATGACGTTGTGCCAAGCGATGATGACATTTTAGCAAGTAGATCTTTAACTAATCCATGTGATGCCAATGGAGCTGGGTCAATTCCTCTCCTTGTAAATCTATCCGAAAGTGATGCAAAACATCTCAATGCTCCATCAGCCACCTGTAAAAATGTTAGTTAATAGTGAAACGTATATGAATAGGACAAAATCTAAATTTTTCTCCCAATAGCAATAAAACTCACGTGGTTATCTTCATGGCGTAAAAGAGTTGATAAACTTTCAACCACTGCAGTGAGAGTTGTGTCTTGAGGTTCCATCTTGGAACACAATCTTGATACGACAGACATCGCAGAGTGCAGAGTGTCTTTATGAACCATATTTCCATTATCTCGGATAAAGGTCAGCACACAAGTAAGCCCACCAGCCTCAAAAACTGCCCCAGCTTCTCTGGTACATATTAGCTCCAGAACCTAGTGGATTAAAAAAATGGTCATGTACAATAATAACAGTTTGAGAATGTTATAATAATAAGAACAGATGGAGGAAAACTGGTACCTTCACACACTGTTCAGCCAAATCCTTTGAAGTCCTGGAACTGATTTCAGCGACAACTAATCTATTGCAAATGGATTTTACGGCTCCATCAACTGGAATTATAGAATAATGTTAAGTCTCTGTGCAGAAAAGTTGTCAATACAGACTAAAGACAATGGTATATAATTATTTGTAGGTCAAACAATATCACCTGACACAATTCTACGAGTACATTCAGCGGATACGTCCAAATAGTACGTAAGTGCTCTAGCTGTGACTTCCAACACTGATTCTGTAGCAGTTTCGTCCAAAAATATCCTGCACAGGGCTGGAAGAAATGCTCGCGGCGGACAACTATTAAAATCGATTCATATTTTATTAATAGCGATATTTTTCTCACATAAATATATTTCAATTTGAACTCGAAGAAAAACTTACCATTCAAAACAACGATCAACATTGTCACTCATCAAGAGCAACATGCATAGCTGTTCAAGAGCGATAAGCTGTATGCAAAATAAATCAATTTTGTTTAGTTCTGGTCCTTAATGACACGAAAATTACTTGTCCTTTTTAGTTGGTCATTATGATAATACCTGCATGTCCCTTTCCTCGCCCTGTCCAATGCTCAGCCACTCCAACAATGTTTCCGGATCCACAACGTCTGCCATGACTATGTTTGCTTATCTAAAACGAAAATCTGAATTATAATTTTGAAGAGATGAAACTCCCAAGTAGATATATACATGTATAATTGGATGAGACAGACATAATATGGGACGTAAAGAACTGGATATTACAATTACTTATTTCCCTATTAATCGCAAATTTTGAAATTGGAACTTCTAATTATGTATTATAGACTATAATAATGCATTCTATTAATCTAACACCATGTACAACATTTATAGTGCACGGCGTTTTGATTATTAATGATTACAGATTAATAACATATGAATGTTGTTTGCTCACCTTAATTTGTAACGATCTTATTATGTATTCACCGATCTTTACAGTAGAAATTGTCTACCAGTTGTTTCCAAAATTAGGCGTTCGCTGTGAACTGAATAGTACTTATCGACTGGCAACTTGGGATTTCAAAATGTCGCGAATTAATTTATTGTTTTTTTCTAATAAGACTTGACTTGTTCTCTCCGGATAAATTCAGTTGTGGACAAATGACAAAACCAAATGACTAAAATTGGTTACTTTGCTGTATTTCAATTAATAATATCTCTTTCTGCTGTGTTGCTGCAATTAATTACATCTGCTGGCTCTTCGTTCTTCACTCTTGTATTAATTCTTGATTCACAACGATTTATATTAAGCTAAAAATAATGATCATGTATATTTACAAAAATTACAATGATGAGCAAGACAGAGAACTTATCATCACGGACAAAACCTTTTAAAAACTAGTGCTTGAAAACAAACAAACAACTTTTCGAAACTGGGCCACAAAAAAGTTGAATCAACCAGCCACCATACTACGAGATGACTTTTGATGGTTGGTTGTATTCACTTCCTCTTTCGCACACTTTTTCGTCACTCAATAGTCATCATCTTTGCGAATTATAATAATATTTTACTTTAACTGAAAAGGTGTCTAAAAACTTTCATTTTATTTTGCAACACTCGTCGCCTCGTCCTTCCCCCTGAGTATTTGCACTCGGACCAGGACGAAATGCAGAAAGATGAAAGAAAGAAAGAAAGAACCAAGAACGAGATGGATTTCTCTTCAGCAGGAGGCAGAGAGTGTAAAATAATTATTATTGTCGTCAGTCTACTTTTTCATCTGGTTGTGCGACACAAGGCGATACGGTACAACACACAAAGAAGGCCGTCCATGCTCAATGTCTTCGGATTCTAAAAAGGAACATTTGCTGAAATTTTGTAATTTTGTTCGCATTCAGTTTTCAAGAAGTTTTAAAAATTAAATTGTCTTAATCTGGAATCGGTTCCAAGACCCCGTGGTGAATGGATGGCGTAGGGGGAAATCTAGTAGTGGCAGGAGCGTATGAATTTTGCAGGCAGATGGACTGGGATTTGGTTGCATTAAAATACGTCCTTGATATGTTACATTTGGGAACTTTGTTCCGACACGAGCTGCAGTCTCAAGTTGAGACTCTTCTCAACTCAACAACTACTAAATAGTAGTAAATCGCAGAGAAATGCAGAAAATACAAAAACAAGACCACTTCTAACTTTGTTTATGTCAGTTATTTATTGATAAGGTCAGCATGAGAATGCAATTATTTTCCCGCATAAGATTACTAACGAGAGAGAAGATAAAATCCTTAATAACACACTGCTGGTATTTTAAAAATAATGGTACATGTCATGCATTTCAACGGAATTTATCCATCTGATTTCAATTTGGGTGACTTACTTGAATTTGAGAAATTTAGGTTATGCGAGAAACCCAAAAGATGAAGCGAAAGGGGAATAATAGTGCAGTCTTTACTGTAGTGTCAACCAAGCCACGTTTAAAGGATAAGTCTCAACACAAGTCTGTCTCATGTGAAAAGAAAATTTTTTTTCTTTCTTGTTTTATTACAATTACTGAATCTTTGATAATCATAAGTCAATTCAAATTAATGCTGTCGCATTAATGAACTTAGTTCAATTACAAAGATTTTAGTTTTTCTTTGGTGCTTTTGAGATTGGGCTAAATGAAAAAGTTTGTGAAGAGTGTTAAATGTCGTATGTATTTTACATTGCATTACCCTTGAGATGACGGTCAGGTCTTTTATCTGTAACTTCTCATGGCTTTCGACTTGCATGGTCGTGCATGATCTAATAGCCTGTTTTGTTTTTTTGTTTCGGATTGAGCCAAGAAGTCTAAAAATAATGCGATGAAGGATTTGACAAAAAGATGAACAGTAAAATGCAATAAATGTCGCTATACTTTACTGCAAGTTGCAACACACGTTTTTCTAATGTTACTGTTTTTCTGATGTTACTTTTTTATCCGGCTAATTGACAAATTTTGTAAAATAAATAATTGAATTTTCTGTATTAGTTATTCCACGATGGAAATATGGGGTTTATTAATTTAGAGGTATGCAACTAAATAGTATTTTTTTACGCTCTAATGATTTTGATGTATGATTGACGGATACAAATTTTCGTATTTTTTTGAAGTTAAATATAAAACGATCGTTAAAATTTGAGACACCGCCAATAGTTCATGAAATTGAAACCCTTTATGGTTATCATCAAACCCTATTTAATTTAATTAATCAGTAGTTAGGTCATCTGGCAAAAATTTAGAAAAGGGCTCTGACCCTGATTCGAACTACATATAACATAAACACTGCACACTGTAGATTATTTATACCACGACTACAATTTTACCAAGGAATGCATTACCAACTTGTCTCTATCTATCTTGGTCATTCATATCGTCGAATCCAAACCACCCCATAGAAATGGTGTCAATTAATCGTGCGTCGAATCCTAAGATCATTTGATACTTTATCACTGCATAAGATATCCAGCGTTACCTAGATACTAAAATTTGAGTACTAAAAGTCAAGTAATTGTGCCCAAGGTTGCTTGACAACTTTAGTAATAATTACAAGGTTGCGACAATTGCTTCGACGCCTAAAAAACTTCTTTCTTGTTTTAGGAACGACGACTGATTACTGAAATGTTGCTTGATAAGGATTTGGGTGCTATCCGGTTCGTCCATTGATGATCAATAGGAAGTACTCGTACAAATTGCTCAAAATGCACAGCCCGGACAATTTTTCAATTATCGTGGTGGATCAGACTTGGTGATTCAAAGGCAGATTAATGAGGCAATGGATCTTTATCTGCACAACATTGCCGGTTGTGCACCGGTTGACGTTGCTTATCTGAAGGATAGACTTCCTGTACCTGTCAAATTTGAGCATGGGTATGATCATGAATGGGACCTTGCGACATGTGAACAACACAAATAAGAAGCTTTGTGCCAAATTTCATGCAAATCGGACGAGAAATGGCGAAATTATGGCATGGCGACGAAATTTGGCGAAAACAAGGGGGTGGCGGTGGTTGGGACCTTGCGACATGTCAACAACACCAATAAGAAGTCTCTGTCGAAGTTTGATGGAAATCTGACGAAAAATGGGTAAGTTATGGCATGTCGACGATATTTGGCGAAAACAAGGTGGTGGCGATGAGTGTGACCTTGCGACATGTCGATAACACCAAAAAGAAGTCTCTGTCGAAGTTTCATGCAAATCGGACGAGAAATGGCGAAATTATGGCATGGCGACGAAGTTTGGCGAAAACAAGGTGGTGGCGGCGGGTGTGACCTTGCGACATGTCGATAACACCAAAAAGAAGTCTCTGTCGAAGTTTTATGCAAATCGGACGAGAAATGGCGAAATTATGGCATGGCGACGAAATTTGGCGAAAACAAGGTGGTGGCGACGGGTGGGACCTTGCGACATGTCGATAACACCAATAAGAAGCCTTTTGCTAAATTTCATGCAAATCGGACGAGAAATGGCGAAATTCTGGCATGGCGACGATATTTGGCGAAAACAAGGGGGTGGCAGCGGGTGGGACCTTGCGACATGTCAACAACACCAATAAGAAGCTTTTTGCTAAATTTCATGCAAATCGGACGAAAAATGGTGAAGTTCTGGCATGGCGACGAAATTTGGCGAAAACAAGGTGGTGTGCGGCGGGTGTGATTTTGCGACATGTCGACAACACCAATAAGAAGCGTTGTGCTTAATTTCATGCAAATCGGCCGAGAAATAGCGAAGTTATGGCATGGCGACAAAGGTTGTCGCCATGCCCTGCATTTATAAGGGGGGGAGCTGTTGGCCGCCCTGAGAAGAGCGTTTCCAGAGCACGTCGCTCCCTCGTGCTCCACGCGGGCGGGCCCCCACTCGCGCCCTGAGGCGCATGGGGGGTCTACCTCCACCGACCGGGAAAGCCCTGCCCACGTCACCGCCTCTGCAACCGCGTTCCCCTAGGGGGCCCGTCTGACCCTCGCCTTACGAGGTGGGAGCGCACCCGTAAATCGGCCCCCATTAAGGCTTCGAACTCGGGAACCCGGTCGGCCCCAAGGGGAGGTATCGCTAAAGAGCGGCGTCACCCAAGGGTTGGAGGTAGAGAGCCCCTCTCACTTGCCAAGCGCCACCCGCACTTTTGGCAAGCCCCGCCGGCTCCCCACCCGGTGAGCCTGCTTGGTGGGAGGAGCATTGGAGGGGGGACCTTCCCGTAAGGCTCTCCCCTTGCAGCGTTGCTCCCCCGGACCACCCCTCCAACGGGAAGAGAGTCGGGGCTGTGGGACAAACCACGGGTGGACCCGACTCCCCAGAGAGGCAGGGCGGTCCAGGGGCGCAGCTGCAATGGGGAGCTCACCCAGGGATACGTCCCCCACGAGCTCCTCCCGCAGACTGACAAAAATTTCTGGTGCAGCTCCTTTTATACCCTCCGGAGGGCGGTGAAAGTTCTGCTATAAATAGCACCCGGTGAAAGTTCTGCTATAAATAGCACCCGGTGAAAGATCTGCTATAAATAGCACCCAGTCATACTGTATGACTTGGTGCTATTAATAGCCTATGTACAGGGTGGTTTAAATGTCACGCTACAATGGAAAATTTTTCGATGGGAAAAATCCCTAAATCTCCATTAGTTACAAGATTTTTGGTTGAGATTTTTTATAAAATTATTATCAAAACTGATGGAACTCTGATGACGAAATTCTTGAAATGTTGAATTTTAGAGACAAAATTTCGTAACTAATGGAAATTTACGAATTTTTCCCATCGAAAAATTTTCCATTGTAGCGTGACATTTTAACCACCCTGTATATTAATAGCACCTGAGATAAGTGGCCTCTTCCGTGTTTACAATTGTTACAAATAATTCATTATTAACCAGTTGCCTGCCACATTTGAAGCCATAAAATAGTTGCTAAGCCCCCAAGATAAGGCTTCGAATTTCGTGATCTTTGTACCACTTTTCTTGGAGAAGTATTTTCAATGCGACCCAAGATATGAAATGCTGACAAGTACGCTATAGCCCAAATTAATGCAAGGGTGATACTGATAATATGATATGTGGAAATCATTTTAATTATCATTACTTATGCCGCGAAGCAATTTTTTTCACAATAAAACACCATACAACATCATGATAGCCAATTCGAATATAGGCCGGAAAAACTCGGCAAAACAACTATAAATCATAAATTATAAAATTTCACAAACTTATTCATAGTTCGGCTAAATATTTTCGCACAATCACAAGTAATTTCACATTTTAAATGGAAAACAGTTCTTCCTCCTCCTCCATTACTACAACATTTGATTCAAAATCCGCTTCTTGAAATCTCACTTCATTCGCCTCACCGAATCCTAATCCAATTTCAGAGTCAGTTTCAGACCGAGGTACTGATTGGTACATAATGCTTTGACTCGTCGATGCTGAAGATGCATTGGCGCTAGATCGCTTCCTTTTGACGGGTAATTTCGAAAGCGTGTGAAATCTCTTGAAACACGAGTCTGTGCTCTTTATGCAGAAAAACTTCAGACACGTTTCACATCTGAAAGCTGTGGTGCGCCTTTTGCCTTCCAAACAGCATAGGTGGCAATCCCGGAAGACGGAGACATTATCTTCTAACATCTTTTCTGGAAAGTGGGTGCCGATTCGCCGTTCCGACTGGGTGTTGGACTTCCTCCCCAATGATAGACGTTGTGGTGGATATTTTTCTAATATTTCTTTGATTATAATTCGTACAAAATCTTTATAACTTGAGTGTTCCTTCGTTGGCCGGAAAGAAGAGTGAATGATGTGAGAATTGTAAATTGCTATGTCCAAGAAGTAGAAGAATACTTTCCTGTACCATTTGAAGGATTTGCGGACAGATGTGAATGGCTTGGTGACTCTGTCGACGTTATCCACAGCGCCCATTGTCGCATTATAAACGAGAACAGTTGATGGTTTCTCTCGGTTGTTGTTGGGGTTTGTGGTTGTGATTTCTTCCATTCGGTGTCCCATAAATGTGTTCAGCATTATCACTTCTCTCCGGTCAGACCACCTAAAAATCATGAAATGAAATTCTTCACGTCATTCTGCTGAAAATTTGACATCCGGTTTATTGTATTGTTTTATTGGTAAATTTACAAAAACGTACCGTTCCACTAAAATGTCTGAAGAAGAATAAGTCGCAACTTGTCCCTTTGCTAATTTGTCCGTCCATTTTGGTATCAGCTTTCTTCTTTTCTGTACGGTGCCAAGTATGTACGTACCAAGTTGCTTCAATCGCAATGCCAAGATCGGAGACACGAACCAATTGTCGATAGTGATTCTATGAAATTTGTTAAAATAGCCATGAAGAAGAGTCATCACAGTAGCGCCACCAAATCCAAGTTCTTGAATCCAGCTTGAATTCTCTATTTTGGTAGTTCTTCCTTGGTAAGGAAGAGCTTTGAGGACAAATCTGCTAGCCGAATCGCAGAGGAGATATAGCTTCATTCCAAATCTGGCTCTCTTGTCTTTTAAATACTGCTTGAAAGATAACCTCCCTTTGAACGAGAGCAAAGTTTCATCCACCGTGAGAAATGATCCCAAATTTATTGCTTTGCGGAAATTTTGGAATAACTTGTCCATAAAACTCCCAAACTTTATATACCGATCTTTATTGTTGGGTGGGACGGTGTCATTATCCACAAGATGGAATCCCCGAAGGATTGACTCAAATCTAGTAGGCAAATAGGTATGATAACTAGTGTACATAAGTATTTATTGTATTTTATTGTTGTATATACCTATTCCTTGATATTACCTGACCGAAAAATGGGGTAGAAAACATCGAGTCTGTGGACCAGTAGTCCTTGATCTCCGGCTTGATAACCAGCCCCATCATCATCACCAGAGAGAAGAATTGCCATATTTCTTCCCCATTCACTGGAGACCAATCCTTCATTGTATTTCGATTCGCCCGTCTTTGTTGTTGAACATAAACATTGGTCTGAAGGACAATTTCATCCAAAATTTCGGGGTCCAAGAATTTTTGTAGAATCTCTAGAGCAGTAGATTCCATCGTGACCCCAAAATCCGGCTTTAGAAATTCCCCTGGATCCTCATAATCACTAACTTGTGGTGAAAATGGGACATTTTTACGGTAGCGGATAACATTAGTCTGAAATATGAATCAATTTGGGGAAAATAAAATTATTTAGGAATATACATATGTACAAATAATATACGTACATCGGGGTGTTCATCGAGGTCACCCAACTCGTCCTCAGAATCTACATCCGCGCCTTCTTCATCTTCATCTTCCGGAAAGTTGATCATGTTCTCGTCATCGTCGTCGTTGTGTTCATGTAGCAAGAATTCCTCATCGGAGTCGTAATCTGAGAACTGACCCAAGGAAAATTCGTCGTCTTCACTGTCTGTCGTATTTTCAAGTGTGAGAAAATTGGATATATATTTATATATATGCTTGTCGATGATAAATACTTACCAGACATGCCTGAAGAGCTATACAATTGTAATATACAAGCTCCAAAAAAAACTACAGCTATTTAGAAATTTGCACAGAATTTATTTTGGAATTACACGACTTTGATGTGCTCGGGCGGAAAATTTTGTTTTTGGAATTACATGACATTTACTGGTATGAATAAAACCAGGGAAATCCTCCAAGGAAACGGGAAAAGGGAAAGGCATTTGCCTGAGGGAAAGTCTCACAGGTCAAGGCTATTGCTCCTTTTCGTATGAATAAACTTTTACCTTTCTCGCCAGGCAAATCCCCTTGGTTTCGGGCAAATCCCCTGACTTCAATTACATGTAATTAAAATAATACCATCGCAACGAACACAAATGCATTTCAAAAATTTCTCTGACCATGATTTTGATCAAATTCTTAAAGAAATGTCCCCCAATGACCCCCACTGGTTTGTGATGTTCGCTAAAAAGGCTAAAATTCGGTATCGGCGCATCTCAGAATTGCAAAAATCAAGGAAATTTCAGCGTTGTTTTGTTGTATATAAGTGTATTTAATTTAATCTATTTTTGATTTTTTGAACACCCTCCAAACTCACTCAGACTAACCTGGAAAAAACCACCTTCAAATGCTCGCCAAAAATCAAATTGTTCTCGGAATTTAAAAACTCTTTTACGATTATTGTCCCATACAGTTATTTTATAATATTCAAGATCAAACTCATTTTTGAATTTTTTATAGATTTTCAAAAATTTCCTAACCAGGAAAAATACTAAAATTCTAACCTCCTAACTTTGTATAAAGCTAAAAATTTTCGAATTTTGAAACCTCCCTTTTTGTAAAATATGCACGACGATGAATGGGTTTCAAAATCGCCATTTATATGGAGGAATGGAAAGTTGAGACACAAACATTCAAACTCAAAACCCACATGCAATGGACCCTTAAACGGCGAATAAATGAGCGAAAGCAGAATTTAATTAGAATCTTGGAAAATTTTCAACATTTATATGCAACTTGCGCGATACCGGTAGCATGACCAGTTGGCCGAAATCTGAATTTAAAAATATTTCAGAAAATATTTTCAGGTTTTCAATGAAAATATAAAATACATTTTTTCGATGTCGATAGCAAATAAAAATCTATATTTTTGTCGATAAATCTGGTTTTGTGAGTTTCAAAGCCCTAACATGTCCAACTAGTGTCCAACATTCATAAAAAGTACAACAGATGCTTAAAAACTAAGTTTTATTGCTAATTTTGTTAGTTGGGGTCAGCATAGTAGCTGATCGGTATTTTTTGGGGAGATTGCCTGAAGGAAAGGCTTTCACCTTGGTTTTATTCATACGAAAATCCCCGTCTCCAGGGAAAATCTTGAGGTTGAGGGAAAAGCTATTCCCTTTTTCCTTTCCCTCGGGGAAAAGCAAATGCCCAAATTTTTATTCATCTATATTGGGGCATTCTCCTCAATTTTTTCGGAAAAAGGATTTCCCTGGTTTTATTCATATCACCCATTGATGTGCTTGGGCGCATGGTTACCGCAGTCGGAGCACACGACTTTGATGTATTTGGGCGCATGGTTACCGTTCAAGGAGCACGTGACTTTGATGTACTTGGGCCCTTAGCGACGGTTTGTGCGCCACATGACATGCTTGGGAGGCAACTGGTTAATAGTTAATTATTTCAACGTTGTTGAGGTTGGGTAAATGTCGATTCTTATAGTTTTTTGGTCGCTGATTTCGAATCTGAGGTCAGTTTTTCGATTGCGACATCATGGGAAGGGACACAGGGCCAATTAATTATGTTAAAATAACATGTAAAATTATAAAGCTGCAAATATAAGGCTGGGTTTGGTAGTAATTTATGAATAAATTAAAAGTTGACATAAATTCATGTAACTCTTGTCAATCAGAGAGTGAAACGTTTGGGAACCCTTCACTACTGCCACTATGTGATAATTTTTGTAATAATCTACATGCCAACTGCAACTTCGTCTCTTCACAGTCTTCACGATGCTTACTTCGACGATGAAAAAACTTCAATTTTCGAAAACCTTGGTACCTTTTGGAACCAGTGTGCACTCACATCACATCCCACGAATTAATTTTTTAACCATGGATACAAGAATCAGTGCAGTTGTAAATGTGAAATCGGCTATTTCGGCGTTCTGTTAGAAATTTTTGTGCTTTAATTACCGTTAGCGACGGGCCAAATAATTAGCACTTCAAAAATGGAGGTTTTTGAGGCTATCGAAGCAACTGTCGTAACCTTGTATTCTGATAAATTGTCAAGCAATCTTGAATTGTGCCCACCTATAATTGTTCAAAAATTTAAATTGTCCTGCAATTGTCCTACCTATAGTGCCGAAGCGTGAGTGAGTGAGTGGCAAATTTTTTGGCAATCTGTCGCCGGAACAAAGACAAGAACGAGATGGATTGGCGTGGAATGAATTTTGCCCTGGACTACTTGGCGTCGACTGGAACGGTCTTTTCTGTTGAACAGAGAGTTGCTATCCAATCCTCACTGACAATTCTTCAGCAAGACAACAAGTTCAATTACGTCCACTTTTTGGGAAAAATCTGTGGCACCGAGAGAGATTATTATTTTGTGTGCGGAATCGGAAAAGACTACATCAAAGATCGTGCATATTTTTACAGGTAATATATCCATTTATTATAATACATCAAATACATGGCTACTTTGTATATCCTTGAAAACATGAAGGCCTGTTAATATCAATTACTTATATATACTTAATCGTATAGTATCAACATGGGGATCGATTGGGTCATGTTACCCTTGCCGAATGCTGGGAACATAGAATTGGGTCTCGCTTGTAGGGGTCATTTCATTGGAGATCCTACGGCAGACAGTGAGACTGACATTGTCCCAGATAACCAGGATGAAATCATGGAAGGGGATGATTGGGTACATTATTTATTACGCATTTTTTTAAGCAAAATATGATAGTCAAATTATGTATAAGCGAATAATTCTGAACAAGTATTTATAATGAATGAATAGGTGACAATTAAGGAGGAAGAGCGTCTTGGAGCCACCATTGCTGGGATTATGAACGAGGTGGCAATTATTCCCAGGGGTGCTCTAATCAAAAGCGTAAATGGCTTAGTTACTGAAAACAAACTCTTTGAAGGTAATATAATAGTTCAAATATCAAACATGATAAAAAAGTGTAAACTATGTAGGAATATGCACTCACATGCATAAATAATTTGTGCATATAATAAATGAATGAGTTTTACTAAGGAGTGCCAAAAGTCAACGCAACCCAGTTTCACTCTTACTACCATCTTCGCCGACCGGAAAACCCGTGGGACCGAAATATTGTGGTCAGCAGTTCATGCATAAAACAAAATATCGAATACACAAAAGTAATGTCTAATGTCTAGATATTTGTATTTCTAGGTTCGTGCAGATTACAATTTAAGTTTGGATTTCTTGGATTCTATCGCATGTGACCTTCCGATCGGTACAGAGACGGCAGAGTTTTTCCAATTACGGGTGATGGAATATTGATTGGGCTAAATATTTAAAGAGATTTGCATGCTTTTTGTATCAGGTTGCTGGAGTTTACAGATGGACAGTTTGGAAACCACGGTTTTTGCACGATCCTTGTACTGGGTAACCTCAAGCTCTCATATTATTTACCATCCATGAGTACATTTAGTTATCTACATACCACATAAATTTCAAAAAGTAGTTTCGACGTTGATTCCCCAAATGTTTATAGTCTTAAGCTACTTGAGACAATCCGTGGAACGGTCTTTTTGTTCAATCTACGATTTAGTGTACAACACGATTCCTAAACATGTTATTCATAATGTATGTGAATTAATTTACAGCCAGGATTTGTCGCATACCACGTAATGGACACGCCACGCTACGGTTTCATCTACATCGGGACAGGGAAAAAGAATTGGGACGTCCCCTTCATGATTCTTCCTCCACCAAGGGCTATAAAAGCATCTGTTGTTGAAGGTGGTGGGGACTATCAATTTGACATGGGAAAAGAAACTGCAGAAATGCCAGGAGAAGGTGGCGACTTTCCATACGAGTCGGGTCCAGATGGGAGGTATTCAAAATGATATTTCGATCTATCGAGAACAACTCTGATCTAGTTTATGTTAACCAGGCCATACGTTCCACAAGAGTTAATGGATGAAGAGGAGGAAGGAAACTGAACAGAAATAATATAATCATATCGTCTCAACCCAACTTTTTCATGATCAATGAGATGAATCATTTTATTAAGATATTTTTGGGGTCAGTCATAGATTTTTTGCTAATATACTGACTTTAGCAACATTCAGAACTGCTGGTTGGAAGATACTGCTGGTATTTATTTTTTTTTGCATGTTAATATTTTTCATTCTCATCATCAACGAATTATTGGGCAGATAAAAAGCCACACTAAAAAAATCACAATCTTATTTTGACGTTGCAAGTGTTGTGTTCCAGTGGCATAGGTGGATCTAACCTCGATGTATACAAGAGCCTTAAAACTGATTATTCCCACCCAAGTCTAAACGTGGGCGTTTGGTTGCTCTTAAATTTTCAAAAAATTCTTGCACGTCTTTTTCTTGAACAACCTTTCCATTATTAGCAAATTCTTCGAGAAAATCCTTCAGTGCTTCCTTCATATTGTTGTATCCTGTTTTATATTATTATCAGTATGCATTTTATCATAACAAACAACTATGTATTTGATGTTGAATGTATATACGTACCATAAGAGTAAGTATATATAATCATAATTTTTTAAATAAAATGAAAATTACCTGAAATCAATTCAATCTGACCAACATGACCCATTTCATTCATTTGTCGAGTGAATGATTCTTCTGCTCGAACCATTTCAGAGTCCAATTTAGCCTGCCCAGCAGCTTCATAATTTTCAATGGTATCCTCCTCGTCTAAAAGAAATGAAACTCCTCCAGCGTCGTATATCGCCTACGAAAACATTACGACATTGTGAAATATAATCTTTAGATGTATGTACGTACATACGTTGAACCATTTATGGCAACTGATAATACTTTATTTAATTGACATTATCGATACCTTGCAAGAGTCACACCGACAAAGCTTTTTGCGCCAACCATCTTGCCACATTGTTCCATTTCCCGGTTTCATCTCTGCTTGACAAGAAGTGTCTGTCAGTGGACATGCATTTGGATTAATTGAAGATTTTGTTTCAGTTTCCGGTAACGATGAAACTCCGCTGTCCTGGCTGTTTGAAGGTGATTCATGCTTACTGGGTTCTTCCCCGTTGGTTATAATGTTTTTGGCGTTCGAGTCCTCCACAACCTCTGCCGAAGCGGAATTGCTGGGTTTGACTGATAAATAATAAAACAATTTGCAGATTAGATTTCATCAAGTTATAAATAATCAATAAACAAACAACTAGCAGCAGTTAAAAAGATAGCATTCCAATACCTTGCAACTCTCCATAAAAGGCCAGAAAGTTCAATTTAGGTGTACAACCAGCACAAATCAATTCCACCGCTTGCTCTATATCTTCGTAGTCAAACCCAACAGGCATGACATGCTGAACGTATAAAAATATGCATAGTAATAAATTATTATTAATACTGGTGATTATAGTCAAATTGCATTCAAATAAATAAATATGTACATAAACTACCTCAGAATGGTACCAATCCTCACAGCTAAAAAAATCGTCATCAGAAAAATAATCATCGATTTGCAGAATATATACTTTATTACACAGATACAATTCAATTACTGACTTACACAATGCATTGAATCATAGGTCCTGGGCCGCCATCCATTTCTGCAGATTCGTCCGGATCGGGATAAGGTCTGTGACATGTGCAGTACAATCCAGAAAAGTTTTGGGAATATACATTCTTTTCGTTATATTCCTCCTTATCCTTAAAGATCAACAATTCAACATGAAGTGCTGCATCGTAATAAACCTACTAGCCTTAAATAGATATAACTAATTACCTTTTGCAGAGTGCAAGGGTTATCGGGAAACTTTTTGTTTCCACAATCACACCGAAAATTTCTAATTGTAACATAATACTTCTCAATTAGCTATACTCGTCCTCACTAAAATCGGTACATTAAAGAATTTTCACAAAATGATTGCAATACGTACCGCTTTGTGTATAGTTCTACCAATTCATGTCCGTCATGGCATTTGTAGCTGCACGCCAAACAAACTCCTCCTTGCTGGAAATGTGGAGCATTTTTTGGATTGCATGTTAAGCAAGCATAAAGGGCTTGACGTTTCAAGTAGCCCTATTAATTATTTGCATGCCCAATTTTTAAAACATGGTTTAATACATACAAGTTCAAATTGAAAGTACGAAACCTTGGAATAGGAGCAATTGAGCGGATCGGAGGCTCCGAGCACCGCATTTGATAACTTCCCCAGTTCTTCATATGCCTCCAATGCCTCCCCAAGGGTTACCACTTCCTCGTCCTCTTTCACTTCCGATGACGAGGGTCCACCGTCTAATCAAACAATCGAGAAAATGTTGCATAAATCTATTTAACTTTTCCTAATAACTATACGATATTTGAATTATAATTCGTATCAAAATATAATGTGCAATGTCTAATACACAGGGCTTTCATAAAGAAAGTACAAAATAAGGACGAAAAAGTGAAGTGAAAAGCGTTTAATTAATAGTGAAATCAATCTTACCTGCCATAATTAAATTCGAATGTTTCCAGTACACACAAGTTTGAAATGTTTAGAGAATAGGTGAGACTGATAAACGGCCAAATTAATTCAAGTTAGTGATTATTTTTATACAAAAAACCAAGGTCCTGAATTTTACTTAGTTATGTAGACACGTAACTAAGTAAAATTCAGGACCTTGCAAAAAACGGAGAGTCTAAAAAACTGACGGATCTGCAATATCCAGATTCTAGACTGCAAACGGAATCAATTTCTGTTTTTGTTTAGGGACAAAAGTTGTGCGCTCGAAGTCTCTCGCACTCCCGCTTCATTCTGGGCATTGTAAGATGTTATACATGACGACGGAAGCTGCTGCAAAACTCGACAATCTTCTGCATGAACAATTTTGCAAACCCAGCATTGTCAGTGGTGCAGATATATTTTGCCTAGACTTTTATCCCACAAAGTACGATATTTATTATTAAATAACAGTCCAAAGGATATTATCTGAGATTGGCAATCTCGTACCATTTTCTCGTAATGGTTTATAGTTTAAGTTCTATACAACATAATGCTTATTATACATGCATAACATAACTGTGGCATGGGCTGGCATTGTTGGCAAATAAAATTGTTAGTACCAGTCATAAAATGACATCATCAAAATCATCATCACAAAATATTCGTATGTATGAATGAATGCCATGAATAACATTCACTATTTGGTAGTAATATAACACTGATCATAGGCTTCAGACTTGTTTGTATTTCAGTAAGGCACCACGCCGTTTCTTTGCCCTTCAATTCGTAACAATTTGTGACAATTTGTGGAGTTCTATTCACTTGTGCAACAAACTACATAATTAATAAGTGTACACAAATTGACACATTCATTGAAGTGAATCATGTGATAGACCCTTTAGATCCATGGATAGACCTTCATACATAAGTAAGTATGTAGGTAACATACTAACATGATGCTAAACAATTTATTTATAATTTATCATATACAAGTAATCTGTATTGAAACATATACTCTTGTCGTCTTACAATAGAATTTTTTAAACTTAATATTGCACACTAACATAATACAAATTAATACAGTTGAAACTGCTTTTTGTTCTTATGTAGTTTTCCAAAAATTCAGGACATTTCATATTAGTAAAATTTTTGTTTTTTTTTGGTGTCATATTCACATAAGTAATGTAAACTGTGAAGAAAGGAAGAATACAAAATGCAAAGAGGGAGTCATCCCCAATGGGGATTCCCCATATATTCTTTTTAGGATGAGTCAGGTTATCTTTTAAGAAGTTCTCTCTTCCTTCACCAATCAGCAGCATTTAAAAAGAATCTGTTTTACGCATCTATCTAAATTTGAGTTAGCATCCTTCTTAATGTTTTGTTTAGTGATGGTTTAATTACCTCAAAAACTTAACCTAAAAACTGTTGTATGTAACGCTTTCATTACTTTAGTGGATGGCTAATATAGTCAGTCCTCTTCTCAATCAGCTCACGTCTCACGTTGTTGAACTTGAGTTTATTTGGTTGAGTGTGAAAGACTATTTCGCAAATCGAATTTTTCGCAACATTACATAATGAGCGATAGTAGGAACAGTCAACAGTCAAGAATTTGAGCAATTGGATTTTGAATTAATATGAAGAGTACGTGTTTTCTTAGTTGAAATAATACACGACAGCAATCATAGTTTTTTTTATAATCACATGTTTGAATTCTTCGAAATGGTAAACAAATTTGACGTATGGTATATAAATTAAATAAGGCTGCAAATGCTGACGAATATTGTATTTTTTAAATGTTTTATCGTTTTTTTATTCTACAGGATCAATTTTTTGATGAACTTCGAACTGATGTCACATCAGTGATGTGTAGTTTGTGAAGGGATGTGATGTGATATGAGAGATCTGCTTTACTCAAAGATCTGATTTAAATAATCTCTACTTCTCTAATTGCCTTTAAGTAGGTCTGATAAAATAAAATGGCAACTGTCAAGGTTGCTGTAAGGGTTCGGCCCTTGAACCAGAGGTTAGTATCAAGATTCATATATTGGCGTCAAATTTTACATAAATATCGTTATAATATTTTATTTTAGAGAGATATCAATGGCAGCTCATCCAATTATTGGTAAGTTATTCAATTTACTTTTGCAAAATGATATGATGGTGAATTGGTGAATATAAGCATAATAGTTAATTGGTTAATTTATTTTTATATAGAAATGGAAGGCAAAAAGACTCGTATATGCAATCACAAGGTATTTAAATATGGCAATAATTATAGATATGATTGGTTTTAGCTTTTATAGGAATTTATGTTATATTACGGCGGGTATATATTTACAAAAAATTGTTTTTGATGGTGGACTCACAAGTTTGAAATATCTAGGTCATCAGATGAAAAGTTGAAAATAAATAAATAAATATCCGCCGTAATGGCACTGTTGTCACTAATTATTACTCTGCTTAGGTGGCTGCATCAAAACTGGAGGGCGAAGCAGCTCGTGAAAAGTACAAAGATTTTACATTCGACTTTTCTTATTGGTCTTACGATGAAAACGATGAACATTTTGCATCTCAAGAACAAGTGTTTGAAGGTGCGTAAATAGCATAGCTATATGTAACTAAATAGTCATAAGTGGTGAGTGAAGACTTGCACTTTAATTCTTTCTGCAGACCTTGGTATGGATGTGGTCCATAATGCTTTTGAAGGGTACAACGCCTGCGTATTTGCATACGGACAAACAGGAAGTGGGAAAACTCACACCATGATGGGGTCTGAGGTAAGTAGCTGAATTGAATGTTTTAACTAGTAAGATATTACATCTGCTGGGTTCTTGATGGGATCTGCAATTCTGCATCTCCCTTAGAAAGCATTCCTATTTTAGTAGTCCCCTCTGATCTAAGTAGTAAACTGACTAAAGATGAAATATTTTTTATTAGGAGGCACAGGGCCTAATTCCAAGAATATGCAAGGTAAACCTGCACTTGCTTCTAACAATTTGAACGCAATATGTATTAACTTTCAATCCGATTTATCATTTATATGTACTCGCAGGACATGTTCAAGCGAATGCACCAAGGGAAAGAAAAAGGAACTACATATCGAACAGAAGTTAGTTATTTAGAAATTTACAACGAAAGGGTGAAAGACCTTCTAAGAGGAAATCAGACTCATAGCCTCAAAGTTCGTGAGCATCCAAGACAGGTAATTTTCCATAGCCTTTACTAGTGCATAGTTAAAGTACCTAAATTTATATAAACACTATCGAAGCATCAACATCTTATGTTGCTGAGTAGAAGAATTGCTATTACTTAGCTCTCTATGCACACTATTCATTTGTCCTTTTGTATTTCCCTTTCAAACAGGGACCATATGTACAAGGCCTTTCCAAACACTTAGTAATGGACTACGATGATATCGTTGGATTAATGTCTACTGGAAATTCCGCGAGAACTACGGCCTGCACAAATATGAATGACGTTAGCAGTAGAAGTCATGCAATTTTTACAATGACGTTTATCCAAGCCAGCTTTGTAGGTGACATGCCTTCGGAAACTGTTTCAAAAGTTCATTTAGTAGATCTCGCAGGAAGGTATATACAATTTCAATTTGTTTACAAATTTCCCATACACACGTGTAAATGCACATTCTTTTTTTTAGCGAGAGAGCAGATGCATCTGGTGCTACGGGGCAACGACTTAAAGAGGGAGGTAAGTTATCTATTGTATTTAAATATTTTTTACAAAATTTTAGGCACACAACTTGTAAGCTCACATTGTACCCTTTGTTCATGAACAGCTCACATTAATAAGTCGCTGGTAACGTTGGGTTCTGTGATTTCGGCCTTAGCCGATGCTTCTCAATCCCAGGTAGGAAGTTATTAGAACTTGAACGATAAAATCAACGCAAATTTTTGTAATTACAACTAACAGTATATGATGTGTATGTATATACAGACTCAGGCAAAGAAGGTCTTCATTCCATATCGTGATTCCGTTTTAACCTGGTTGCTCAAGGACTCCCTCGGTGGAAATGCAAAGACCATATGCATAGCAAGTATGTTTGTTAAGTTTAAAAATGTGGAAAAAATAAATTCAGTGAATTAAATCATACAATATGCTAATTTAAATTTTTGTTGTAGCTATTTCTCCTGCGGACTGTAATTATGCAGAAACTCTGAGCACACTACGGTAAAAAATCTGTTATGATTATAATTCTTCCCTTGATTAAAACTTTCGTGATACTTCCTATTTAATTCTCACATCAGCAAGTACATATTTATTTGCCATAATTAGAATTAATATGCGAACAAATCGGAAATCTGTTCACATATTATAGACCTGAAGACGCACGACTAAATTCTTGAAGATCGACTAACATTGACCATTTTCCACGAGATTTAATAATTTCTTCTGATTTATCATGTTAACGTTTGACTCACTTAACCAAATCAGGATTGATTTTTAACTGCAGGTATGCAAATAGAGCGAAAAATATTATAAACAAACCCACCATCAATGAAGATCCAAATGTTAAGTTAATCCGTGACCTGAGGAATGAAATTCAAAAGTTAAAGTCGATGCTAGGAAGTGACGATGTATGTATGCCTTTTTCTTGAACATTCATATTATTCGTATGGAGTTCGAATATGTAATGTGTTTAATTTTTATAGCCATCCGACGTTCTGGCAGAACTTCAAAAGAAAGAAGCGAAAGAAAAATCCCTCACGGAAGAATGGACCGACAAGTGGAAGGAGACTCAGAAAATTCTCATGGAACAAAAAGATTTGACATTACGGAAGGTATTTAAAATTATTACTTCAATTTTTCATACATTAATTTTTATTGCAATTACGCCAATTACAGTTGAAACTAACAAATGTTGAACGTGAAATTTTTTTTGATCAGGCTGGACCTGGAGTAATTTTAGATTCTCAGATGCCTCACTTGATTGGCATTGATGATGATCTGCACAGCACTGGAATCACATTATATCACCTCAAAGTAAGCATTAATTAATTAATTAAATTATAAATATTGTAGTTTTGATTTTTTTTCTTTGGATTTCAGGAAGGAGAAACTAAAATCGGTTCAGATGAAAACAATACAAATAATCATGACATCAGTTTAAAAGGCCAGGGTCTAGAATCCCAACATTGTAGTATCATGCTAGAAAACGGAATGGCGACTTTGGTCCCAAATGGGGCTTCAGTTTGTTCAGTCAACGGACAAACTGTAGATAAGCCTACTCGTTTATTTCAAGGTAGGAAAATGCATAACTAAGCAAACAAAATCAGACTGATAATATTTACCTCATACAAACTGATGTGTGTCGGTTGGTTACAGGTTGTGTTTTACTACTTGGACGAACGAATATGTTTCGATACAATGGTACAAATATATATAATATTTTTAAAATGCTATTTATTTACTGTTTATTTAGATTGTAATTTGATTCTAATTTACCTTAAATACAGATCCAGCCGAAGCAGAAAAAATGAGAAAGGAAGGTAGTCGTTCAAACGTAAATCTAAGTAGACTGTCCTTTCTAAGTAGATCTGCGACCGATTTGGTTTTGGACGGTTCGCTTAGTATTTCTGCAATGGGGTTAGTATTGCATAAATTTTATAGTGATAAATTAAAGTTGATAGTAAAATAATCTGATACATTTTCATGTTTCAGAGAAGAAAATACTATTTTGGAAGAAAAGCGTCGTCAATTAGAAGCTGAAGAAGCTCGTTTGCAGAAGGAAAGTCAGCTTTTGGTTGAACAAAAAAAGTTACTAGAAGAGCAGAAACAGAGTTACCAAGTACAAAAATATAATACCTACTAATACTAATCATAATTATATTATTTTATCTAAAAACACTCTAAATGTGTGTCAACAGCTTCTACAAGCAGAAAAAGAGGAAGCCTGGAAAGCCGAGCAGCTAAACAAGAGTTCAGTGATACAATTAGCTCAGAAAGACCTTGAAGATGTACGTTTCATATATGTGTTTTTAGTGGTTTTGGATTTTCAGAAAGAGGATAATTCTGCAATTTGTGAATAATTGGGAAAAATGGTTTTAGAGACGTAAAAAATTGGAGACCGAGTACTCGGCACATCGGAAGATTCTTGCCGAAGACTGGAAGAGACTCGAACAACAAGAACAAGAAACATTGGCCAGCTTACAATCCAAGGAAAAAGATCTTAAAAAAAGACGAGAGTTTTTAGAATGGGAAATTGATCAAGAGATGGAACAGGTTTGTGACTTAACGAAGCTTATCACGTAGTCACGTTGTTATTATTTGATTTTTGATTTCCTAACTGTTTTGTAATTTTATCTTTTTGCATGATTCATTAACGGACGTGCGTTTTCAAATTGTGCTCAATGCTGTGCCGTGACATAACACTTACCAAATGTCTATATCATGAACACATAGATTGAAACTGAGGCTCAAAACGTTGAAGCTCTTAGGGCAGAGTTAGATGCTAAGCAGGAACAAGCTGAGAATGTTCTCCAAAATGTAACTTTGGAATTGCAGCAAAAGCTAGTAGGTCGTTCTGCAGATGAACTCAAACCCATCCTCAGAATGGACGAACCAAAATTTCAGGAATACCTTACATCACAGGCTAGAAAGCTAGAAGACTCGCGTATAAATAATGTATCCCGTTTAGAGGAGCAAAGAAATCGCATTTTTTCCCAGCTAAATGTAAAGTAGTTTATATTTAATACATATAAGATATTTCTTTCCGCTTAACAGAATATGGCTAATTTAATATGATTTAGGAATTTTCTGAAAAACTAAAGGGATGCGTTGACGATGAGATTAAGCTACAGTATGAAAACCAACGTGACCACCTTTCTCAACAAGCAGAAAAATTACAGAATGACATTAATCAAGGTGAAAGAGCGTTCGACAATGAAAAATCACTTTTATTTCAAACAACGGAACTATTAAAGGAGTACAGAGACAAATTGCTTGAAAATGTATGAGTTTTTTTCAGCTTTTTTAAATTTTTGATTAATTTGTATCATTTTGAAATACTATTACTGTTATTACTGTAATATTACAAATATATTATTTTTTAAAGGGTTTAAGTTGTAAGGACTTGGAAGATGAAGTTAACAAAAGTATGGACAAAATCATGGCAAGTGAAGACAAAATGAGTCGGCTAGAATCTGATTTAGCTCTCATTGCGGATCAAGAAAAACTTATCGTAACACAATTGGCTCATATTGATACCAGCAAACAAAAGTTGAAAACTATAATCGAAAATACGGGTGACACAAAAGATTTCGAAGATGCTGAAGAACAAAAGTAATACTCATTTTTGCACTTACTCACTTTAGTAGTCTGTCATGCATATTTCAAGTTTACTTTATTCCGTAGCAAGTGTATTTGTATTACTAATATGTACAATCATTTCTGCTACTATTTACATAGATTGATGTTGGCAACGTCGAATGAAAAAATTGCTGATCTTTCCCAAAATAACGACACAAGCGCCGAGTGGCTCTCAACATCACAACCACGACTTCCAAAGACCTCTTCGCCACTGATTACTAGGGATTCTTCTCCTAATCGAATTGATCGGAATAATGATGTAAATAGTGCAAAATATGGAGACATTAGTCCTATTAAAGCAACATCAGATCTAGTGGCTCATAAACTTATATCGACTTCAAATTCTTTAACGCTTAACATGAGCCCAACGGACATTGGTTTAGAGTTGAAACGACTTGTTGAACAAGTAAACGACCAAAAAACTGTCGTGCTAGAATGTTTGGAAAATGACTGCGACAAAGAAGAACTCAATGGACACATGGCTGTAAGGATTTTTTTCTATGCTTCTAATTTACACAGTTACTGGGCATCTACGAGTTTATTCGTATAATAATTCAACACTCGTTTGTATTTGACAGGTGCTTCAGGAACTTCGAAATAAGTAAGACAGAGAAATAAAATTTTTTTGCCAATATATTTTTTCGAACACCGTCCAATCAAGGGTAAAATGCTACAGGTCAATCTATTTTCAACAGGTACTTAGAAATTGAAAGATTGCTGGACAATGCTAGTCGTCATAGACTTTTGGGATACGATGAGGATGAATCTACGTTTGAGTTTGACAAGACAGAAGATTCAACTATGGCAAATGACAGTGAACTGGATGACTCTGAAGTTCAATCCAGTGTTACTGATCATGACGAGTGAGTGTTTATTACCAATACATAAGATTGCATTAGATTTTCATACTGTATATGTGTTGCATAGATAATATTCCCTGATTTTTTTTTATCTTTCTAAATTTTAAATAGCCTCCAAACTTTGATTGATCAAGAAGTAGAAAAACGTCTGTTCGAGATATTTGACCAGTTAAAGCATGGACAAAAGAGCAATGTATTTCTCAGAAATACAAATCGATCTTCCAATCTGTAATTGTTTTACTTATCACAACAAAATCAAATTAAAATAGTTACTCCGTTTCACTAAAGTGTTTTTTTAAGTCGCAGCAGTTTACCATCGGGACTAAATCACTTAAATGGTTCAGGATCGGTAATTTCCACTAGTAAATTTTGCTATCTAAATATACCTAGCTTGGCTATTGTATGTTCTATTCTGCTTTGTAGGAGGATGAAGAATCTAATGGTCCCCAAACTAATATACCTCGGTCAATTTCAATGAACTCTGGTGTTTGGGCATCTTTTGGCCAAGGTATGTAATACATACATATGGAAATAATCAGGATATTTTTTGTGGCCCTGGTTGAAATGTAATTCCAATATAATAATATATTGCTTACTTACTTATTTGGATATTTTAGGTGGTGGAGCACTTGATGTTCCATCAGAATTGGTAATAGTTTCCAATCTCAGTATTTATTTCCATCTTTATTAACGTTGGTTTCATTATACTTTCACAATTAGGTGTCAATTAAAATTCCATCGTATGTATTGAGGGGAAATGGATCGAGTACACACTTTGAATATGAAGTGGCTATTGTTACCCCGCATGAAAAATGGTCAGTTCTTCGCCGATATCAACGCTTTCGGGATTTAAATTCATACATGCGGAAAAAATATGGACCAAGAATTGAACACATTCATTTTCCTCCCAAGGTATTTACATAAACGTTAGAATTAGTAAAATATGAGGATTGCGTACTAATTCAAATTTCCTCCCAAGAAATGGTTTGGTAGTCGGTCAGAAAAATTAGCAAAGGAAAGGCAAAAATTACTCGAGATCTTTCTTCAATCCTTATTGAAGGCTTGTTCTCAAATTTCATCATGTCCACTCCACAACTGCCCTTCCATCAGAGTGAAAGACGCATTAACAGCTTTCTCTCCATTCTTCCAAAAAGGATTTTTCGAGAGTACTGTATTTGGAACTTCGTAGTCTTCTTTGTCCAACAACTTCCAGTCACTACTACCAAAGAAATATGCAATCTCGGAATAACAAAAAGTCAACTAGGTGTCCACACTTTATTGGCATTTTTCTTGCTTGACATATTACATAATTTAAATTCTATTGTTTTACACGAATCTTTTGTGTTTGCTTTGGTTGACTAAAAGTACTCACTGTTCTAGTCACAATACTAATTACCGATATGTCATGTTTGATGTCATTCAAGAAATTATACCGAAATGTGCAAAATGTGTTATTTCTACAGCTTATATAATTATTATCATTAACGTTAAATTGATAAGTAATTTTTGTTTTGTTTGTTTGGTGGTTTAATTAGTCAACTTTCTGGTGATTTGTTGATCTGAAAAAGATCTGATAATAATTTATAAACTATTAATATCGTTTATATACGACCTATAACATTTATTGTTAAGTGCCTAATCAAACAACTTAATTTGCTCAGCCCTTTAAATGATTCCTGCTACTAAATATGTAAGTGTAAGTACTTTCTCTACTATTTGTATTACGAGTATGCAAAATATATATATACATTAAGAAATGAATATAGACAAGAAATTATATATCGAAAAGGTCTAAATTGGAACCAAAACATGTATGTATTTATTCAACGGCAAGTTATTGAATAAATCTCTATGCTCATAAAACATTAAATAATTTTCCTTATTACATTTAAATTACATCCACGATCCTTTAATTAAATCTGCAGCTTTTTCACCTATCATAGGGAATAAAAATAAATTATATCACATTGACCCTTTGATTCGGGGACTTAATTACAATTAAGATTAATTTTAAAATACCTATCATAATGATTGCAGCATTCGTGTTTGCGCTCACTACTGTCGGCATAATTGATCTGAAACATAATTTTTAATTAGGGATAACATTATTCTGTCCTTGGGTGCATTCAATTTCATAATTTTACCCATCGGCCACCCGTAAACCCATTACTCCATGAACCTTAAATAATACTCTTTTTAGTCTTGAATTTTTAAACACAATTCACAATAAATTATTTTTACCTTTAGTTCTGGATCTACCACAGCACTCTTATCATGCACAGGCCCCATTTTGCAAGTACCGGCAACATGATGTTCCGTATTAGCATTGTGACGCAGAAAACAGACCTAGCAATCATATTCATAAAAGTTAGTTATAGTCCACAGCACATTATATTTTATATTATACAAACCCAGTAAGCGTCTGATCCCGGTTGGAGGTGAGGACATTTCGGCAAAACTCCAAGATGCATGCTTATTCCAAATTTTTTGAAGGGTTTACTGTTTCCTATCTCTACTGCATGTTTCAGACCTTATTAACAACACATTGTTACAAGATATTAATTCAGTGTAACAATATAATTTTTGCAACAATGCCGCAAAAAAGTTTACCATCCAAAAGTACATCAAAGTCCCTCCGATCGCTGAGAAAGTTGGGCTGAATAATTGGCATGTCGTATGGATGATGACTCCGAAGTTTCATGTAACCACGAGAAAAGGGACGTAACAAAATCGGCACAATTGTGTAACCTTCCTTGAATTTTATTGGGTGATAGAAAGTTTCAATCATCTAATAAATGTTTATAAATTTCATAAAAACCTTAATTACTGAAAATTAAACACAAAGCAACAAGTTAAGTAGAGTTACATATACACACTTCTGTAGTAGCTCCAAAATATTTCTGAAATCCTCCTCCCCCATCGATCGCCGGTGTCGCAGAAAGGAAAAATAGTTGCAGATCTGGCCAATCTGTACTTTTATTAGAATATCGACTGTGTAGAAATGCATTTCCTTCGACCCCCACTGTTTCACCGAAAGGACCTCAATGAAAGCAATAAAATCATTCAGTATGCACAATACATATAAGTCAGGCCAACATTCCATGGGAAAAAATGATCGTATAATCTTATTTTCAGGCATGTTTTTACCAGTATGTTTTAAAGTGTACTCTTTTAGCGTAATTGGGTTAAAAAGTGGAAGTAAAGAGTATGCACTTTTTTTCTTTCGTATAGTCCACGAGAGTCCAAATGCCCCCATATGGTCTTGCAAATTTTTTCCTACTTGTAAATTCGCGATATTCGGGAAAATCTGTTCACACGCATATAACACATTAAAGTGTACCCATTTCATCTGACAACCCATTTGCACTATGCAAAAAGACATGCAGATGAAAGTGCACAAAAAATTAGGAGCATATTATACGACAAAAATTTAAGGCTGACCCCAATCTCCTCTAGATCCTCCTTAGGACCAATGCCACTCAAGAGTAAGATTTTAGCGGAGCCTATGGTCCCCGCAGATAAAATAACCTCTTTTCGACAATACACTATGTGACGAAGGCCGTTGGCACCATATTCCACACCAATGGCACGTTTTTGCTCATCAAATAAAACTGTGTGAACATGGGAATAAAGAAAAATGTGTAAATTGGTCCGTCGACTTGCAGGTTTCAAATATGCACGTGCTGTCGACCATCGGATTCCCTTGTTGATTGTCATTTGGAATGGGGAGAACCCTTGAGATAAAATTCAAGTTATTATCTAGAAATAACTTATTTACTAGGACTTTGTACCAGTAACATGACTTCCGTTAGGATCAACAATGTCGTATCCCAAATATTTTCCAGCTTTGAGAAACGCACCCATCACAGGACTCCGATGCCTCGGAGTTTGTACAATTAAAGGACCGTTGGTTCCGTGATGGTATGCTACGAAAATATTATTATTAACCATGATCATTTATGGATTTCCGAGAGAAAATTTGTATGCCTCATTTCTTACTATCAGCAGCTAAAATGGGATCAGTTTGATGTTCAGCCTTTTTAAAGTATGGCAAAACGTCTTCATACGCCCACCCATCATTGCCTTGTGCTGCCCATGCATCAAAGTCTAGTTTATTTCCTCTCATGTAAATCATTGCTAATAAATAAATAATAAATATGGAGTTGAACTCGTTCTTCTGATATGAACAAAATTGCATATTTTTTTTTACTGTTTATTGAACTTGTTCCACCAATCACTTTTCCTCTCGGCCAAAATGACACCTGTGTTGATAAGTGGCATCTTGATCAATGATAACTAAACATCCTGCCAGGTACACTACACTTCTACACATTAAATTACCAGTCGGATTGGACTCACCTGGTTTTCATATCCGAGTAAAATGTCAGTTTGTGGCACTGTCCGAAACTTCCAGTCCAAATCTGACCCCGGTAGAACGGCATGAAACCAAGGAACTGTTGACGTAACAGGCTCATTGCCACCAGCTTCTATTAGCAAAACGGTGACTGCTGGATTTTCAGAAAGCCTAGCAGAAATCACTGCACCTGCCGAACCTCCTCCAACTAGAGGTTATCAGTTATATTACAGAAGGAAGCGTAAAAGTCTCACTTTGCCTCAACTAGAATCTCAACTTTGGACATGCATATAGTTATTTAGAAGTTCAAAACAGCTTACCCACGATGAAGTCATACTCCTTCTCAAGAAATCGGGCGTTCATGGGCTCCAGTGGCAATGTTGTCAGATACATGTTCATGACCATAAAGTGGCTTAAAAAATTAACCCACGCCTGCATAGCCATTGACACAAAATTCTCCACACGCATATTAATGTCCATGGTGCAGTACCAGTCACTCACAGTTTGAAAAAATACTTGCAGACATACTGGTTAAAAAATTATCGACTAACGTTATGAAATTTATTTTTCGATTACTATATCGTAACTTCTCCAATTCACTTCAATTTGCAACTAAACTCAGGAACTTTTACCCACCATCACGTAAAACAAAGAGAACAGTTAACAGGGGCACAGCTATGGATTAAAAAGAATTTCCCAAAAATTTCAATAATCATCTTCGCATCAACTTGCACTGTATGTATGCATGTAGGTGCTGCACTACTCTACCTAAATATGTATATTTGTAAGCCGTATTGTATTTATCACTGTCAAGTGATGTGAAATTGAAATGGTTGAATTTTTTGTTTATTTTATGCTTATGTGTGCATACATACGTGTGTCTCAAATTTCTGTCATGCTTTGTGCTGACATGCAATTAGTGATTTTCACTCGAGTGAGTTGCAGCAGTCGTCAGTCGTAATTGCAACAAACGAAATTGCTTTCATTGTTGTTTGCAGGCGTTTGAGCTCCATTTAAGTAAAAAAAAAAACATGACTCTTTTAAGCTTTCAAATAAATTAAATATATCGCTCTATGCAGACAATGACCAGTAATTTATAGCAAGTGGAAGTATAAATACTTTAAATATATTTCGTCAGAAAATACACAAAGCAAAAATTGTAAATAAATGAAATTAGCGTAATGCCCGTCTTCTTCCTCTGGTCTCGATTGGTTTTGGTAGAGGAACTTTGAGAACTCCACGATGTTCTTTTGCAATGCTATTGTAATGCAGAGATATACCAACGGCTTTGGCTAATGTTAACAGCCTGAAAATATTAAGGTATGTTATGTAAAGTATTAGATGACCAAAACATTAATGGAAAAACTTGATGCTACTTACTTTTTAATATGGAGATTTAAACTGGTAGACATTAGCTGGACATCAAATATGAAATTGTTGGCGAGTAAAACCAACACCATGACGTAGCAACAGGTTTTATCTTTTAGGTGCTCGGGTCGATTTCTGTAATTATCGAAACACCCAGAATTCAGTAAACCAGCAAAATATAATGCAATATATATTTTTTTGAAAAACAAGTTACCGGACTCCCTTCGCGTTGGTAGATGTAAAAGTTTCTAGTGCCTTCTCTTGCATCCACATGGGGAAAACATCAGGTAGTTCCACCGTCTTCTTACGAAGTTGGTCATGTCGAAGTTTTAATAGACAAATCAACAATTCAGTGTATAGTACAAGCTTAGCACAATAAATTGTTTTTCCATTAGGAGCTTGAGAACTCAAACTATGCCACATGGCAAAAAAGTAATCAGAAAATCTGCAAAGAAAGACAAATAAGTATAGTTGTTACGTGCTCAAGCAATATTAATCCTGAAAAAATGAGGATCATTTTGCGACCTACTTTTTAGAATTTTGCCATTCCAGAATGACATCCGTCGATAAGTTCAGGAACTCATCTGACAAACCATCCATATCATTCATTTCTTCTGGAGTGATAATATCATCCAAGTTGTACACTTCTTCTGCAGTTTTTGCCTTCCGATGACAAGGAGGCATCAGATGAACCATGGAGTCATCCTTGATTATTGGTTCATCATCCGCTGCACTAATTTGTGCCGATGCTTTCGACATACTTTCATTCATGTCGACTACGTCAATTTGATTTTTCTCAAGTCTTTCATATGTCAACCTAACACAATCATACAAAATTATTGAAGTAAGTATCTACCTTGTAGTAGTCTTATATTATACGATTACTTATAAAATATATAAACAAATATATATGTAACTGTAACAAACCTTTTCCTTTTTGATCCAAAAGACTTTACAAGATCAATTGCAGCTTCTTTCTTTTCGATTTGCGTCTTTTTTGGTTGCCTCTGCCTCTCCTGCTCAACCACGAAGGAATGTCCCTTGATAAATGGTGTGACTGTGACCGGAGTGACCTCAAACACTTGCATATGTTGCCCTTGTCGCACCGCCATGTAAGTTCGAAGGGGTTCATCATCCTCGTCTGTACCAATGTAAGTCATTGAACTGCTCTGCAATGCAACCAATTTTCTTTTACGGTTGCGTGTTGGTTTCATATCTACTTCTATATCCAAATTCAAAAATCAAGTCATAAATAAATATATCATCGTAGAAAAAATATTAGAAATTAAATTAAAAAACCGTAATACAATCAATCACCTTGCTTTTTGGATCTGTCTAAATGGGAAAAGTCCTTCTGTTGAGATTTAACAGGGTCGCTGTGAAAGACGGCCGTGCCAAAGATTTGGTTCAGGTCGAGGGAAGAGCTTTCACGACTCGTGGTAGCATGTTGAAATCTAACAAGGATTGGATTTTGAACTTGATCACTGTACGGATCCTTATCCAACACCGCTTTTACTCTTACTTTACCCATGTCAGGCTTATGAAACGACTTGTCACGCAAATATAGTCAATTTATAGTGAAAAACTATTTATTTCAGGACGAAATTCCTGTGTTGTTGTTGTGCGATTTCCACGTGCATATCAGCAGTCAGCCTGAGAGTTTTAGTGTTCGCGGGAGAGAGCGGTAGAGCCTGCATGAGAATTATGATGTACTACCTACCGCCTAGCGCCTAGCTTCCTACCGCCTATCGCCTACCAGGTACTTCCTACCGCCTAAAGACCTAGCGCCTACTTCCTAGCGCCTACTTCCTAACGCCTAAACGCTCATCGCCTACTTCCTAACGCCTAAACACCTACCGCCTACTTCCTAACGCCTAAAATGTTTACCGCCTAATTTTTTTTATCATTTTTGAACATTTCACACTATTCTAATAGTGGGGAACTTTGAGATTTTTGTAAATTTAATATCATGGAAATCATAATTTATTCTTATAACATTGGGGCACTATGAGATTATTGCGGTAAAGTGTAGCATGGATTATCGAAATTATGCCCCATATTGGGGTATTGTTCGTTTTTAAGCGAGCGAAGCGAGCAGGCTAGGTTAGTTATACTAGGTACGCGGAAAGCGTGAAATATTCAGCTAGGTAAGCTAGCAAGGAGATCTAGTTAGAAGTCCTAGCTAGGGGAGCTAGCTAGATGCTCTCCTAGCTAGGATTTCTAGCTAGCTCTCCTTGCTAGGAGGTCTAGCTATCCCTCCTAGCTACTACTTCTAGCTAGGACTTCTAGCTAGCTCTACTAGCTAGGACTTCTAGCTAGCTCTACTAGCTAGGACTTCTAGCTAGCTCTACTAGCTAGGACTTCTAGCTAGATCTACTAGCTAGGACTTCTAGCTAGCTCTACTAGCTAGGACTTCTAGCTAGCTCTACTAGCTAGGACTTCTAGCTAGATCTACTAGCTAGGACTTCTAGCTAGCTCTACTAGTTAGGACTTCTAGCTAGCTCTACTAGCTAGGACTTCTAACTAGGACTTCTAGCTAGCTCTCCTAGCTAGGACTTCTAGCTAGATCTCCTTGCTAGCTTACCTAGCTGAATATTTCACGCTTTCCGCGCACCTAGTATAACTAACCTAACCTGCTCGCTTCGCTCGCTTAAAAACGAACAATACCCCAATATGGGGCATAATTTCGATAATCTATGCTACACTTTACCGCAATAATCTCATAGTGCCCCACTATAAGAATAAATTATGATTTCCATGATATTAAATTTACAAAAATCTCAAAGTTCACCACTAATAGAATAGTGTGAAATGTTCAAAAATGATAAAAAAAATTAGGCGGTAAACATTTTAGGCGTTAGGAAGTAGGCGGTAGGTGTTTAGGCGTTAGGAAGTAGGCGATGAGCGTTTAGGCGTTAGGAAGTAGGCGCTAGGAAGTAGGCGCTAGGTCTTTAGGCGGTAGGAAGTACCTGGTAGGCGATAGGCAGTAGGAAGCTAGGCGCTAGGCGGTAGGTAGTACATCATTGAGAATTCTCTTTCTCCAAGTCTCTCTCTCTTTCTCTTTCACTCGAGTCGAGAAAGTTTGATCTTTCGCTGGCTTAATCAAGGCCAACTTCTCTCAAGTTCTCTCTGGGTGGATGGAATTAAAATAAGCCGAAAGGGATTCTGAACACACAAGCACGCATGTCGACTCCACTCTGGTCAAAACTTGTTGGAGTGACAGAAGTGGTTATTGCTGGCAACAGTAATAAAACTTTAAGGCTTTGTGGTGATGGATTAAAAGTTAAACTCGTTTCTGGATCAGTAAACAACAAAAGTAGTGGAAGAGATTTCCATTCCTTTAGCTCCACCAACTCTTCGTCTGGTCACAATTTTCTTAATCATTCATCAAGGACGAGTTGGAGTAGTAGTATCTCTAGGAGAGAGCTATCACTCTTGGTTAGTCACACTTCTGCTACTGCTGCTGGTAGTGTAAATAATTTAACGCTTAATCCCACTTGGATCTGGAGACTTTTCTCTGCAAAAATGGTAAGATGGACCGTCTATCATTATCCCACTATATATATATCCATATTTTTTACCCTCTTTCTTTAGGCACCTTTAAGTCCTAAACTGACAGAGGAAGAAAGAAAGGAGAAACTCGGACTGTTGTTGTCCTCGGGTTGGAGTATGGTAGGCAATTTCATACCTCAAGTTTTTTCATCAAAGTTAATATGCACCTTTGATAATTTCAATTCGCAGGTTGAAGGGAGGGATGCCATTTATAAAGAATTCCTCTTTAAGAATTTCAATGAGGTGATTAGCCTAATAATGAGGCTTCAAAAAACACATATTCGGAAGTTATATGTTATGCGCTATAACTTTTATGACATTTAAGGCATGGGGATTCATGAGTCGATCTGCACTTCAAGCAGAGAAAATGGACCATCATCCTGAATGGTTTAACGTGAGTTGATGATTTTTTTAAAATCGTCCTAGTACTTCTGTTATTGTCTACGCAATGTGTTGCATAGTCATATCTCGGAATGAATGGTTCATTGAACCATCTCATGAGTAATAAGCATTTGTATGGATTAGGTCTACAATAAAGTGCAGGTCACCTTATCCAGTCACGATGTGAGCAAATTCCAAAACTTAATACAATCTTTTGACATACACAACTAGCTAATATTTTACACATGTTAATAATATTTTCCAGGTCAATGGGCTGAGTGATCGGGACGTGAAACTAGCAAAGTTTATGGAGAAAGCTGCCGGGTTTATGAAATCAGGGTGAATGATCTTTAAAGGGTTTAGTGATGGCAGAACCAAGGGACCACTGACTATAATATTATTCTCAGTTTAGATGTAGTCTAAATTACTATAATAATATACGCCCACAATGATAATTAAAATTGTTACGCTGTATTTAAGAAAAAGTTCTCTCTAGAAATAAAAAAAAACAAGTGAATAAGAATATTCTTTGGGTTTTGTAACATGCAAATTCAATTATAAATGGATGTGTACATACTAAAGTTGCGACGGAATATAATCACCCTCAATCCAATTTCTAAGTAATTGATGAGCAATAGCACCACGTGGAGGAATTACAAGAAGGCCTTCATCATTACCACGAAATATCCCTGGATTTTTCTTCACTCTTTCGTATGCTTCTTTGACTTCAGATTTTGTACACCATTTAGCGTCTTCAAGTTCACCCTTGTCAATGTCAAGCTAAATTACAAATTTGTTCATAAATTTAATTGACACGGGGTTTATTTTAAATTGATCAATATAGTTATTTAATAAGCGTACCACTTCAGAACCCTCCATTGCTATTGCTGTTATCCCAAGCATCAACGACGACTGTGGTAGGGGCCAAGTTTGTGATTGAAAATAATTAATTTCCTCGACCACAATCCCCGCTTCTTCTGCAATTTCACGACGAACGCAATCCTGGAGCGTCTCTCCTGACAAAAAATCATAAACCTGATGTATCTAACATAACCTGAACTTACCTGAAGCAAACAAAAAATTATTACCTGGCTCCATAAATCCAGCAATACAGCTATACATTCCTTTAGGATACTGCGGCTGCCGAACAAGGAGTACCTTTTCTCTTGTTTGATCCAAAACTCGAGTAATTGCTACTGGAGAGATTGGAGGATAAACATGATTTTTTGTGCAGCCTTCACTGCACTCACGAACGCACCCAGAAAATGTTTTCTTCATAGCACTGCCACATCTCTGGCAAAATTTTGATGCTTCATTCCATGTTATCATGGTGTATCCCTGTGTCAGAAATATAAAAGACTAAATTTTTAATTAATTTCTATATGCAGTTTTAATAAACGACCTACACGTCCAACAAGTTGAGCTTCTGAAGTTGAAAGGGAAAAGATAGCCATTCTCATATCAGCAAATTTTCCCTCAAATTTTTCCTGAATTTCATCAATGGTTTCCGGTTGAACTGGACACACAAATAAGGCTTTCTCTTCGCATTCTGCATCAACCCCTAAAACAACGGATGAGCCTTTGACATCCGGACAGTAGCTTTGAATCTCTGTAATATTACAATAGTGATGATTCATCTTATTTAAACAGAAAAAGATTACGTTTTACAGTGGTAATGTTGAATTTATGGTGATGGCACCTTCATAACTTCTCCAGTTAATTTTAGCCTGAAACGGATTTGTTGGATTCGATGCAGAGGTAATGAAAGCCCTGTCCTTTGAAAACATCATAAACGATGCCATTGGGAATGATTTAGACCAAACTTCCTCGTTTTCCTTTAATTGTTGAAGATACTTTGACTGTTTCTACATATACAAAGAGCGATTGGCTTAATCACAGAATGTAAATTTTCGAGCATACTTAATGAAATATATTAAGTAACACATAATATTAAGATAAGGTGATATTCAAATCGAATGCAACTTTACTTACAACGTATCGAGCCATTCTTAACAGGGGCCAGCCCATCTGGTTTCCAGCTACGCGTTCCAAAATTACTGTGCTAACCTATGGGAGAAAATTTTATCAGCATTTGCTAAACTGTGAGTTTTGCGCATGTAGATCGTGATAAAAATGGTAAAAAGAAGCTCATAACACATGGTTGTTTTTTCTTAAAACTCAAGTTTTTTAATTCTGTCTCATTTGCTATACAATTAGGACCTGTGTATGTAGCTGTAAGTATGATTGCATAATCAAGGTATGGATAGTTGATTGCTAAATCTGCAGCACATGCTAATTTCTCTAATTAATGGAAAAATATGTTGGCGAGCAAAAGGCGAGTTAAGTCCATGTGTCACGTCCAGAATTTTTTTTGCTTCAACAATGTAACTCTTTGCTTCCTTTTCTTTCTCCTGAAAATACATATGACAGTCAGTGGGTGACATAAACGTAATATTCAGTTTAAAAAATGAAGAAAAAACAAGATAATTTGGTTAGTACCAAGTACCAAGATAACTTTGCCATCCTCAAAAACATCAATCCCAAAGACATGTCAAACTCGAACAAGTAATGTCTGAATTTAAACAAATATGAGCGAGATATCCCATAATCAGTATTTGCAAACATAAACAAATGGATCATATTTGTTGTCTTTACCGATAACCTTTGAGCGCCATTGTCCCATATTGATAAGCACATTCCCACCGTTGAGTGTCGATACAACTATCGAATCCTACTCCGTACATCTCAGTCAGCAACCAATGTATTTCCGAAAAATGAAGACTTGTGAGAATTCTTATATACACTTCGGCCACATCCAAATCTGAAAATATTGTGAAAATAGAATTATGTTCCATCATTGCTACATACATGCGTACATAAGCTAAGTATAAACCGTACATGCTGTATCACCCATTTCTGTTATTTTCATTTTTGCAGCTTCTTCAGCATCTGCTACTTTTTGAATGTAATCTTCCTCAAACTTATATTTACACTTTGGGCATTCTTGATGAAGTTTCAGATTAATCTAATAACAATAATTATGAAATGATATCAAACAACTCGATGACAGTTATTACATAATGAATGTCTTATGGATTAAACTTCGAACCTCAACATCACACTTGTTGGGGCATACAACCGATTGCATTGTGTTATCAAATAAAAATGTACTGCACCGTTCACATTGACATTCAAAGTAATAACACTTTAGTAGCTCAGCCTTTCTAATTTCTGTGGGTTTTATGACATCTCGGTAAGAAATTGTCACTTTAAGAATCTATTAAAATAGTAGAAAAATTCAATTACTTTACATATTCGGTATTAAATACGCTTTTCCATAAACTTGTAATACTGGCAGAGTTATAGGAAATTCCCGAATATTCCGAATAATGATATCTGTCGAGTCAAAATTGGCAACGGCTAGCGGTTGACACGAGTGATCAAAAACGGATGCTCCAATGTACAAACCTATACCAATTGTATGATTTTCGTAATCCGTGATGCTAAAGGTATTTACGAATATCTAGAAAATCACAATTACAAGATATCATCTTATTCAACAAAAGTAAAATGCAATATGATACTGTACATTTTTTACTCCCATACCCGTCCGCATATTCCTAGTAACTCTGTCTCATTAGGAAACTTTATTTCAGGGTGGTGGAGCAACACAGATCTCGCAATGTGTGACATTGCTTCCACTTGTTCCATTCTAGTTTTGTCGGTTTTGAGATCAGCAAAATCTGTAAATTATAATTGGTAAGAGATGTAAACGATGATTATTATTGGCTAATGCTTTATCTGCTCCTACTTACGAGAAACCAGATCCTTAAATCTCCGACGAACTTTTCGGCGACTGACTTCATCATAATAGTCGCTATTTTTCTTTTAAAAACAAGAAAATACTTTTATCTCAAACCTAATTAAGCATACATTTACTAAAGTATAAAGTACCTGGAGTTTGACAATAATACGAATCAGTAATCGTGTGAATGAGCCTGCAACCCGTTTCTGAAGGCCGAAACCCTTGCACTCATACTTGTGACCATCGTTCCAACCTTGCCGCTGGCATTCTCGATTGCAAAATCTGACCTGTTGGCACCCCCCACAGCGGAGCAGAATCAGACCCTCACATCCTCCAGATTTCCCCTCACTATCAAAGCCACATCAGTGACATCAGTCATAAGGCAAACTAACCTCCCCCTTCATACTTGTTTTTCTATTACATCAGGTTAAGTTAGTTAATTTCCTACTTCTAGGAAATTATGATGTAACTACTCAATTTAACTTCTTGAATTTTAAAGTTATTCCTCATGCATTAGTGGCTACATGTAATTTGTTGCAAATATTGTATATACGAGTATATACATGAATGAACATAAGACTAGAAAAAATCATGACAAAGTACAAAGGCACTTACAGTTTAAAACAGGTGTTGCACCGAATTTCATTCAAATTCGGAGAAAGCGAGTAAGCAAAGGGTTTGCAGGTCAATAAAACAGTGCCCGGTTTGACAACAGATGAGTGTTTCTCAATGTTTTCGTAATCCGAGTAGTGATGAAGAGGAAAGTCGTAGTTCATATCTGACACATATTTTTGCACACGCTAGATAAGTAAAAGCAATTTTATTATTTTATATAGAATTAAAATAAAGATTTATTTACATACTTAATGCTTATATGACTTACAGCTGAGCGAAATAGATTTGTTTAAAAATAAAATGCAGAAACGATCATGCACAGCACAAGATATTAATAAACGACGAGGACGACTGATATTTCTGAGGAAAACTGTTCACTGTTGAATGAGGTCAAGCTCGTTAAGTTAAGAATAATTCAAGGTTATCATTCCAATTATGTTTGACTTGCAACTTGGCACTTGGCACAAATCTTGTTCGTAGATTGCAGCCGGAGAGGATTACTTCAGATTGATTGCCTCCGTGTGCAGCCGAGTGGGGCGTCGAGAGACGAGAAGCTTTAAGCCACTTTCACCCAACTTTCACCCACTGACATTTTCACTGCTCTTGGATGAAATTAGTTTGGAATTGTGAAATTATACTATGGACTGCTTACTATAATTAGCAGACGTTCATGTGAAGCTAAGGAATTAGGACTTTTCGTGATTCCCTACTAATTCCAAACAGATAAGTGATCAAACCTTTATTTGTTTCACACCAGGGAAAGTGGGAATGCATTTAACAATTAGATATTTGTCCAAAATAAACCAGTTGTATTGTAAGTTCTTAAAGGAGACTTGTAATTATATGTAGATTTACTTCTTGGACACACTTCCATTACCGGCTTTCCTTTTTGATCTTCACAGTTTTTCATGTAGTACTATGTAAATACATACGTGACATTATATAATGAAATGAATATGTATATAAAATAAATATAGTTACGAGATCGTCAGATAATATATGGGGATTGATCAAAGCTGAAGCGTCCAATTTTCCCTCAAACAACTCATTGATCCACTACCCTGTAATTATAATTAAAAATGGGTTTACGTGGTGGACGTGGGACGAGGTTCAAAAGAGTTCTATTTTAGAAACCGATCAGAAAGGAACGGTTCGATAAACAAAGAAAAGTCTGATTGAAGTTTTGAACCATTTTCCATTAACTGATAGACAGTTCATTATTAGAGCAAGTAAAAGAGGAGAAAGGACCTGGTTGAATCCCTTTGTGGTTTTTTTAGAATTATGTAACAACAATATTCTCAAACGATCGTCCATAATTAAGTTTTGACAAAGCCATTTTCAACACGTGGTATCAATGTACATATTACGTGCATAGATTGCATTATCACGTAGTAGTTTTACTACGTAAATATGTATGTATTATTCGTCTGAGATTTGTATATTATTTGTTGATTCATGACGGACGTTCCAAGAGAGGAGCCGGAAATTCCAAATGAATCCGGATTCAGTCTAAATGAAGATAATATTCAATTACTCAAGCCTGTTCCAGTTTCGGATGTGCGATAGTAAACACAATGACATAAAATGCAACATATTTTCTATTAGTTCCTGTTCCACCAGAACAACGGAACTCTCACATCGTCATAATTAAACCTCATTAGTTACATCATAATGAAAACTACTAGTAACCCCGTCGCTAACTATTAGTTATGAATGCAGTCCTAATTTGAATGAAGAGTGATGTAAAAGAAAGTCAAATTTACACGCTTTTGAGGTTCAGATATTTTGAGCTGGAACTAGTTGACGCTCTTCGACACCATCAATAAAAATTTATCAAATTCCTTACTACATAATTAACCAAAGTAGTAGCTAATCCAGTCTATTCCGGATTCTTGCTTATACGAGATATTTGGAGAAGAGTAGTTGTTTAACTTTTTGCTGTCCTTATTTGATTCTTAATCTTGCTCTCAGCCGTCGCAGTCATGTCACTCTCTGCACGATATAAATTACATCGTTTCAAAGATTATTTCCTTTTAGCGATTGTGGCATGCATACAAAACCTTCTCTGTTGCGAGTATTTCAGCAATTTTAGTGATTTGTGGAAAAACCGGCCCTCTTGACCAAGATCATGACTTTATTGAATATCACTCTCCGCAAATGACGTCTATAAAATTTGGGTCAATGCAAACTTGGAGTCAAGTACTATCCAACACCAAATTTGAATCCTGTGAGCTCAGTAAATACGTGGCGATACCCACCCACCGACTGACCGATGCATGCATGCGGAGAACATTTTGTTGGCATATTTCATCTCCTTTCGCTCACACGCTAAATCTGAATGTTGCATGCGATAGGACTTGTTGGTGGTTGGAGAATAGTCGTCCTTTTCGTGCATAGAAAACAATGATCGTCGTTGGAAGAGCGGAAGGAGCGGTGGGACAACAACTGACTAGAAATAACATCACGAGCTGCTGCTGGGAAGTAAGAACGACGACGCTCACTGACTGACTCTCTGCTTTCCCTTTCTCCCAAATTTGCCCTCCTTCCACCACTCACTCGTGTGCCATACATTGAATCCATGTGAGAGATACAGAAAGTTGCGGTTGGTGATGGTGGTGTATTGAAGCAGGACTACTTTCTCCCTTGCCTTGCATGCTGCTCGGATTTCTGCTGGGCGAATCCCGTACAAAAGTGAGCGTTGGTGGGCAAGTTGGGTGAAAGGAGAATAGTGATTCGCAGAGGCAACACACGCTCCTCACCCAAACGTGGTCTCATCTCATCACCACTACTTTCGCTCTTTTGTACGAATGTCGCCACCACTTGCAGACCTACCCTAGCAGACAAAAGTTTCGACAACGTCGACCTGAACTCATAACGGACCTTATTCACAAAAGAACCTCTTCCCATTAGCTTGTGACCGTAGCCAAAGAGTTTTCTCATCGATAACGAAGTGGTTCATTTAACTACTAAATAACTTTCCAATCCAACTTTAATTTTGGTTAATTTAGTTGGCTTCTCGATTCGTGGTATAAAATACGTACATACTGAAAAGTTGGTTTAGTGCAATATACTTGTCACTTGAACTCGGATTCATCCACACGTTGTTTTGGGATTTGGGTTTCAGTCTCTACTTGAAACTTCTTGTGTGTATTCAATTAAATTGCAGGAAGAGAAAGTCAGTCAGTCAGTCTATCTATCTCTACATACATGCACACATAGTTTAAAAGGGATGTTGGAATTCACTGACTGTGGTGCTTCTTCCTGCTACTTGGTGGTTGGTTGTTCAGTGAAAGTGCGTGGCTGGCGAATCAAAATCGGAGAAATTTACTCGTAACAACATTTTACAGACAAAAAGAACGTTGAGCCGAAGACCTGTTTCTCTCGAACTCTGAACGTAGTAGTCGCACTTTAGCCGATGTCGAGTCTCTCCCCTGCTGCTGCGGTATAGTTACAACCGACGACTACAACTCTGGATCAGATTTCCTGCTCTTTGGCCTCTGATCTTCAATCCCTCCTCTTCAAGTAAAAATGAACTTTTTTTATCTATTTTAACATGTAGACTTGAACCAATTTGATTTGACGCTTCCGCAATTGTCTGTCAATTGCCGACGTCACGCTCCAAAACCCATGTCAAATCAGGTTGGTGTCAATGCTTTAAACTTTGTTGCTCAACATTTGTTAAAGTTGAGACATTAAGCTCTCTTGTTTGAACCCGACAAGTTATTTTGTACCATTTTAAGTAATGAATGCTTTTTATTATACTACTTAAGAAGTAAAGGGGTAACTTTGGACATATGTAGGTATTTACGCTAAAGGTGTATGTATTAATCCCCAAAGTTCGCATATTCCCCTCAACCAAACGAATATTTCTGGATCCGTCCAGCAAAAATGTCTGATAGCACCTTGAGCCGACTTGAGTCTTTCCGACAGGGTGGGCACTATCTGCTTCAATGAAAAGTGACATTGAGTAGGCATCCCTGCAGTAAGCAAATCCATCTTATTCTTCGTCGAATGTGACAAGAATATTTTACCCGTTGCTCCGTAATAACGATCTGTGCAGCAGAATCCAGTAAGACTCTCTGCCACATTTAACTCTTTCTATTTCTCCAAATTCACCATTGCAATCCTAATATAGCCAGCGTACGTTGTTTGTCCCTCTTTCCTAGGATTTCCACTAGTGCTTTATTGTCAGAGAGCGAGAGAGTCATTCTGTTACTGTCGTTGCATTTGATTGATTGAATTTCCAAACCACACGATAGAATATAATATATATAATATATATATAAGGTATATATGTATATACTGAATGTTTAAAAAGCACCTCGCCACCAATGTAGCACACGTTCGTATTTACTGATTCAGTATCTGTATATACAGAGATTGCCCTGATACGCTTTGATCAGATTTCAGATTTGAATAGTTGATCCTGTTCAGCTCGGAGATTTTACTGTCCAAATCACCCTTTCCCAACGACGGGTTCCGAAATGAAACAAGTGTTTGATTACATTCTTAATCGTAATATCCATTATTATTACCTCTACTCTGTTGGATATGAAAACTACATTGTGAAACCAAAGGAAGGAGTGAGACCTCTCCTAGGCACACATAATATTTCCAATTATTGAATATTTCAAGTGAACAGAATTTCATCCGCCTCGTCCATTGTAACATGGAATTCAGGGAGGAAAGAGGGAATCCACAATCCGTCCGCTCGGATGAGCAATTTCATGTTGAATGAACCTTAAACTCAAACTCTTCTGATGAAATGAAATCAGATCTCGCAACCCCAGACTAAACCTTAACTGAGGAGGAGGGATTCTGAACTTATCATCCACCGATTTTGGTGCTCTATGTATGGACATGTTGTAGTACCCGATGAGTGTACTAAAACCCCCAAGTGGTCTGATTCAATAGCCACATTTGCGCCCGCCACACCCAGTCGTAGGAGTGAAAATCACAAAGATTACAAGCCTACAGGCTTGCAAAAAATCAAATTTGTCTCAGATTTTGAAAATCCTTTCACCATTATACTAACAGATAGTTGTTGTATTATATCAAACACGATTTTTTTATTTTCAGTATTTTTCAAAATTTCTTGAAGGAAAGTTGAGTTTGATATTGACCAACTATTTGGGAATACAATTGTGCAAGAATTTTAAAAATCAGATGAAAATTCGATTTTCATAAGGATTTGAATTAGTGAAAGCAGGATTTGAAAGGTTTTTTGGTGTTTTTGTCCATTTGAGTGGGTGTGGCCGGCCCAAATGTGGTCACCGAGTCAAACCACTTGGAATACTACAACATATTCAAAGGACATCAAAATCGTTGGGTGATAAGTTCTGAGTCCCTCCGAATTGAAGGAAGTTGAGTCAAGTCTCATCCAACTTTGGTTTATTCGAATATTTCGAATAAACAACAAGATCATATTTTCTGTGGGTATGAGAGAAGAATAAGAAAAAACCTATGTACATGTGTATACCTATCAATAGCTTAGCTCTCTATGCAACGGCCATGCATTCCACCTGAATGGAGTGATAACGTTGAGGCAGACTCAGCAACCTGGTGGTAATTTTGTCTGGAGTGGATCCAACTTTCTCACGAGCATACTGATGAGACGACCAGAGAGATCCACACGTAGGCACAACAAGAGGAGTGATGATGACACGTCTCTCATCTCCACTTAGCAAAATTCCAGCACTAGAAAGCATGAAAAGTTGACGTATGGCACTTGTGTATATTTCTGGACAACTGAAGAGATACATTTCCATTCACCTGGAAAAAAACATGTTTTCCTAGCATACATATGCGCAACAAACAGAAGACTATATAAATAGAATCGGATTTGTGACTTCAAGTAGCGGCCAAGAGGGCTCAAATTCCGTCGTTCGTCAACTATAGGTGGGCTTTACGTAACTATACTTTACAGAGCCAAACACACTCAAATTTATTGCAATATACAGGGTTTAGCACCTCGTACGGTATTTCATGCGAGTATATGAACAAATGCACGTACCTCTGAACTCAAACTATTCGAATCCCTTGGAAAGGCGTGCATTGCATCACTTTCACTCCATAACACGTATGCAGTACTTTAGTTGATTAGTCGCGAAGAGTTTGGTCGCGTTATAAACACTTTAATGGCAGAGACCGGCCGTCCTATTCAAAAGCCGAGGAGATGAAATAGGAGCGACACAAAAATGTAGCAGCAGGGAAACTACTTATTACGATTGGGAGAGTGGGAACCAGTACAAAACTTACTTAGCACTAAAGTGGATGATGCGAGCGTATAAAAAAAACTTTAAATTGCATAAAGCCCAACTGAGCCAAAACGAATCTGTGTGTGAGAGTGGTAAAGACAGCTTGAAAATTAAAAACTGCTTCGAATTATTAACTCTTCTTGATTCTTTGGAGAGCTAAAGTTTTCCCCAAGATTTATCATTCAGAGCATTCAGACCATTCCTGCGTTGAGCTTCTTGAAATAGAAAATCGCTAAGCTAAAAGCTAATGCTGCTTTCCAACTTGGCTCCAGGGATTTTTGAATGAGAACAGAGTGGAACGAGCGGACGAAGAAATAAAGTGGAAAGGACGCATTTTCACTAATTCTGGTCCGGAGATTTAATTTCAAAAAGTTGGCTAAACCCTCTTTTTATTCGTACGTGTGTGTGTGTACGTACATGCATATGTCGTAATATGCTCACCCGAAATCAGGACAGCATGTTCATCATAGATCCTCCAAAAAATACATTGTGTTAAGAAAAACTAATATTATCGCACAATGCTGTTCTACCTTGGATCAATGAATGGACTCTGCATTTCTCTTTAGAAATATCCAGCGGGCAGAGGATCGAAATAATTTTACTATCAAATGATACTTGCAAAAGCTTTGTAAATAAAATAACAAAAACGCTTTTAATGTAAAAAGCTTGCCCAAAGGGAAGCGAAATGTAAGTAAGTAAAGAGATTGGCAGTATCAATTTGCATTAGCATGAGACTATCTATTAGTTGAAGCGTCGTTCCATGTCATATACGCAGATACGCATGCCGGAGTAGATAGAAGAATTCCCATCATGCCCACAACGAACCAACTCAATCGGCGTGCATGTATATAAGAGAAAGCACTTAGCGAAACCTCATTCGATCAACATCCTCACATTTAATTCACCACTTTATTCATCACTTGACGAGTATCAGGTTCCTTTGATACTCGTCAAGTTTTATTCAGGTTTAGTTTAGCCAGCTTTTATATCTGAGACTGAGAAAAAAAACTCGCAATACTTACTTTCCAGTGAATATCTCAATATCAAGTATTATTTACTTTTAGATCGTCAACGATCATCTGTCAATGACGAGTAATGACGATTTGATCAATTGAAATCCTGTTTTTCGAATTTATAAATCTAAATGGGGAAATGCTACATACATGAGAGAACCAAGTTATTATTTCATTCAGGTTAAGACCTCGTAACATGGCAGGAATTATGCATCCTGCTACTTTCTTGCTTGTCTGGAATGATTTGCATTTTTTACATACAGAAGACACGAATTTTAGTTACAGCAACGCTCATTTTCACAGAGAAACAAGAAGCACTTTCACTTAATCATAAATGCAAAATTAATCTACTACTACTTTTCAGGAGCCACGTGCTACCTAAATCCCAACATCAGAGAAAGAAGGCATAAGAGATGCAGAGTATATCATTTTATACAGTGATAATGGTCTCGGTGTGTGAGTAGTACGCAGCTGGCCATACGCGAGCACTTCCACCTTCAAAAACGAGGCAATTTGCACTTGATACAACTGACACACCTGACGGACTCAAGATTTCCCACTTCATCCGTCTCTGTCAATAAAAATCTGATGAAAGGCACGAGGCGAGAGGTATTCGGCTGGCCCACAAAAGCCCACTTTGCTACATTTGTTCCAAATCCCAACCATTCTAAAACTGGCAGGTGACGGTTATGTAAGAAGGCGTCAGCACGTATGCATGAACACATACATAAGTTTGGTTGAAGTGCATGCATGTAAAGTTCTCTTCTACTTTCACTCTGGTAAGTAAGTTAGTTTTCAAAGGGTGAAGCATTGTTGACGTATTTACAGTATGTGTACAGTGGTATTAATACAAGCAGAAGGTAGCCAAAGGGCATGACTCGCTCCAATACAAATTGCATTTATTAGAATATTTGTATTTTCTAAAGTAAAATTAATTTCCAAAATTACGCTTCCGTTCAACAACATTTTGCATAACCCCACGAAATTGAAATGACCCATTTGATGCAAAAGTTATGTTACGTAACGTTGTGGATGCTGTTGACGGCAACTTTGCCTCAAGAATTTAAATTCGTCCAACAACCGTTTACAACTTCCTTGCACTAGCCGTACTCCATCCCACCGCTTTCCAGCAAGTTGTTTCAGATTCTATATGTGTGTACAACAGATGCCCGAAATGAAATGCAGTTCAGAATGCGATATATAAATAGTTGATGAGCATTTGCGAGAGAAATAAATTGAAGTCTGGAATTAT